AGCCTGTTTGGCATTTTATAGTATGGATTTTGCATTTTGTCTGACAAGCTTTGAAAGTACTGCCTGATGTATGGCTGTATGGGGAATCCATGTTTTCCCTTGGTAGTAGAGGAGAAGATACCACTGATGGTAGGTGGTGAGAACAGTGCCGAATCAAATACAGTACCAGAGGACCTGCTGCCTGCCTGTAGTGTCCTTTTGGATGCAGTGAGATGACCCACTACTCTCCCCATATCAATTTCCTTGCCACGCAATTTGCAGCCACCCTTTTTGGAGGCACTTAAAGTGATCCAGACTTTGCTTTGGTGCAATACATTAGCCTTGGCTCTTTGCCTTGCAGCTGCTGAAGATGTAGATTGATTTGGATGACTAATACTAATGAAAAGGATGGGGGGTAATAATGTCATTGGGTGAGCAACTTGCGGCACTGGTAGCCGATGATGTTCAAATGTCTCCATTGGATGAAATGATTCAAAAGCAGATAGAGCTGGCGGAGAAGATGGAGGATGAGAGTACTCACTAGCTAGAGAAAATATTCAGCTGCTGATTGTCAGGCACATAGTTAAGTTCCTCCTCAGCAAGAGTTCAATAAACTATGTCTGCAGATTCACCACCACCCCCATGATGACCACCACCCCCAACATGGACACTTCGCTACTCTGTTTTTCCTCTTCAGTAAAGATTGTCCCTTATGGCACCAACAAACTAGACTCAGCAGACCTCTCCCCTAGTTGCTTAAAAGGACTAGGAGGTTTAGAAGAACTAGTAGGTAAAATTGGGAATGGCAACAAGTTCACTGGTTTCACCAATCCCTTGCTTCAACCACAAAACACAAAAAGTTTAATGCTTGAACTAGCTGTGGGATAAAGAAGATGCAGTGCCAGAGGAAGCAGTAGCAGAAGTAATTGTGGAACTGGTAGTTTTCTTCTTGTAAGACAATGTAATAGAGCAGCAGGAAAATGCTAGCAGAATGCTTGGTTGTATAGGGAGAGGTATTAGCAGTAGAAAGAGGGAAGTGCTCATGCCATTGTACAGAACACGGGTGAGACCTCACTTGGAGTATTGAATAGAAAATAGTGGCCACAAAAACAAAAGGACACAACAGGGGGTAACCCTAATAGAATAATAGGAATAGAAAGAGAAAAATGTGTGTCCCTATAAAAAGTTGAAAAGATGCTTTAAAAATCTCGACGATACTTTATTAAATCAAGGAAAAAGAGAAAACCAACTAACATACAAATAAATAGTAAGAACTATAGCTCCTATTTATGAACTAATGTGGCTCCACACAGCAGAGGGTGGTTAGCTAAAACAGAGAGTACATAGGAAAAAAAAAAAAGTATAATAAACAATAATAGTAATACGTACGTGTGGGAGGAAAAATGCAGCCTAAAACAATTAAATACTAAGCCAGGATTTCATATCAGGTCCTGACATAATCGAGCACTACAGAGCCGTGCCTATAGCTGGAAAGATGTTTGTGCAACAATATAACTCAGTGTCTCAAATGTTGCACTAAACTTAAGATACAGTGTAAGCAAATCTATTGATGCTGCAAAAGACCCCATTAATAAAGGAAAAAAGTTTTTCCCAGTATGTTGACATGCCGAGGTCTACAAATCCATAGCTGTGGCCAAAGACGTTAATGCGACTATGTAACTAATATGTTACTGTACTATGATATAACAACTCAAATTAGGAGCTATCAGTGTAATACAATGTTGACAAATCTGTTTGAACTACACGAGGCTACAGTAATAGAGGAAAGGATTGTTACCAATATCGCCCAATTCTCTCCTAGTGCTAAGCTCCCTAAGAGCGGGGGAAGACTTTGGCTGGACGTCAGAATTTAGTTCTAAAGAAAGAAATAAACTAAGAAGTGAAATAGTCGGAATAGTGCCTTCGTGGGCACCTTGTATAGTAAAGAGGTAAAGAGGAAAATACAAGATAACGTACTAGAACAGAAATAAAAAATAATAATGAGGACTAAGTACTCTCGAAAAGAAAACAAAGAATGTACTTAAACTGTATTGGGATGTAACATCAATACATTAAATCATGTGAGTGTGAACCCTGATCGGTTAAATGATAAGAGTATGAACCCTGATCGGTTACCGCTATGGTCAGAAACTAATTGCCCTGTTTAACAAGACACGGCGTTAAATAGAATATTTGTGTCAAAAGTCAAAACGAGCTATGAGTTCCCATCAGCAATAGATAGATGAGAACGCCGTGAGAACAGGGATGTCAGGTAAGTAAAAATCCCAACGCGCGTTTCGCCTGTTTTAAAGGCTCGTCAGGGGGAACCGATTCCCACACTTGATCGGGTTTAAAAAGCCCGCTCCTACTCATGATTGGTCAGACTGAGAATTGGAGTATTGTACGCAGTACTGGAGACCGTATCTTCAGAAGGATATTGATACTTTAGAGAGAGTTCAGAGAAGGGCTACTAAACTGGTTCATGGATTGCAGGATAAAACTTACCAGGAAAGGTTAAAGGATCTTAACATGTATAGCTTGGAGGAAAGACGAGACTAGGGGGATATGATAGAAACATTTAAATACATAAAGGGAATCAACACAGTAAAGGAGGAGACTATATTTACAAGAAGAAAAACTACCACAACAAGAGGACATAGTCTTAAATTAGAGGGGCAAAGGTTTAAAAATAATATCAGGAAGTATTACTTTACTGAGACGGTAGCGAGTGCATGAAATAGCCTTCCAGCTGAAGTAGTAGAGGTTAGCACAGTGAGGGAGTTTAAGCATGCGTGGGATAGGCATAAGGCTATCCTAGATTTAAGATAAGGCCAGGGACTAGTTAAAAAAAAATTTCTAAATATTGGGCAGATTAGATGGGCCGAATGGTTCTTATCTCCTGTCACATTCTATGTTTCTATGTAAGGGGAATCAGAAATCATCCTCCTTATACATGATGGCTGCTGCTTTCTACTCAGACTCCCTACTATGTTGCTTTCTTTTCTTTTAATTTCCTGCTGTTTACTGAAAAGTAGACAAATACAAGTGGTTTTGCAAGTTGTACTAAAGGTGATCTCAATCTTTGGGGAAGTCCTACATGCTGTACAAACAGGCTTCTAATACTTGTGGGCCTAGCTGACTCTAGTGTTGCAATTACAGATTCTACTGCTAGTTTAAACTTTGAGATACCAACTGCAGCATAAAAAGGCAGTAATAAAAACATTTATCTACCATTACTCCCAACATTTGAAATGGACAAAAATTTCACTTTAATGTTAGAGGTGTGAGTGGCTGGTTTGTTTTTCTTTTCTAGGTGACTTACTGATACTGGGTGAGCATTTAACAGAGGAAGGAAGCCCTTGAGAAGTCTTGAAGGCGAGCATCAGAGATGGGAGTATGGACAGAAGATAGACGTAAGTCTTCAGCAGCGCGTAAGGGCCTAGATGGGACATACCTGTGTATAAGGGAGGATAGGTGGGAGCAGCATTATGTAGAGATTTGAAAGCAAGAACCAGAATTTTAAATTGATCCCTATATCTTACAGGAAGCCAATGTAGGGACTGACAGAACGGTGAGGCATGGGGGGTGCGGGCAGACAGGAAGATGAGCCTCGCTGCCGCATTCATTATGGACTGTAACGGCGCAAGTTGGGAGCACGTAAGACCACTGAGAAATGGATTACAGTAGTCAAGGCCAGAAAGGACAGTGGAATGGACCAGCACCGTAGTTGAATCTGGTGTTAAGTAGGGTCAGATGCGCGCAATGTTTTTGAGATAGAAGCTACAATTTGGCAATAGACTGAACATGAGGCGTGAAGGAGAGGTCAGAGTCAAAGAGAACACCTAGGCAGTGAGCCTGCATGGTGGAGCTGATGGTAGCACCGTTGACTTGGATCGAGGGAGACACAGGAGTAGCAACACTTGAGGGAGGAAAGACCAGAATTAAAATTTTGGTTGAGTTGAGTTTAAGGAAGTGGGCAGCCATTCAGTTAGAAATAGCAGAGAGGCAGTCAGAGACACTAGTCAATAGGGACAGGGAGAGATCAGGAGAAGACAGGTAGATTTGCGTGATATCCGCATAGAAATGATATTGGAAGCCAAAGGAGCTAATGAGTTTACCAAGGGAGGCAGTATAGATAGAGAACAGTAGGGGACCAATGACTGAACCTTGGGGGACATTAGAGAAATGGTATATAACATCTGAAGTTAAGAAAACAACCAGACATCCTTGCATACATGGAAATGTTGTTCTGCAGTGAGAGTGTTCCTTTCAAAATATGTTTTCTGTGAGATCTTTGTTTTTTTAAATGTATTGCTCTTTAACAAAAATTTGGTGTGAGGATTATGTTTTTGTTAGGGTTCAGTATCAGACATGCTTACGAAGATACATTGTTTTCCATTTTTTCCCCCCTTATTCCTTGTTTTCCCAATGGGACCTGCCATTGCCATACCAGTAACTTATCTCTGGAAATACAATTCCCCATGAAAATAACCTACTATATCAATTTGGTATTAATTGGGAGCACACTCATCATTCACACCTCACATTTTTGTCTTCTTTCTTTAAATATTTTTTACAATGTCTTTCTAGAAGATGTGTCACATATTTTATTGAGACTCTTAGATATCTTGTTAATGTTTCCATGAGTAGAAGATGAATAGAAGGACAATGGAGAATAAACTATTGAATCTTTCTCTTCAGTACATTCATAGTTATAATTTGCCCCATAGAGTAACTAGAGATATTAAAAGGAAATTAGCTACTAAACTTATCCTCAAGTTCATTGAAAGTGAGGGTCAGAGAGTTAACCTGTGAACCACTCATCCAAGCTGGCCAAAAATACTCAGCAAAAATGCTTCCACCTCTGTCCTATAACCTAGTTAAAGTGTCACTAATTGCATGGTCATCATCATTCTTACATAACAACATACTTATATTAAGAAAAACAAGACTCAATAAATTGTCCAAAAGTGCAGCACTAGCCCTGTCTGTTTTATTCTATTCAACAGAGGGGATTGAGAATGAAGGTCATTCAGCTGGTAAGTTAAAGCATGCTTATGTCCTGCGTGTTGGCTTGTTGTTCGGGAGAAGACATCTGCCATACACACATCAAGGGTTTATATTTTGTCTCTCTCAGAACTATATTCCTAATTAAAACCTATTGTTTTGCTTTTAAAGTGGATTTATTTTTTACATTTCTGTTTGGGTATACATTTATTTATGTGGATTTCTCTCCTTTAGTCTAACGTGTAATAGTTAATTGTTAGAGACTTGCAGACAACTGTAAGATCAAGCGAAAATACTGAATGATGTAGAATTTTAAACACATATTGGACATTGTATCAACGCTGCCCAGTCCTGTTTAATTATTGGTCCTGAATAAATAAACAAGATCACACACAGAGAATATCAAGCATTGTAGTAACTGCTTATTAGAGACGAGGATACATACTATAATGAAACTTTGTGCACAAATTATTTTCAGCTGGTATGAACTATTCAAATTCATTTAAACTATGTGTGAACTAATCAGTTATTAAATTGAATAAGACTTGAAATAAAACTCTGTAAGACCATTGGCTATTGAGGCAGAAGTGGTAGTAATTGCCTACAGAATGGCAATCTTTTCAATTGTAGGGTTAAAAAGACAGAAACATGACACCCAGACAACTTCATCTTAATAAAGTGTCCTTGGTTCGTTTAGTGTCTCTTTAATGAATACTGCTAACACTAACACACGTGCGCACTGTACACACACACACTGCTACATGCACACTCAAAGAAAACCATAAATATACAGATATTTACACACACTGCTACACATGCCCCAACACTGCACGCATACACACTCATTATGTATGTATATACCATAATTTTTATCATATGTAAAAGATTACATTTTTGTTTTTTCTGGGGGTTTTTTGGAAGATGGTTTTGTGAAGGAACTTGAGATTTCTGTGTCTAGGGAAGCTAGTAAAGTAAATAGGGCCATGTTAGGGGCACACATTGTTTTCATGCATGTTTTGAATTGACTGAGAGTGTCAGTATACCCACTGGAACAAAGTTTCGAGCTGTGAAAAACACAGAGCATTGATATGAAATTACATAGTTACATAGCTGAAAAGAGACTTGCGTCCATCAAGTTCTGCCTTCCTCACATATTTTTTGCTGTTGATCCAAAAGAAGGCAAAAAACCTAGTCTGAAGTGCTTCCAATTTTGTGACAAACTAGGAAAAAATTCCATCTTGATCCCAAAATAGCAGTCAGATGTCTCCTTGGATCAAGCAGCTATTACCCCACTAATTAGAAATTATATCCCTATATGTTATGTTTTTTCAATTATTTATCCAATTGCTGTTTAAACATCTGTATGGACTCTGATAAAACCACCTATTCAGGCAGAGAATTCCATACCCTTATTGCTCTTACTGTAAAAAAAAACTTTTCTTTGCCTTAGATGAAATTTTATTTTATTTTCTCCAGCCTAAATGTGTGACCTTGTGTCCTATGTATAGCCCTGTTTATGAATAGATTTCCAGATAATGGTTTGTACTAGAAAAATAAGAAAAGGGTCAGTGCTACAAAAAATTTAAGTAAGGTAGGCAGCGGCCCAACAGAAGGTAACCCTCAAACCCTCAGAGGAGAGGACATGTAACACAAAGAAATAGAGGAAAAGGGCTGCGCCAATAGTTAAAAGGTACAATAGTTCGTCTGAATAGTTAGGGCAATATACCGTAGTTTGTCTCACTGATATGGTGGGACTAAAGTTCTGATGGAGTAATTGAAGGTAAAGTCCGATAATATTGAGGTCTCACTCAGAAGTAAGTATCTTTATAAGGTGTCTGTTTTTGGGAGTAGAGTCCTCAATGTCCCTAGTGGTCCAACCGTCCCGCTTATATGCAAGACAAAAACGAGGAGACCCAATGGTGCAGTATATAAAAGCCAGAGGGATGGTATCCAACACTCAGGAGAGGAATATATAAAAGACAGCCAATAGTGCTCTCAATAGAATAAAATATGCAGTAAACATAAATAAAATGTACTCACAAGTGAAGTGCAGGCAAACTGCACTTTGATGTCAGCGTTGATGGTATGACCCCCACCTCGGATATATTTGGAGTCACACGACAATAAAAGGAAGCCAGGTTAAAAATTCCAAATAAAAAAATTGTATTAAAAAGATGATTGGCACAAAATTGTAACCAAAAAGCCTTTTATTAAAAAAAATACACAATCAAAATAACCATAACGCGTTTCACCACTAGGGCTTTATCAAATGCGTTTGTACTAGCCCTGAATATATTTGTATAATAATATCATATCCTCTCTGAGGCACCGTTTTTCCAAACTAAAGAGATTTATATTTTTTAACCTTTCTTCATAACTAAAATGCTCCATTCCTTTTATCAATTTTGTAGCTCGTCTCTGCACTTTTTCTAGTGCTATGATATCATTCTTTAAAACAGGTGCCCAAAATTGCACAGCATATTCAAGGGGGGTCTTACCAGCGATTTATAAAGAGGCAAAATTATATTTTCAGCCTGATAATATATGCCCTTATTTATACATGACAAAAACTTACTGGCCTTAGCAACTGCTGATTGACATTGCATATTGCTGTCTAATTTGTTGTCTATAACAATTCCCAAATCCTTCTTGTTTGTGGTTATCCCTAATTCACTACCATTTAGGGTGTAAGTTGCTTTTGCATTCTTGCCCCTGAGGTGCATAACTTTGCATTTCTCTACGTTAAATTTCATCTGCCATTTGATTGTGCTAAGACATATCAGAGTTGATACAACAAGAAATTAAGGATGTCTAGACTTTTTACTATCACTATACTCATTCCTGTGTAACATATATAGATTCATTATATGGTGAGTTGTGGAAAGTTGACAACCAAGTTCTAACATTTAGGATAAGATATCTGAGATGTAAATAATCCTAAATTGTATGATTGGCCTGAATTCTGAAATGAGTTCACTGTTTAGTTACTAAACCTCAAACTCATCTTATCGCATGTCTCTGTATAAAACTCAATATTAAAATGTCATCTGCAGGATCCATCTCTTGCCTATCGTCCAGAAAATGAAAATCACCAGTATCGGAATTATGAAGTGAGTCAAGACTGTACTGAAAGAACCAAGTAAACAATGGGGTGAGGGGTAATGGGAAGACATCAGATAGGAAATTTCAATGGAATGGGATTTTGAGAGAGGAGAAACAAAAATGTGATGTGGGTTAACACTGCAGATACAGCTACATCATTTAAAGCAGTAGTAAGGCTGACTTTAATTCTTGAAAGCATTGCAATGAGGTTTCGTATATTCAAAACAAAGCTATTCTTCTTCACTTTTTAGGATAGCCCCCTGGTGGATAGAGTGAAAATGACCTACACCTTGATGCACACACACCAAACGGTAGAATTTGTGAAACAAAAGGTATGTACAATAAAATATTATAAAAACTTTCTAATTTTTATGTAGATGCGGAGAAAACCTCACCAGTACACAGTATTTAGATGGTTATACATATAATAGCTTAAATCCAGGAAGTTTTTGAATTTGATGGTATCTCATTTTTATTGTCACTAAAAACCACATATAATATCAGCCTATACTTTTACCAGTGAATTCCTAAAGGTGACACAGTGACAGTTCTCATTGTATCATTAAGCATTAGAACTTTTCCAGTTAATGTGGGTCAACTTCAATCCTCTGCTCTCAGTACATAGGAGTTATCCATAGTCAGCTGATGTGGGTTAAAGTTCCAGATGTCTAGCAATTACCATGGAAGCACAGGGACTGATCCTGCTGATTAATTCACTCTTAGAACTTTGATCCAGAGATTTTTATATGTAACCTTAATAGTGCTGGTGCAACATCCATTTACTGCGGGTATTGTCCTTCCAGCTTTCACATTGGGGCTCCTGCATGCACAGGAAGATGACTGTTATGGAGGCGCTCAGTTTGTTGGATGATCTGGTGGATGAGTCAGATCCCGATGTAGACTTCCCAAATTCTTTCCATGCATACCAAACTGCAGAGGGCATTCGGAAAATGCATCCAGACAAAGGTATGTATAAGTTGTGAAAACATATCATCACCAAGATCAGGGCTTGTTGGACCTGGTGCTAACAATTATAATGGGCCTATTTATAGACAGAAAACACTCAAACAGCCACGTCTTCCAAGTGTGTTTTTATTTTATCTGGTGCATGTGGTACTGGAAACCTCACAGGATATATTTATTAGAACACAAATTCCCTATGTTAATCCCTTGCTTTTATCTCTCAACCAAGTCTATCTCAATTCCCCCCCTCCGCCACCCACATACAGACAAATACACATACAAAGACACACACACTAACACACATATGCAAAATATTTTAGTCACCCTCCTATTACCTACCTTTTAGGTGCAGGAGGGTGACTTCCCTGGGGACCAGTCGCTCAGGTTGATGGGAGTCAGAGTTCCCACTCTGACTCCCTCTCCTTCCTCCCGCACGGCTCCTGGTGGTTGCTGGGAGGAGTGACTGAGGTAGTCACTTCCTCCCAGCGTCTGACATCATCAGAGGGGGCCCAGTCGCGCTGTTACCGGGCCCACTCTGAGGATGATATTCATTTACATCGGGTGGCACTAACAGCATGGGCCACCCGATGGGTCTTTTCACGTGTGGCCCCAGCCGAGGACGCAACACATGTTGGCGGGCAACCGGTCGCAATGGTCCGCAGGGTGGCCGGGCCCCCTGGAGTGATGGGCCTGGTCGCAGATACAACCCCTGCGACCGCGGTATTAACGCCACCGGCCCTATTCCATATTGATTGAAAATAGCCCCTGTATTAATCCAGCCCTGGTATAGTTTCACTTAGTAAATATAACAAAATATTTACCAGAAGATGTGCTACTTGTGCATTACCCAACTGCTATCACCGCAATAAAAAGAAAAAAAAAGAAAAGTCAACATGATTTTTATGGCAGGACACAAAACATTCCCAGTGAGCATGCAAGCAAGGTTACATCAACAAGTTTCAATTAAGGACATATTGGCTATTGACCTTGGGAGCGTAACCGAAAAAGAGCAAAAGTACACAAAAATCACAAGAACTCAACTACATTTGTGAATATTTGTCCTTCACTGGTGGTATATTAAAGTTTAACCTGAATTTGTAAAGTACAATGAGTAAGAGAGAAAATGCAATGTGGAAAAAATAGATTAAAAGAAAAAACATATAAAAAAAAAAATAAGTCTGCTAAGTCTGAGGATCCAGGTTTAAACACACGCACATTCCATCAACATTGCTGTTGTTTGGTTGCCAAACGCCTCACATTGTCTATCTGTATGCCAACAGCAAGGCTACCATAAATGGCTTCTGAATTTTATCTTAATTACCTTAATCATTAATTTTCTTCCTCAATCCTGTAAACCAGCTTATCTCTTTGCGTTTCAGTAAACCTATTATGGGCATTGAGGAAATTCTAGTGTAGTATGAAATATGGTTAGTAATTGTCCCCAGCCCTTCTGTCTGTAATATGGTGACATTTTTATTTCAGATTTTCTGGATATTTGAAACCATTACCTTGTACACAAAATGTCTTCATTATTTATTTATAAAATATTTTACTAGGAAAGATACATTGATATTTCTATCGTTTTCAAGTATGTCCTGGGTCCACAAAACATTGCATTGTTACATTAGGGTACAATAAAATACAAAAACAATAATAATACACAATATATACAAAATTTTACATAGAACAGGTAGGAAATATATAATCAACCATGACAGGTTCATTCTGCTTTGAGGTATGTAGATAAGAATCTCTTAAAGGACTTTAGGCTTGGGGAAGATTTTAAAGTGTGCGGGAGGTCGTTCCACAATTGCGGCGCTCTGTAGGAGAAGGAGGATCGGCCGCTTTCCTTTTGTATTGAGGTAGACTAAGTAAAGTGTTGGTACTGAATTGGAGGTTATAGGAGGTGGGAACAGCCGAGGAGAGCATTCTGCTCAGGTACGCTGGGAGTTTCCAAAAAAGCTCTTAACCCCTTAAGGACACATGACATGTGTGACATGTCATGATTCCTTTTTATTCCAGAAGTTTGGTCCTTAAGGAGTTAAACACAAGGCTGGAAAGATGAAGGGTGCGTCTAGATTCCAGCGACAGCCAGTTTAGTTCTTTTAGCATGTCACAATGGTGGGTCCTGTAATTACATTGTAGCACAAATCGGCAGAACGAGTTATACAATGTTTATTAATGTGGGATTGTGGTGCAGATGCATATACTACATCTTCATAATAAATGATTGGCATCAGCATTTGCAGTACAATCTTTTCCTTTACTGTAGGGCTTAGGCAGGGTTTTTCTGTACAGTGCACCTAGTTTTTGATAAAGTTTAGATGCAAGTTTTTCTATGGGGATGCCAAAAGATAGATTTGTGTCTAACAACATACCCAAGTATTTGAAAGAGTGGACTGCGGTCAGTGTGCTATTTGAATTTGTTTTGATGGATAGGTGGGAATCGTGTAATTTAGGTACTGTTCCAAAGATCATTGTGACAGTTATGTCAGTGTTTAGGACGAGTTTGTTTTTTGCAATCCACTTTTCTACTTTTGTAAACTGGTCTTGGAGCACAGCCTCAAGCTGCGGTAGCTCGGATTTGCTTGCATTTGCTTGTGTCGTCTGTGTACATTTGACGATTTGCAGACATTAGGCAGGTCATTTATAAATAATGTAAATAGTAGGGGGAAGGTGCTGCGTTGATCCAGGCTGTCTTCCACATAGTGAAATATTTTCTAACGTTTTACTAAACAAATCCATTTTCTAGCTATTTGCAGGCCAGTTAAGGCCATTCGTAGAATACCTTCATGGCAAAACTTGATTTAAAAAATTTTTTTTTACTGTATGAACAGAGCCTGCCTTCTCCTTGGTACATTGTCTCCCTGGCATTTCATTGTTTGTTTGTTTTTGTCAACCAATTTTTTTATTGAGGTATATAGTAAGGATAGTAATGCGATAAATAAGTGACATGGTCAAAAAATAACAAGTAAAATAGTAAAAAGTAAAAGATATAAGTCGCCAATCAGGATCCGAGTCACTGCTATAAAGTTGTATGATATCTAGTATGTCACTAAGCAAACTTTTCAGCCCCATTTTAATATAAGAGTAAGAAAGTAAAACAGGCTATGCTAACAATTGTAAACCCCACACAATGAGTAACACAGACGAGTAGTAGTAATGGAGTGTACCATACACTGACTGCAGCATGGCTACTCTGCTTGATTAATAGGCTTGTACAGAAGAAAGATAAAACAACAGATCATGCTACAACTGAATAATGTAGTGTACAAAACATGTTGGCCAGATACTATTAACAGAGCAAGCTAACAAAGCAACTTGTCGAAACGTATAAATGTGAGCAAAATAGTAGCCTGGAAAGACAGTAGTATGCCAATCTGCAATCAGTAATAATCATGGCACATTCTCTCATCAGATTGGTTCCAGCTGGTTGGACTGCTGCATGACCTTGGAAAAATCCTCGCTCTTGACAATGAACCTCAGGTAAGGGTAAGACGCTGGATATGGAGACACAAGTGAACAAGTATGCCAGCTGATGGCTCTTCTTGGAAACAATGTTTAACTAACACATCAGTTCAACTGTACACATTACACAAATGTGAGTATGCAGTATCAGTTCTAGGCGTTCCATTGTGTAACACCATTATACAGAAAAACAAACAAACAATAACGTCAGCCAAAGAATAAATATATGTTTACAAGATGCAGTTATGGAGGGTAATGGGTTCATCGGGAATCAGCTGCAGTCTCTGCCACTGCCACGAAACATCGAGAAAGCACACTGTAGAAAAGACTAGCTTCTACTGGTAGGGAACATATAAAACACACTACCTTTATTGAATGTTGATTAAAATTGCAATATCAGGCTGTGTCCCCGCCTGATGTCACAGTTTGAATCATCACGCAATAAAGATACTATTTTTATATGTTCTCTACCGATGGAAGCACCCCAAATACAAATGTATTACAAATAATATACCTATACAGATCTGTGGGATTCCACCTATAAACTTTCTGCTTCAACTGCTATAATGCTGCATTTTATGAGCATTTCATACAGATATAATCTCTTTATAAATGTATAAATTGCTCATAAAGATTGTGTTGGTATTTCACTGACATTCCAACCCAGTCAAAAGATATCATGAGATAAAGTAGGAACTACGGCTGGGTATAAATGCTCTTTTTGTGGATGATTCTGTGGTCTTGTGGGATCCTCCATAGACATCAGTGTTGCACTCCTGTGCCTTTGCCATGTTGGTGCTTGGCATATGAAGCGCCAGGAGCTGAGGAGGACCTGCGAGGGACAGGAACAGGTAAGTAAAAGCTACCTTCCCTTTAATCTCAGAAGGTAACACAATTGCTTTAAGTTTAATTAGTCACACCGCAATAGGTAACAGCAACATTTTAAGACCAACAAGCTAAAGACATATTCTGAGATCAGTGACCAACAGGCAATGTACAGTAAATAACGCATCCATGGCTCAGAACATACTTAAAAAATGATGTTAAAGTGTCAATATGTCGTTCCAGGTAAAATACTTTTTTAATATGATCTTTTTAGGTTACTTCTAATAAGTATTGTCCAAGTCAGTGTAAGGCCATCTAAACCATCAAACTAATGATTCCTTATTTTTACGCCCATCGTCTGTTGATATTGGGTTTTGATAAGGTCTCCATCTTTCTTATGATCTGATTCATGGTTGGTTCCTTGCAGTGGGCTGTTGTTGGAGACACATTTCCAGTAGGCTGTAAGCACCAGAAATCCATTGTTTTTAGTGAAACAACCTTTAAAGACAATCCAGATGCACATCATCCGGTGTACAGGTGAGAAAAAAACTTAAACACAAATAAACATAACTATACCAAATGTAATGGTGGGGATTTTCACATATATTTATGGATGATCCCTGTACATAAGTAAATTTCTTTCAACGTCTTGACAATCCCCAGAGTACAGTAATATGGCAATGCTATCTATTCAGGGCATTAATAAAAGTTACATACTTTATGGTCATGGCCCATAAAGACTAGATGAAATATGCATTTTTTTTCTAAGCAGTCCATTAGTATTACTAAGGAAACCCATAACTGTGTTCTTTTCTTTTGTCAGTCAAATTTTGATTATGTATGGTTATGCATATCACACACATTAGAAAGATCAATAGCGAATGTCATATTTTAAAATCAGTAACATGAAAAAGACAATTTTTTGCAATGAAGTAACGTTCGACGACTATGACTGATTGTAGCATGTCCTATTGTTTAATCATATTTTTTTTGCCTTTTAACAGCACACAATATGGGATGTATGAACCTAACTGCGGACTTGAGAATGTGCTAATGTCCTGGGGACATGATGGTAACTATACTGTTTAACTCAAGTGAGGTGAATAGTAGCATGACGTAAGGAAAAGTTGACTTATCACACTGTGCTACATAATAGCATTTAGGAAAGTTAATGGTTTATAACCCTAAAATCTATGGATACGAAGGTGTACTCTCCTAGCCTTGTGCTACTAATAGATAGTATGCTTATTGCAGGGTTTATCTCTCCGGCTGAGAAAGATTAGCAAACTCTCTCAGCCAATGAGCTAGCTCAACGTTAGTAGTGGAGATAGGGAGCAGTTCTCAGTGAACCCCATGCGAAAAGTCAAACCATTCAAAAATTGTTTGAGTATTTATACTGGCCAATCCAATGCCACCTGGCACTATAACTACAACAGCAAGCTGTATTGGTTATGGTGCATGAAGTGTTCTTTTAAGTTTGTCAATTTCAATCCTTCACATTTTCCCTTACGCCTTGTTGATTCAAAAGAACACAAAACATGGAACATTTCTCCCAGGTTTATTCACTGAAGTGACAATTGCTGTAAATTCATAGCGAATTCCGAGTGAATTACACATTTTTAGCAAAATAGCCAAATTGAGACTAATGCTTCCAATTTAGCTAAATTTGTAATTCATTGTGAATTACAGTCAGTTCTCACTTTAGTAAATATCCCAGTCAGGTTTATTCTCTACAGTGTCTAAGGAATTGTCAGGAATGTAAAGTGAATTTCAAAATGTAGATCAAAATATGTTTTTACTTTGCAATAAAATCTGTTATTCAGTTTGATGTCCAGATAATTCACAGCTTAGAGAATTATTCTTCCAGTTTAATAAATAAACCCCAGCTGTGTTAAGCGAGTCCTGTATTGCAGGGTCATAGCTTTCGGCAACAAATTATTGCTTGAACGTAGCTATTCTGGACTACTTGAAATTCAGTTTTTAAGTCACTTTATAATAAACTAACCTCTAAAATTTCTCGTTTTCCTATAGAGTACTTGTATAGAGTGCTGAAGTTTAACGAATGCTCAATCCCTGAGGAGGTAAGAGGGTGGGTTTCACAATGACATATCATGAAATAGGAAACTCATTTTCTTTAGTGTCTCCAGTAATGTTACAGTAGATGGATGGGAACATGCGAAGCTTGGAAGTAGATATTCTGGCAAACACATTTCCTAGGTGTAAAACGATCAACTACTGGCCCTGATATTTTTTGAGAAAGTATTTCAGGACCACATTTCTTTAGAGGCAATTAGAGATTATCATTTGGTTTGTCTGTAGTCTTCCCATTGCGTTATCAATATTTCCTCATCTGCTACACACAATTCTACCTCTACCTTGACCATCAGTAGTTTTTCCACTCAAACTTTTGCTTTCCACACTAAGCATTCTCACTCTGTACTTCTCTCCCACCTGCATTGTCTCTACTCCATCCTAGACCCCAGGCTCAAACATAGTCACTGGTATTCATGACATTTGCTTCCCATTTTCCATGTCCAGTTTCAATATCATACACCAAGCATTTTAAGACTTTTTAAACTTCCAGATGGTACTCCCCCTCGATCTATCTTTACCAACAGTTATTGCCAACACAGTTCTAAGCCCCTTCCCCTCTAAATGCTTACCTTTTCTGGGGTATCATTTTCACACAGTTTGCACTTATTGTATATATACAATGAAATGGGATCTGTCACTTCTCACAATTATTATGTTTACCTATCCCTTAAATTTAACAGATGGGTTTTTTCTGAGGTTCAAAACATTATTATTACTACTACTACTGGTATTTTTATTTTCATTTATTTATTCTTTATTCATTTTCATTTTTTTTTTCTAAAATAAATAAATAAATAATAACCATACAAGGCATAAAATTCACAATAAACATACAATTTTATAAAATTCTTCTCCCCTAATATAAAACCTCACATTCGTAATATGACATTATCCCATTTTGTTAGAAGAGGTTACATATAGAACAACATAAATGTATTGCTGGACAGCTCCTAGAAAAGTTACATTTTCTCGACTAATCCTTGGGTTATTTATTTGTCTTGCTCACTCAGGGATCAATTTTATCCATAGATCCCAACTATGATTCCTCTTCTGAGTAAAATTGTGATACTTATCTATTCCTATTTCCATATTTAATTGGAAGAGGAGTTGGTTTTTAACCTCGGTCCACAATGGCGGTATACAAGATTTCCATTTTTTGGCTATTGTGATCTTTACTGCTAATAAAACATGTACTACTATGTCGTATTCTGCTTTGGACATTTTTGGAAGATTTAGATGTAGTAGATATGATTCGGGTTTCAGTGGAAGTTAATCTTACTAATTACTTGGATTTTATCCTTTATCTGTCCCCAAAACCTCAGAATCGGCTCACACTTACACCAGATATGTAATAGATCGCCTTTTTGTGATTCACATCTGCAGCAAATTAAAACACTGTGCCTGTACATCCTTTTATTTGCAGATAATTAAAAGTTTCTCCTTTAAGTTCTTGTGCTTTTTCCGAAATTTCTGTCAATGTTTTAATACGTTTGGCCTCTAATAAATAATTTGTCATTAAACAGCTTCTTTACCATTTACCGAGATTTATATATTTTATATTATTTGCTAAATTTTTCAGTGAAGTGTTTGTTAGAATTTTATTTTCTTCCTAAATTTCTGCCAATTAGTTAAAATATGGTCGAGGATTAAACAATTTTTAACTTTAGATATTTTCGATACTTCTGTTGTCCAAAATTCAAACCCTAAGTCTTTCTGTTTTGTTAGGTCTTTTTCAACCTTCTACCAGTTTTAAATGCATGCATCAATATGCTTGTGTTATGATATTCCTGTATATCTGGCATAGAAAGACTCCCTTGTGCAGGTTTCAATTTAAGACAATCTAGTTTTAGCCTTGATTTTTTTACTGCGCCAAAATTTTTTCTAAATACCGTCTTGATCATAGAAAGCCAGCTGCTTGGAACTGAAAGGGGTACCATACGGAAAAGGTATAACCATCTGGGGAGAACATATGATCTTAAAATATTTATTCTTCCACAAAATGAGAATTTCCTCTTTCCCCAGTCTTTTAACTGTTTAGTCATTTGTTTAAGGAGAGGTAAGAAATTTGCTTCCATTATTTTATTTGGATCAGAGCATATCGTTATACCCAAATATTTCATACTTGATGCCCAGTCAAATTTGTATTTAGCTTTCAAGAACTCTTTAGTTTGTACTGTGACAGTTTTTATTAAAGCTGTGGTTTTATTAAAATAAAGCATATAACCAGACACCTCAGAGAATTGTTCTAAAACCCTAATCGTTTTTTCTAAGGAGTTTTCGGGATCCTCTAAGGTCACTATCACATCATCCGTATACAAGGTTCAGTTTCAGTTCACCGGAATTTGTACTGAACCCTTTAATCTTTTTATTTTCTCTAAACTGAGAGGCCAGTAGTTCCAATGACAGAATATATAAAATCGGGGAAAGCGGACAACCCTGCCTGGTTCCAATTGCCAGGTCGAACCAGTCAGAGCTGATGCCTCCCCCAAGTACTTTGGCTGTTGGACCGGAGTACAGGGTCATAATGGCCTCCAACATCCACCCATGAAAACCAAATACTCTCAAGAGTTTTCTGAGGAAATTCCACCCAACCCTGTCAAATGCCTTTTCAGCATCTAGAGACAGTGTCAAGTGGGGTATTCCCTCTGATTGCACTGCATCCAGAATATCTATCAGTCTCCTGACATTTTTTGTGGATGATCTTCCGGGGACCAAGCCCACCTGTTTCGGATGGATCAATGTTGGAACCACCTGCTTTAATCGCTCTGCCAGAACAGCAGAGTATAACTTAATATCAGTATTGATGAGCGAAATAGGTCGATAGTTACTAATCAGTCCAGGATCTTTCCCTTCTTTTGATATTGTTATAATGTTTTCTTGTAATAGTTTTTAGGTACATCTTTTCCTCCAGCAATCACGTTAAATGTTTTGGTCAGGGGTTCTTTTATGACATCTTTTATTATTTCTATAAAACAAGTTGTTAAATCCATCCGGATCAGGTGATTTTCCCCCTTTCAATAACCCATTCTACCTTATTCTCTGATATCTTCATATTTAATATTTTAGATTGTTCTTCAGTTAAGTGAGGTAGTTTATTTTATCCAAATAATCTATTATCTGTACCTGCGTAGGTTTAGTTTGAAGATTATATAATTGGTGATAGAATTCTTTGTAGGTGGTCCCTATCTTTTCCGGAGTCAATAGTATCTCATTCTTTGACCTCATTAATGTAATGTTTTTCTTTGCTTTTATTTTTTTAGTTTATTAGACATTGTTTTGTTAACCTTGTTCCCTTGATAGCACCATTTCCTATTAAGGCATTCTAGTCCCCTATTAACTCTATCTGTAAGTAAATCTTTTATGTTTTTTTCTACTTCTACTATTTTTTGTGTTAATGCCCTGTCTGGGTTAAGTTTATTTTGTCTGGTTAACTCCTCAAGTTTGATATAGTAATCTGCTAATCCGTATGGATTTTTCCTCTTCTCTCTACATAGTTACATAGCTGAAAAGAGACTTGCGTCCATCAAGTTCAGCCTTCCTCACATTTGTTTTTTGCTGTTGATCCAAATGAAGGCAAAAAAAACCCAGTTTGAAGCACAATTTTGCAACAAGCTAGGAAAGAAAATTCCTTCTTGACCCCAGAATGGCAGTCAGATTTATCCTTGGATCAAGCAGTTATTACCCTACATTGAAAGATTATATCCTTGAATATTCTGTTTTGCAAGTATGCATCTAGTAGCTGTTTGAACATCTGTATGGACTCTGATAAAACCACTTCTTCAGGCAGAGAATTCCACATCCTGATTGTTCTTACAGTAAAAAAACCTTTCCTTTGCTCCTATTTTAATCAGCTACCCTCTAATTACACATTTATATGCGCACCATGTCATGGGGGCAGAGACTTCCATGTCCAAATTTTCTTTAAATAAATTATCCGTTACTTTTTTCAGTTGTTGATATTCTTCTTTATTTAACAAAATATTATTTAGCCTCCAATTATTTTGTCCCCTTTTCTGCGCTTCTTTTAGTTCCAGCACAACAGGATTGTGGTCTCACCATACTAGAGTTTTAATATCTATTTTTTTAATTAGCTTAAATAGGTCTCTGAAAATCATGTCTATCCTTGAATAACTTAAATAAGTTTTCAAAAAATAAGTATAGTCTAGATCTTTAGGATGTGTAATATTCCACATGTCCAACAAAGCAATATCCCTTAAAAGTTCTCAATCTTTTTTGCATTGTTTATCACATTCCTATCTACTTTCCTGAGAGAACATATTTTTTTATCAAGCTTTGGATCCATTTTGCAGTTAAAGTCTCCCATGAGAAACAAACTACCTTATTTTATTCTATCGATCTTAAGAAACATTTTCTTTATAAACTTAATTGGGGATTGGTTTGGTACATAAAGGTTATTTATTTAAAATATCTCTACTGATCTTACAAATCAAGATCACATATCTGGCTTCCATGCCACTTTCCTGCTATATTATTTCAGGAGATAAGTTTATAGAAAAGAGGATTACCACGTCTCTCTTTTTCTTGCTCTCCAAGGACGCACTGAAAATCAGCAGGTAATCTTTAGGTGTCATTCTTTTCTCCTCACCCATTGTCCAGTGCATCTCTTGGAGAGCACAGGTCTGTATATTTGCTTGTTTTAAGACATGGTATACCAATGACCTCTTTTGCTGAGAATTAATCTCTTGAGTATTTAATGTTGCTATTCTAATGTTTGTTTACCCAATGTTTTACTTCCTCTCTGAAGAGCTGCATCGCCGGACTTACAAAAAACAACAAAAGAAAACATTACTAACAATACATAAGAACAAACATCCCTACAGAACATACACACCCCATTTGTGTAGATCTGTTTCGACTTGAGTTTGTTTGACAATCTCATGTGGAAGTTTTGGTACCATAAAAAACTAATTATCAGTAATTCAGTTTACCTTTTTATCCTTAATTTATATCAACTCCCTATTTTCTTCCATTTTAACTCTGCACAACATTTTTTTCATATTGTTTCTTCTGGAATGGTCTTCCAAATCCGCAATTTTTTGTTCCATAATTTCCATTTTCTTTTCATTTTGTTTATTTATATCTTTATACGTCCTGGCTTGAGCTTCCAGGTTCTATTTCTTTAACTCTGTTTCCTAACATAACTATGTCCTTTTTTAGGTCCTGCATATTAATTTAATTTCATGTTATATTTTTACCATGGATCATGCTTCCACTGAAGGAAAGGAAAGCAGGAGGGGTGCAAAATAGACACACAGAGACAGACTTTTAAACTCCCCTACAGACACCATTTACATTCCTCCACACACAAAGTACAGTCAACACACATACAAGCACTCAACCAACACACATAGCCTTCTCTGCACACACCACTCAGTCTCCTTCCCACACACACAACACTCACAGAACAGAGTTAAGGGCTCTAGGAGGAGGCCCCAATCTAGCATCCTGCCTAGGGCAGAGGGCAATCTCAATCCAGCTCTGGTTTTCTTGCAGTGAACAAATGTATGCAGCCTGTTAATCCACTACAAAAGTAGATCTTTTCTTTACATTTTGTCTTTGCTGGATACAACTTTGAGCTCCTAAGAAATATATTGAGTAAAAGCTATTCATTTGGAGTCATATACCACAAAATAAATTACACAACACTACCAAAATATGGATGAAGACATGTGGACAGCCCCTCATATTTTCAGATTACATTATTTTACCCATGCCTATTGACAACACGTGCATGATATCAAGCAAAGCCATTCAATCTCCAAAGATAGACAAAGTGCAGAGCTCAGTGACATTCAATGTGGTCTGGTCATCAGATGCCACATCCTAACAAGCCAGTTCACCAAGTTATTTCCCTACTGCTAATTTGTAAGCAGTACTGTTGTGAAGTGAACATGTCTAGGAGACAGCTCAGGGACTGCCATGTAAAATTATTTTCGCTCAGATGAAACACTTACTATAAAGAGCCAACTGCCACTGAATGCAACTACTACACAAGTGTAGTTAATCTTGTTTGATTCCAACCACTAAAATTCAAGTATTTTGTATGTCCTGAAAAATAATATTTAACCACTACATTCCTAGAATTAAGTATAAACATTGTTGCGGTTATTTACTTTGTAGAAAGACATTTAGTCCATAAAGCCTCCCTCTCCCTTATTTATAGGAATGCTTATCAGTCTATAGAGGAGCACATATCTTTACCAGAAGTCACTTGTTACTGGTAAAATGCCTGGAATTGTGCTGAAAATATAAGTTCATGCCCACCTTTCAAACAGTGAAGGAACTTTCACTAGGAGATATCATTCCAACAGTCAAAGAAGTGGGGAGTAATGAATGGACTCTATCATTTTAGTGTTAGCATTACATTAACATTCCAGAGATTGATAAAGATTGCTATAGTAGTTTTAAACCTCTTTATTTTAGAAATATATTATTTAACTGTATTTACTAAATGTGAGCATCATGCTCTAATGCAGACATTCTTTTTATATTCTGTTGCTATTTTTAGTAAGCTGCACTGCTGGTAATGGCTTCATGGTTCTTAACAATAAACAAGGTTTCTTGACCATAGTTATTTTGTTACACCTACTGTATGTGAGAAAATTTTTTTTTAACTTTTATACTATACGTTTAGACTACGTGTGAAATATTGCAAAATAAGATAAACTCTATACTGTATATAGCTTCAAAGTAGTGTTAGGAATACAAGTTTGTAATTGCTAACGTTATAGTGTTTCTTTAATATACAGTACATATTTGTGCATAAGTTGTATTCACAAAATACAAGTGTTATGAATTGATATAAATGTGGTATTCAAACAAAACAGGGGAAATGCACAAATATCACTTTCAGTGATTTTCTTTGATATAGATGTCAGACAGTTCAATGGTGCTTACTGAATTTGATTAACCGAACTCTGGCAACAATTAAAACTATACTCTGAGGTTTTGTTATTTACTACAGTTAATCCACTAACAGGGCTATTATATTCTACTACAAAATTCTGAAACCAGTTTTAACTAATCTTGATGAAAATGTGCAAACACTTTAGTAAACTGTGAATTATAGTGAACGCCTGTTTGAATTTTAGACACATTACTTACAGTTAATGATTGTGTTTGTGTGCCATTTATTTGGCATTGTATATATCTGGCTGATTATTAATACTTGTTTTTGCAGGGACTATACATGATCCGATTTCATTCATTTTACCCTTGGCACACGGGAGGGGATTACCAACATCTATGCAATGAAAAAGACCGAAAGATGTTACCATGGGTACAAGAGTTCAAGTGAGGACATTTACTGGTATTTTATGGAATTGGGACTTTCCATGGCAAATTACCTAAAAACACAAATCCAGTCTTATATTTTCAGGGTTAGCTACTAAAGTGAGAGTTTTCTGGAATTCAAAGTAAATTTAATTCGAATGGTTACTTTAAACCTTTAAAATGCTCTAAAACCTAAAAAAAAAAAAAAGGATTTCTTATTCATCTGGAATCCAGTGGCTTATCCTGAGGTCAATGGAGCTATGCGCGGTCCAATCACAAACTTCTCATATGGAAGCCTGTGATTGGACTAATTGCTGGCTCGGACTGCATGTTCGCCCCCTGGGCTGGCAAAGAGAATGGAGACGCTGAGATAGGGAATGGAGAGATGGAGGGAGAGTTTCAAAATAAAGAAATACATACAATGTAGAGAGAGGACTCACCCTCCGGGAGGGAGAGCTAGCTACCCCTTGCAGGTGCTGTGTCTACACAGAACAAAATGTGTATGTCTGTCGGCAGTGTGCTGTCGGCAATATGCACAGAATTGATATTAGACAGGCCAGAACAGGCTTCTGGGCTGATAGTTTCATGTATGCTTGGGGTGCAACTAGTCCCCTGCACTCAATTAACAAGAACTCCGTACGTGCAGAGTTTCAATCAGAAACACTGCACATAAATACTCCTACCACCATTACTCCTTCAAATCACCATAGTGGTTGGAGTAACCCTTTAAGGCCAAAGTATTTTAACTGGAAGCTTAGTTAACTTGGAGATTATTATTATTTTGGATACTTTGGTCTCAAATTTGAATTCTAGACAACACTCCCCTTAGCATATAACTCTGTTTGCATGATTGTAATTGATGTGTCCTGTTGAACTGTAATTTTATATTTTCACCTAAAATAAAAGTCTGTCAGGTATGGGCAACCTTCGGCACTCCAAATGCAGTGGACTACATCTTTCTCTTACAGTCATAATGCTGGCAAAGCATCAGTGGAGATGTTGTTTACAACATCCGGCGTGCCAAAGACTTACCTAGATTTTATAGTTCCAGTAAATTTGGTAAATTCAAATGGCAAAACTGGGGCAAAAACAGTCACATTGTGAATATCGCACTGTTATAAATTTTTTCCTGATCAGCAATTTCCCCCTTCATTTTCCTTTCAGTTTCAATTTGTGAAAATTCTGACTTCAGCAAATAGCTCTGTCAATGTCCATGTCTTTTGGTAGGCTCCCCAATATTTGTAATTGAAATTATTTTACGTCAGGACAAATAGATTGAGCCAACGCTACCACAGGAAGTCGAATAGGTATCTGGCAATTTCAATCATGATAAATTCTATAACGCCCAATATGCAAAATGATGCAAGTATGAGTGGTGTGGTGTGGGAGCACAAGGACGTCCTGTAGAAGACTGTCAGGGTTATTTCATTAGATTAGAATTGAGAAATTCAAAATGAACGTAAAATTTAAGACCAAAATTGCTGAGCTGGAAAGATTATTCAAGTCAGTTTGGCTAATTTTGTTTAAAATGAAATTGACTTTAATTTCCAGACAAATACCATTTTACGGAATAACCCTAAATATATTTGAAAACAGCATAGAAGTATACAATAAAATAGCTTAAGTAAAATTTATATTTTTAAATTTGCAAATAGGTTGCATTCTGTATAAAGAGCCCTTACATCATACAAGTAAGACAAGGTAACAAACTTCATGCTGTTCACAGTTTAAAGGGACACTATAGTCACCAGAACAACTACAGCTCATTGCAGTTGTTCTGGTGAGTATAGTCAGTCTCTGTAGGAATGTCCATGCAAACACTGTTTTCAGAGAAAAAGCCTAGGGACACCTCCAGTGTGCAGCACTGCCATTAGCATCTCCACGCTCTGCATGGAGATGATGAACTTTCCTCATAGAGATGCAGTGAATTAATGCATCTCTATGAGATGTTGATTGGCCTGGCCAGTGTTTGGCCCCACCCCCACCCCCACCCCGCCTCCTTGGGAAAGCATTGTTTTGGCTGAGATTATCAATTCTGATGATGCCAGCCAAAGAGGCGGATCTGGGACAGGGCCAGCTATTGCAGACCCGTGGAGAGCTGGAAATAAGGTACGTTTTAACCCTTTCTAAGGGGGCAAGTATTTGTATTTTTATAAGGGTTTGTATTTCTGACCCTATAGTGTTCCTTTAAGGTCTGTTTGTGGTGAACTTTGGTTTGTTAAGGGTTGATATTTTTGCCATTTAAATTACCTTATAGTGCTAGAATTGTGCACAACTCCTTTAATGACCAGTGAAGTCTGGGGGCTGACATGACTTCACGTGTGTGTATATATGTATGTGTATGTGAAAAGCACTCCAGGGACTTCATATAAGGTGAAAAAATAAACTTTATTCAGCAACTGCCAAAAGTGATCATATATATATATATGACAGATATATGTATGAACTATCAGTGCTGATTCTGTTCTTATCTGCCTCCTACAGCAAGTTTGATCTTTACACAAAGACAGAGGAACTGCCAGATGTGGAGAACCTGCGGCCATATTACCAGAATCTCATAGATAAATACTGCCCAAGGATTATGAGCTGGTGATTTTTGCCTAAAGATTTGAGAAGTTGTGAATTAATCACCCACACTAACCATCAAGGAAACAGGTTTATCCAGTTAATATTAAATATCAACTTCTATGACCATTTCATGTAATTGTCAACATTTCTGCATGGAGACAGTAATGGCAAAATTCACATAGGTATGAAAACCCTCTATAGGAAGACTTTTTCTTCTAATTTATTTTAAGTAAGTTCCCATACAGTTTCCCCAAAACCTGCCTCACAGCTCATCATCAACTAATGGGATCCTGAAAATAAAAGTTAAATAAAAAACAAAACATTTTTTCTTACACAAATTTATACCGTACAGAATTAGAACTCAAATATTTACTCTTCATTAAAACAAGTCACTTCCCTCTATTTTTTTTTTATTATTCATCCTTGTTGTCCTTCTGTTTCAACTTTTTACATTAACATTAAAGGTTTTATTATAGATAAGAAAAAGTAGGGCCTAAACTCTAGAGTGTGATCTTTAACAATAGGCAGAACTAAAGAGTTTCTCCAAGCATTATAACCACTACAGCCCTCGGTGGCGGTTATGATGCCAGGAGTACTACGGCCCAGTTAAGGTGCAAAAGTTAAACAGTTTGGTCCTTTACCCGGATCCCCACTGGGATCCGATGCACCCTGGAGGTCCAATGATGCCCTTCCAGGGCTGCAGAGGCCGGAAGCCACGGGAGTCGATATTCATTGGATGAGAGCAAATGACTGTCATTCAGTGCCATGAAAGTTGCCCAGATTTGACATTAGAAAGCCTTGAACTCTAGTGCTGGGATGATGACATCTCTATTGCCGCTGGAGGTGCAGTTACACCTCAGGCAGCAGAGGGTTTTTTCTATCCAAAGCGACAAAATGCTGTACATAGAGATGCCAGCCACCATTACCACTTCATGTCACTGACATGGGCATGGTGCTTGGAGTAATCCTTTAGGCAAGGTTCCATTTCAGTTGCTAAACCAATATACTCACATTCCATCAGTCAGAAAAAAGGGCAGTACTGCTTTGGGGTAAAAGCATCTGACATGATCTATTGTTAGCATGGAAGAAATACATAATTAAAGGGGAAATACCCAAATCCCCCTCACGGAATAAACAAAACATCATAAATGATCATGCTGAGCAATCTGTCCAATGGTCCGTCAATGTCAGATTTCCAAAGCATGGACAAATAATGGTTGTTATATACCACTCTGCCAGATCTTCCTTACTATTGTGTAGTATGGGTGACCCTTCATACATTGGAGTTACCACTTTAACTACAGGTTTCATAGACTACCTAAAGTTGCAATACATTCTCTTTTCAGCTAGATTCCAGCTATGTTGTCTTTAAAATGTCAAATTCAAATGCCAAATCTAGGGTGAATCTCTATATCAAACGTGAAATAAAGCACACAGACTGCTTCAACAAAAGTGACGCACATATGCAAACAATGATTTATTAAAAAATACAAAATCGTGTGCATAAAATACCAATTGACAAAAGCCTCTTTGGAAATAATATGGGGATCAGACATACACTTAGTGAACATTCATGTAACAGAATTGTGTGATTGGACGCATGTTTGTAAGGATTATTAACACTGGCATATGTTGCAGATAGATGAGGACATCTGTTTAGTGGTGCTGCTCTCCAGTCTGACTATCTCTTAACATTGGTTTAATTGCCAATTAGTAAACCTTTAGTGGAAGGTATGAGGTTATGATAATACAGCTTTACCAAAAGTACACGGTGCTCAGATACTGCTGTAGAAATTAGGTTAGACATAGCTTTGTCTATCCAAGGGCAAAGAAAACCATTACTAGAGTATATTCATCTTACAAACACACACCAGTGCCAATAACCCTTATTGTAAAGTTTCTTTAAACCTGGAGATCACCCACTACAACAATAAGGCACCTACAGAACACGTGGTCACAGGATCTTATCTATTCCTGTCTAACAAGGCACTTTCATAGAGTCACTTGATTGGATATTTTGAAAAACAGCATGGACAAGCTCATGGCCAACAAGTGGTAAAAAACAATCATCTAGGCTTTCACACATTTCTTCTTCCCGAACCTCAAGTACAGTAAATTTTTTCCTGATAAACATCAGTTTGGCAGCAAAACAAAAGCAGGATCTTCAACATGACAAACATTTTTAGGACCAATTTGATTTGGCATGATCAATAAAGCTAAAAAAAAAAACATGTCTGCCTGCTTGACAAAGCAAAAATATACATAAAATAGGTCAGAAGGGTGCAATCAGTGTCAAAGGAACCAATCCATTTTTAGGATGATTATATCAGACTCATAACAGTCTCTTTTTAACACCAACATTTTGCAGATAATTAAAAACTGTATTAAAAATACAATGGAAATATTTTATTACAGTTCAAATACAGATATTTCAACACATATGCAGATTATTGTTCTGGCAAGTTCTGAGCCAATGTAGTTGGAAGTTCATTTGTATAAAAAGAATCGAGATGTCACCAATCTTTGATGTCAATTAACTTAAAGAAAATGTGAGAATATTTATTTTTAACATAACCTATATAAAGTTCAATTATCTACAAAATGTTGTAAAAACAAAATGGATCCACAAAAGGGGTCATTTGAAGTTGGCAATATCAAGAACGTGTGTGCTGATGTGGGTCTTTTAGGGATTTCAGATAAATATTGACACATGTAGAACAAATATCTCTTACAAACTCACCCCAAAACAGGACACCTTATGGTAATATGGTGTTACCTTCCCATCATTACCAGATAATGAACAGTAGTGGTAGGTGGAAGGAAGAGAGTATGACTCCTGCTTTCATTAACTCTTTTCACTCTTCTTGTTTCTGCGTGTTGCGTCTCCTGCATGGCCAGAGGTCTTTGCAGATTCCCCCTGTCCACTGCTCCCCTTCTGTTTTTTCTTCTCAGTGTGAGACTTGTCATGACTTCGCTGTTTGGGATGCCCTAACTTGCGTCTCCCAGTTAGCAAATATTGGAAGAGTGAAATAATGAAGACTGTCACAATGAGTGAATAGATGAGTAAGGGTGCAGAAAAAGAATTAAGGAATTCTCTGATGAGCTTGAGTGTATAAGGAAGGGGAGCATCTAAGGACCGACGAAGAGGTGGCTTGTCCTGCAAGAAGGGATACATAAAGATTATGTACAGCTCTAAAGAGAAAGCCTTTAAACATCTTTTATTTCTTAGTATCAAATTCTGCATGTCAGGGATGTTCTTGACATCGGTTTTATTTTCCTATGATAGAATCTGCACTAATTTTGCTCTTCGCCTTTAAAAAATTGGTTGAAATGCTATGCCACCCACTTTGTAAATTGTGGTCAAGTTAGATGGTCCAGTTCAGCACCCTAAGGCAGGTAGTCTATCATTTGCCTACACTAGTCTTAAAGGATGCATCCTTTAACCCGTTGATGACAATTATATTGATCAAGCATAGCAATATGGAACAGTTTTTTTCTTCCAATTATGTCACAAGGATAGGCAACCTTTGGCACTCCACATGTTGTGCACTACATCTCCCATAATACTATTACAGTGATAATGCTGGCAAAGCATCAAGGGAGTTGTAGTTTACAACATCTAGAGTAGAAGTTTTTTTATACTTAAACTAGGAACTAATTGCTTTTATATGATTATGGTTGCTTGATGTAAGATGTTTTTGGAGATTCATTAATGGGATGGTGGTAAGTTTTAGACCATAATCATAAAAATACTATATATAGTTTGATAGATATGTCCAAACAGCCATTGCGAAGCTTTCATTTATGTCAATCTTTATTGAGTTATTGCAAGGTAATACATAGTAAAGGTATCAGCGTAGTTTGGAGTACACTCCCAGGATAAAATGCAAAATTTTTACAGTAAGTAAGCATAATAACACAGGCGAGGGTTAAAGAATAATGAAAGATTACTCAAACGGTGCTTTTCATGAGCAAGATATTGCAAATTAATCATGCTGAGTGTTAAACAACACAGATTCTTTTTTAGTAAGTAGAGTCAAGTTAGGTAACTTGCATTAACAGAATAAGTCTGGAAGGTAAACGTGTAATTCACTGACGATACGCTACAGAGACGGTAAGCAAGACATGATTGAAACTGGTGGATAATGTTAGGTTACATGCGAGGCTGACAAATAATATTCTAATCAGGAGAACTATTGTGATCCTTTATAGCAATTTGCACGGTCCTCTAAGGTACAAACATGTACAGTCTTTTGAAGTAACATAAATCCAGGCATTTTTGTTGTTGAAATTCACCACTGAGACAGCAGCAAATGAAAGAAACAATAATATAACAAATCCCTGTAAACAAAATCCTAGCTCGTCTGAGTGCCTACTAACATCAAATTCCCTATCTCTCAAGGGTTACACTATGTCTTGTCAACTCTCTGCACTCCAGTGCTCAGTCAGCCTACTGCTTCCAGCCCTCCAAGGGAGAAACAAAAATCTCACTTTACCTGCCTAGCAGGGAGGGGTTTATTCCCACTGCTGCAGCTGAGCAGTGTGTTGGAGACAGTCCAAAACCCTGGTCTGGACCTTATTTCTGTGAGTTGTGTAAAAACTGAGGAGTGGAGCTCTGGCCCACCCTACTCTCCGAATGCTCCACTCCAGGGGCCCATATCTAAACATTTAGTTATATACACACACACACACACACACACACACACACACACACACACACACACAACACATACTCCCCCTGGGCTTAAATGTCATATGCCTCTCTGAACAATGTAGTGGAAATATAAACTCCCTCACAAACCACACAATTCACCTTATCACACCAGGTTAGATAAACATGTCTATTCCACTGAAAATATGTTGCAGGGACAATAGGCAAGGCCCTATTGAAACTGGTAAGTCTTACACGTTAGGTTACATGCTAGGTAAACAATTTATAGTAGGTGTAATGATAAAAACATGGGGTAACATGCTAGGTCATAGTTAACATCGATCTAGCACACTAGCCATGGAATATTCAATATTGCTGATAAGCTCAGAGAGGAAAACAGAAATCCCTATCTAGTCATGATACTGACAGTGGAGTCTCTGTTCAACTGATGCCACTGGGAGGTCTGGATTCCATGCTATGAGTACTTTGTTGACCGCTCCGCCAGAGCCCATGTGCTAGTCCCACTGCTAGAGCCGCTTTCTGTGCCGCAAGCAATATCTTGGGGTGTCGTGGTGTGCGGTCGCACCACCCGAGTGGGTGGGATAGGCATCCGGGTGTTCCCCCTCCAGGCCCTCAGCCCAGGAAAGCAGCTGTGGGCTTTAGATTATGTAAGACGTGGCTTCTTCCTCAATGGCATCCCACTCTTGTGAGGGGTCAGTGGTTTCCGTATGTTGCCCGCCACAAGGTGTTGCTGGTCGGGAAGTGAGTAACTCTGCTTTACTGGTCTCTGCTTTTCCTGCAGGTTTCAGTCTGTTTTGCTTAGCAGCTTCTGCCAGAATCTGTTTAACAGGTTGTCCAGGCGCTGTTAGAGTGTTTTGTGCCGCCTGCTTGCCTCAGCAGTAAGGTCAACAGCCGCCATCTTGGTCTAGGTAGCACGACTGTGTGTGCAGCTTGGACTGACAAGCATTGAGAGTCCGTTGCTATTACTTGCTGGGATGACCCCCACCGGATGGGGGCGGGGGACGGGGTTTCCTGCTTCGTCAGCTTGTGCTGGCAGGATGGGGAGCAGGGAGATCATCCGTTTCTTCCATACTCGGCTCTGTTTGTAGGCCGCAATTTCCCTGTCAGGAGTAGCTTGACCGTCCAGGCTCAGAAGGCTCACTGAAGGAGTGCACGACGAATGCCAGTTCTCCCCCGTAGTTTAGTGGCGATTGAGTCTGAGAGAATTGTCAGGATTTCTGCTTTTTAGGGAGTTTAGCACGGAGCCCTCATTTCATGCGGCCCAGCCCACCGAAACTTTCATTTAAATGTACATGGACTCAAAAATAATAGGTCTACCTGCAGTTGTACATACATACATGACCACACAAAATCCTCAAACACTGCAATGTGCGTTTAAAAGACAGGAACAACATATTAACTAATTTTGCAACAGATCTGTGGAGAATTGGCTGCACAACACTATAAATGGTGACCTGATAAAATAGACCCAGGTGAAATATAGGCTTAGTAAAGTTTGGGAAATGTAATGCACACGTTACTGATTTGGTATACCCAAAACAGCATAAGAATATATGCTTGGAGAAGGTTGCTGTACACAGGGAACATGCATTAATAAATATTGGGGTATTTTTTTTTTTTTACATTTTAGGAAATTTTTGCGATGAGATACACTTAAGTGAGAAGACAACATTCAGATGCTATAAATAATGTGATTTGTCTCTCCCTTCCATCCAGCAACTAAGTATTGGGATTGCACACATTCTTTCATGAGGGAGCTTGTGCACCATTTTGTATCATGCAGACATGACTAGCTTCATTGATGAAACCAATGAATGAGTCAATTTGTGCATAGGAAGTCTTCTAACACCTTAATAAAATAACCCATATGCAGCTATGAGAGAAAAAGGATAAGTAGATTTCAGACATTTTTTGTGGTTGCTCACTGTAGATGTTGCAATCTTGGGAAGATCTGTCAAGACCTATTACTATCAACACAGCTAGGATACTGCACAAATATAAAGTGGAAGCCAAAAAGTCAGCTGTATCAAGCAGTGGCAAATAAACAAGTAGAAGGCATTTAATTCACAGACATTTATGCAAAAAACAAAAACGGGGTCAAAACTTAGACAGAACAAACACACCTTTAGTCCAAGCTCTGTTAATAAGGACTCCAGTGTGGGGTCTCCTAAGCTCACAGTAGGGAAGAATTCTTCCACATGACGCCGGCGCCACCAGTTTTTGGACAATGGTCTGCAAAACATATACAAATTTGAGCATGAGAGGCGATGCAGCAGAAGCAGATCTACAAAATAAGACTTTAAGATATATCTTTAATAGGTAGACCGTACAGACAGAAACAATGAAACAGCAACTGGGTTTGTAGATAGCTGGTGCAGCGAAAACAAAAATATAGCTACAACATCTACAAATGATGCCTGATTTTTCTAAATGTTAGAACTTAATTAATGTGTTCACTGTGATAAGATTTTAGATATTTATCACTCTATCAAGAAATTTAAAATGGAAAAAATAGACAAGGTAGGTCATTAACCTGCTTTCAAAATCCATCTAAGCAGGAGAAAGAAAGAAAAAATATATAATAAAAGGAGTTCATCAAGACAAGAATTCTGTCTACAGATGTTATGAATTTAGGCTTTGTTATAATACATTATATAATAATCTAATGAATATTCAAATTCTGAACATATCATACAAGGAAAGAGCACAGACAGTTTCTCACCCGGTTTCATCAGCTTCTGTGAACCAGTACTTGTACAGTTGGGCTCTGATGTAAATAGGGGGGTGTGCATGGAAGGGATACAAGGATTCATCATTCTGCACCAAGTGAATAACTGAGGATAAAAATAGAATGTTTATTAGAAATTATATATACACACACACACACACACACACACACCCACACACTAAAAAAACAAACAAAAAACAATACAAATTAACAAATTAGTACACGCTTTGTCCATTTCTGAGTTTGATCAACATAGTGTGTCAAAACTGGAAATAATAGAAAGTAAATAGGGGAAAGAGCGTTAGGGTACATTAAATTATATTAGGCCTGTAATGGATGTCAAATAGCCAAAACCTACATACAGAAAACCCCCTTAGCAATGTGTGACGTGTTGATGCGTTTATAATTATTGGTATTTATATAGCACCAACCAATTCCATGGCGCTTTACAATATTATAAAAGGGGAACATTTAACAATAAATGAGACAATTACAAAATGTTACAAGAACAATAGGTAGAGGAAAGCTCTGTTTAATCAAGCTTACATCTCAAGTCTACCTACAGGAGCATGAGGTAGACCCGGACAGGGTCTCCAACTTGGGTAACGCTTCAAATCAGCACAGCTTGGCATGGTTGCTCAGCTGTGGGATTTAAGACCCCATTTAAAAGGGCTATGTGCAGTGCTAAATTTAAGTGCTGCATACAGCTCATCTGTCCGTTTGATACCCTTTAAGACAAGCATGTCAAACTTGCGGCCCGCGAGCTTGCCATGATTACTAAGGCAGAGTAGGTATCTACTCTCCTTATGTTGCAGGTGCCTACTCTGCTCAAATTTACCCGGTACTGGCTGGAGGAGAGGTCCCTGACGGCAGCGAGGCAGCTCAGTCTTCCTGCTCCTCACTGCTCCCTCTGTAGTGATGCTGGGTGCTGGAATAAGACGTCATATTCCGGCACCCAGCATCACTAAACGGCGCACGTGAGGGAGCAGAGAAGAGTGCGTGCGCCTGTCCATCAGAGAGAGTGCGTGCGCCTGTCCGTCAGAGAGAGTGCGTGCGCCTGTCCGTCAGAGAGAGTGCGTGCGCCTGTCCGTCAGAGAGAGTGCGTGCGCCTGTCCGTCAGAGAGAGTGCGTGCGCCTGTCCGTCAGAGAGAGTGCGTGCGCCTGTCCGTCAGAGAGTGTGTGTGTCTGTCAGTATGTGTTGGTCAGTGTTGTGATGGCCGCGGCTGGAAAGTGGAGGACCTGGAGGTGCACGGAGGCAATGCCACGTCACAGTCCGACGTGACGTCAACATTCTCTACCTTTCAAGCAGTAGCGGGAGGATCCGCTTTGGCACAGGGTGCAGACAGCGCCATTGGAGGTATACCAGAGGCTGGACTCCAGAGTCGCATACTGGCAGCGGCAATGTGAGTGGAGTCTGCTTGTTGGCTATTATTGTTTTTTTGTTTAATACAAGGGCCGGGGTTTAGTGGGGGAAATGGGATTTAGTATAGAGGGGGGGACGGGACTGGGATTTAGTACAGAGGGGGATGCTGAATTTTTTTTATACTGTACTTTTCAAAACAAAGCTATGTTTCTATGAAAATTTAAGGTTTTTTTTTTTTTTTTGCGCAGTCCACATAAACTTAAACCTTGTTTATGTGGCCTGTGCTAGAATTTGAGTTGGACATGCTTGCTTTAAGACAACTCAAAATGGATCACATAACTCTTGTTACACTGAATTTAGTTTCTGCCCCACTTACCATCTTTGTTGCCCTGTAAGAGGCGGTAGACAAAGCTCGTAAACCAGGAGCTCTGTGAGTGATGTCCAAGAGCTGCAAACCACATCTGCCAGTCCAAGCGAGGCTGGTGGGGTGTAACCACAGGGGGAGCCACACTGATGTTTCCTGGCTTATACATGAACTCAATCTCCTGGTAAGAGAATAGTGATTAATATTATGTTATTATTTATATAGCGCCAACAAATTCCGCAGTGCTTTACAATGGGTGGACGAACAGACATGTAGTTGTAACCAGACAAGTTGGACGCACAGGAACAGCGTGTAAAATTATTGCAAATGGTGAGCTATTAGATATTCTGGTTTAATTAATTGTCTAGAAACAGGATTAAAGGGGCCAAGTCACATTTATTTCATTAAAAAAAAATAATAATAATTATATATATATATATTAACATTTCTTGCCTCTGACTTGGCAGGGGAACCACAGATTAATTGCTTACATTGCCTTAACAAAAGCAAAGCTATCGAAGTGGAAATTCTATTAGCAAAACGGATTTGTTTCAATTCATACAAAATACTGTGGACAGGAATAGTAACTGATTTTCAACAGCTAGCATATAAGAAATTTGATTCTCTAGCAATGTGATGAAGCTCAGAATCACAATTACCATCTGCACATGAACTCTCTAATATAATTGACTGTACAGCAATTATTTCAATGTGTCATGGACAGAAGACTCATCCCCTCTAGGATTGCATTTTTGCTCAGTGTTTGGGTAACAAAAAAAGGGTGAACAAAGACTATTATATCAAGTTGACAGGGAAATAGTGGGAGATCATAAGGTGGATGATTATGGAGTAATCAACATTAAATAATAATGATAATAATAATTGAATAAATAAAAATGGGAGGAAGGTTGTGCCACTGTGCAATGTTTAGAAAAATCTACACTTTGCAAGTAATATTATAAATACCACCATATGCACATATGGACATATACATTGTAATAACTGACCCTTCTAGATGCAGAATAGGTAATAAAATCAAATGTTTTCGTCCCCTGTTATATTGTCTCAATTTTCAGATCTTTCATTCTCATGGTTTATATATAGCAGTATGCTAAATAAAGCAAGCTGAAACATCTCTCAGCAAAAGTGAAATGGCATTTTTGTGATATTACAATTTGCATAGGATAATGCCCTCCTCCCATGGATCTCATACAGTAAAGCAGTGTATAGGCTCCCAAACCATTGAAACGTCTACAAATGCACACAATGGTCTATCTGCACCATGTTATTTGTTTTTTGTTATGTGAATTTTAAAAGATATCAATACCGTCCATGTCTCACTATCATAGCTTCCTTCCACCACAACCTCTGGTCTCCCTCCAACGCCGGTCATCCTTCGAAACAAACCATATGAGTTTGCCAACTGATAACGATCCACGGTCTTAAACACTTGCCGCACAGATGGCCAGAGATGACTACTTGATTCATACTCAACATAAGTGTAGGGTACCTGCGGAAGAAAACATTGCTAAATGAGGCAGAATAATGTACAAGGTGAGTACTACAGTTTTTGTTTGTATTGGAACAAGCTTAATGGCAGGAAAAACAGTGGACCAAATGAAAGAAAAATAGAGGAGGTTGGAAAGGGCAATAAACATGTTAATGGTAGCGTGAGCTCACTCACTAGACTGACTGTGAACATAGCAACTGCAGCACATGAGAAGATTGACCACTGTATCAACGAAGAGAGTTTCCAAAAGAAACCACGAACAGATGTACTCCTATGGGAAATAAAAAACAAAACAAAAAACTGTGAGTGAAGGCATATTTAATATACATACAAACCGTGCACAATACATATGACTTGTGGGTAAATGTAAGGCAGCTGTCACTCTCCCTCCTCGCCAATTTATGTATGTTGATCTACCAGTGCCCCTATGGAACCTCATTGAGATTAAAATGTCTTGATGTCACTAGTATCCCTTTAAATTAAATTTGTAAAAGTAGGGTTGACTTTTCCTTATGTATAAACTGTAGGTTGACAAATAGTGGAGGTTTTTTTTTTTTTACATATACTTTATTAACAAAACAAAAACATATTTCCTTTCTTTCCTTTCAAAACTTTATGAAAGGATTGTAATAGTAAAACATTGTTTTCAGGTGACAATTTTCCTTTAATATTTATCTCCTTCTGTCATACACTTCTAACAATATTGCATAATCACTTCTTACAGCTCTAAGTAAGCCACTGGGGTTCCTCTCCAGAAAAGGCAGAGATTTCCATTGGCCACCATCTTGGAAATGATGAGATAGTGGTGCTGTGAATGTTGGGACAGACCACAACCACAAAAAGGTGAGCAGCACTAGTCCCAGAATCACTGTATATCTTGGTGGGTAAATATGGGAGAGTCACAGGCTGGGAGAGGGGTGGAGGGGTTGAGCTTAAAGACATGACTGCTTTAAAAAAAGTCATAATATTCAGAAAACTCTACATGGCACTGTTTATGGTGGAGTTTTCCTTAACTCTTTCATAAAAAAGTCTGTTTTGTACATTGAGGACAAGAGCAATGTTTTCATTTAATGGTATTCTCCTTCTTACTCATCTACCATCACGTGTTCTCCATCTAAACAACTGGGGAAGTTAAAGGCGCTCCTCATATGAGGTTCATGGTCCCGTGGTCTGCTGTGTATCATGCTCTCACCATACATACGTTAATATGGTAGTCTCCTTAAATTTTATGGGTCTTAAAACTCCCCTAAAAAATATTGCTTAATGTTTAGAGAAATGAAATGCTTAAGAGTGGATAGTGCTTTCCTCTAAGAAACTAATTTGCCTACAATCTGCTCTATGCCACTCAACAAATATATTTTAACCTGGGCTTATCACTACAGTTCACTTCACAAGCACAAACTGTGTTGCATCCTTGTTTCATAAAAGATGTATGCTTCAGGTTGTAAATACTGCCACAGACTCAGATTCAAGTGTAATAGATATGGAGTTTGGGGAAACACTCGAAGACTTGATTTGTCCCTTGCTTTCTGACTGTCTCTTGGTGGGAGGGAGGCTGCAACACACTCTCGGATCCTGCGGCCAACAGGAGCTCCATGCCGGGGAGCCGGTGATCTAATGGGCTAGGGGAACAATATAAGCTCCAAGCACCCTGACAATTCTGCTCATTGGAGTGGTCTGGGTGCAATCTCCCATCACCCTTAACCGTGCAAGTGTAATTATTGCAGTTTTTATAAACTGCAATAATTACCTTGCAGGGTTAAGTCCACCTCTAGTAGCTGTCTATCAGACAGCGACTAGAGGGACTTCCGGGCTCTTAAATTACTTTTTAATAATAGCGTCGCCGAATCCCCATAGGAAAGCATTGAGCATTAGATCTTCCCCGCTGGGGGACGTCAGCAGCGGAGTAGCATGGGCAGGGCCTGACCCAGGGCTGAGGGAAATCGGGGCAGGATTCAGGTGTCTGAAGGGGTCAGGAGGGAGGGAGGCACTGTAGGATTCTCTAGTGCCACGAAAACGGGTTTGTTTTCCTGGCACTGGAGAGTCCCTTTAACAGATTTAGAAAACAAAATAGGTTATTGGATATATAGAATATATTATTAGTACAACATAGAAACAAGCTGGATTATTGCTTTGACTTTGCCTAGTGGAGATAAAATGAAAAAGAAAAATAAATAAATTATAAATGCCTTGCAAAGATTTTTCACTGAGCTGCAATGAGAAATCTGTCATTTGACAGTCAAGGATAGTCTGAGCAAGGTTAGAAAATGAGGGCTTGAAGAGGCAGCAGGCAAGAGATCTGCAGTTTGGCAAGCTGTTTTTAGATATATCCCAATTTAAAAATACATAATTAGATGCACGTATGAACTAAAAGAAAAGAACAATGAGGGGCGTGGAAAAGGAGTATATGCTTAAATATTATCCACCTCAGAAAGACTACTTGGACCTAAATATATTCTGAAAGTAAAATAAAATGTATCTTTTATTTGTATGGATAAAAACTAAATATATACAGACAAAAAAAAAATGATGTACATGCAGAACCAATAACAATGTGAAAAATCTCCTTGATGTTGCTACAATGTGATTTACACTGCCTGTATAACAGAATAGCAAACAAAGTAACAATGAAAAGAAACAGAGCAGTGATAAGGGGAAGGAAAGTTTCACTTAATTAATTGGCAAGAGCACCAACAGGGTAGTAAGCACAGTGCAGACTGGAGCTGACCTAACACTCCACTCTGACAGCTGCGAACCAAAGATCTAGGTAAACAAAACCAATGTAGTGCTGTGGTGCCACACCTATATGAGGGATTGGGGGGGTGGGGGAATACCTATTCTGGCCATTTGTGCCTTCGAGAATACCCCCAGTCTATACTCCTCCCCTCCTGAAATAACAAAGTGGGCAGTAGTCTTAGAAGGTACCTAGCAGGTGTGGACAGAAACTACCTGAATCGAGAGAAACATTTTTTTAAACATATAATACTAATGGGCCACCCCCCTCTGATGAGCCACAACTGGCGAAACATACATCAGAGGCTCTAACTATCTTTCCAAAGCTGGTGTAGCTTCAATGGTTATCAGACCAGCTACCCAGTTTGTTCTTAAATCTGATAGATTGGAAATTGATTTTTTGGTATTATACTTTTGATTTTTTTCATGTTTCTCCAGAATCAGATAGTTACTCTCCACAGCTGCTAGGTACCTTCTAAGACTACTGCCCATCTTTCACAACCTTAGTCTTTGAGGCTCTGCTTTTTCCTGGTTCTCCTCCTACCTCTCAAAAAAAAAAATTCAGTATCTCCTTTTCTGGCTCTTCATCTCCTCTGCAATACCACTTTGTTGGTGTTCCCCAATGTTCTATCCCCAGGCTTTACTGTTCGCAAGTGCTCCACTTTAATTGTATTTGTTCTCAGTCAATACGGCCTATGCTGTCTTCTCAGCTTTCTACATCCCTTTTGAATCGTATCTCACATCCAAGTTAATTGATAAATCCTGTCACTTTCATTTCAAAAACATAGCTTGCATCTGCTTCTACTCAACAACAGATATAGCTAAGGTGCTCATCCATGCCACTATCATCTCCCACCTTAGAATTCTGTTCTTTGCTTACTAATTTATTCATAACACTGCTATCTTCACTAATACACAAGTATGTCCCATCCAGTCTGCCGAAAACCTGCGTCTACCCTCTGTTCATACTCGCACTTGACTCTCGTCTTCAAGATTTTTTCTATGGCTGTACTGTTCCTAGGGAACTCCATTCCCTGCTCCATTAGACTCTCACCCAGTCTCCATTCCTTCAACAGCAAAAAAAAATCACTGAAAACTCATGTTATTCAAAAATGTTTACTAAATTGCCAACAGCTTTAACTCTCAATAACTCTGTAACCCACCTTATCTACTGCAACCATGTTATCTAATAAAAACTAATCCTTCATTGTAAACTCTTCTAGTAAACTACTTATCCCTATACTTGAATTATATCTTACCCTTACCTCTGGTGTCACTTTAACCCACTCCCCTTAGAATGTGACTTGTTTGAGCAGGGCCGTCAGCACCTTCATTTCTTGTATATCCAATTCGTCTTGTTGCAACTACTTGTTTGTTAGTTTACATATTGTACAGCGCTGCAGAATTTGTTGGCAAGAAAAGTACAGGAATGACGATAAAGTGTTTTCAATAATGTACAGTAGGTGTGGGTAAATAAAATAGTCCAAAAGCAGTCTTAAAATGGTCCACATTGAACTATAAAGTATTATGAGTACCCTTTAAAATGAATTTTGCAAGACATATGTATGGATTACACTAGAAATCTTCTGACCATCATATTCGCAGATATAAGGACCTACTGTCTACCCAAGGATTCCAATGGCACTGTAAAATTCATTTTAAAGGGGTAACTAATAATAATTTATAGATTATTTTTAAGACTGCTTTGGACTATTTTATTTACCCACACCTACTGAATATTATTGATAACAGCACTTTTTTTTGTCATGCCTGTACCTTTGTGGCACCGACATTTTTTTCTTTGTTGATCTCCTGAAGAGTTTAGAGGGATACCCTTCTTTTGGTTTGCTGCTTTCAAATTGATTAATTAGCGCAAAACGGGTTCCCTTTTTTACAGAATTTGTTGTTGCTTTATAAGTAATAATAATAGTTAATAAAGACACTGAGTGATGTAAGGGCTGACCTGCACATTCCAGTAACTATTTCCCAAGCAAGAAATGCTGCTCCTATCCAAATGGAGGGGAAGGTGAAAGTCCGGAGCCACTGAATGAAGTCGTGATAAGTGAAAGCTGTAACAGAGATAGACAGTGTTAGTTTGAGACACATTAAGCTCCCTGCTTTTACCACATAAAAGGACATGGATTGTTAGCCTAATAGCACCCTGCAACAGAAAGTCTCCAACCCCTTGGTGACAATTGGGGGACTTATCTGCAATGGATTTTATAAAAAAAATAAAAATAAAAAAAAGGTAAAATAAACCATGACTGTTTGCTACAGCAAATGAAAGGAACATAAAGACAATTTAGCAGGATGCATTCACAGTAAAGTCAGGGATGGCATGAACAATAAATACAAGATTCCTTCAATACAGTTTCTACTTTGGACATTTCAAAATTAGATCAGTCTAAAGTCAATATGTATTATTCACTGGTAAGTCTTTCGGGTAACTTACCGGTTTTAGATTCCACCATATATTTGTCCCAGTTTATCTGAAGGTCAAAATATTTTATGGTCAAGAAAATGAGCAGACCAAAAACTGAGAGTTCCAGGAAAGTACCAAAGTAGGACAGGAACGAGCGACCTACAGGCAAAGAGAAGAGGGGATGCAGCTTAAAGTAGATTGTCTATAACATGAATATGGCCACAACACTGACAGGTTTATTAACTTAAAGAATTTATGGCAAACTGGCAAGAGAATTGCAAGCTTAAGTCCAATGTAAAAAAAGACAGTGTTGGATAATTTTTCCAAATTTAAATATTTTGGCTTAAAACTTGCAATTCACAGTTTAACAAATTACTTCATAAGTAAGAAATTGAGCAAATGAGATCAAGAGGAATTAAGGGATAACAAGCAAACCAGAGATAGCATTGGTTATTGAGTGAGGGTGAACTGGGGGAGAAAAGCAGCAAGATAAAGAGATAAAGGGGAATGGAATAAAGGCAAATTGTTAGAAATGATTGAAGGCTGCAGTGAGAATATGACATGTAAGAATGAATACAAATGATGTTGGTGTCACCTTTGAGTGCAGACTTTTTGCTCTGCTGGGTGGATGTGAGATGCTGATCATCTAACAGAGATAAGCAGAGCACTATTGTCAGCAGGTTAAAAAAGTTGTAGTTCCCAGTGAGGATGATGAGGACTTGAAGAAGAATCTGAAGGGGACAGAGAACACAATGATGAGTGATGAAGGCTTGCAGTTTTACAGTTCTGTATTCAAAAGGATAAACTCTGTACCAAACATAACTCACAAGGCAGAATGTTATTAAAACTTGAGGTGACCAAAGTAATCTCACACTCATAAAACATGTAAGAGGAACACTCCCGTATCAGGAACACAAACGTGTATTCCTGACCTTAGTGTTAAAAACACTATTTAGCCCCCCTCTCCCAATATAGTAAAAATGAGCCGGAACTGGAAGCACCTCTAGTGGCTGTTTGAGGAGTGGCCACTGGAGGTGTCCCAGGGGATCAATGTAAACACTGCCTTTTCTATGAAAAGACAGTATTTACAGTAAAATTCCTGCAGGGACTGACTATACTCACTATTAATTAAAAAATTATGAATGTACAGGCACTCTCATATCCGTTTCGGTGCAAGTAATCAAGGTGGCCCATTAACCTCCAAATAATATAAAAAACAATAATTGATACTGCACTCAAAATCAAGCAAAAAGATGATATTTAATCGAAGATAGTGAATCAATTTCATATATATTTCAGATATGTACAAAAAATGTGAAAAGAAGGGATACTGTAAATGACAAGTATCCTATGGCAACCAGTGTAATATCATGTAAAATACACGGTATACCGTGTATTTTACATGATATTACACTGGTTGCCATAGGATACTTGTCATTTACAGTATCCCTTCTTTTCACATTTTTTGTACATATCTGAAATATATATGAAATTGATTCACTATCTTCGATTAAATATCATCTTTTTGCTTGATTTTGAGTGCAGTATCAATTATTGTTTTTTATACTCACTATTAAGCTGTAGTAGTTCTGGTGACTATACTGCCTCTTTAAACAAAACATGTCACCTCAAAGGACAATCTCCTGAGGATATATATATATATATATATATATATATATATATATATATATATATATATATATATATATATATATATATATATATATATATATATATATAATAGAAATAGAGGCTTGGCACTCTCCTTCCAATGAATAATGAAAGAAAAATCTTGCCTGGGTGCTATATCCACAATCGTCTAATATGTATAAAATATCAAAAACGGGATGCACTCACAGGTCTTCAAAATAGTGAAAATGGTGCTTTATTAATCAATAGGATGCATACAGAAATCGATCGACGTTTCGACCCTGCCGGGTCTTTTTCAAAGAGACCCGGCAGGGTCAAAACGTCGATCGATTTCTGTATGCATCCTATTGATTAATAAAGCACCATTTTCACTATTTTGAAGACCTGTGAGTGCATCCAGTTTTTGATTTTATATATATATGTCCTGATATGGACTGAAACGTTGATATGTTGAAACCACAGTGTGATTAATAAAAACAAATTTTCCTGATAGAAGTCCAGCGTGTGCCTTTCTTCCTGGATATTTATGTAAGCTTGGCTGAAGGAGCTTCATGGCATGCATACATACACACATATATATATATATATATATATATATATATATATATATATATATATATATATATATATATATTTCATTGCAAACCCCTGGCTGAACCCACTTACCTGGGTGTAAAACGAGAACAGGCGCAGCCTTCGAGAAGGAAAGAAGAAAAGCCAAGGGACTCCAATCTCGATTACATAAGTAGCCACCACCGAGAGCTTCTGGAACCAAACTGGAAACTGGTGAGCATACCAAGCGGCTGGAGTTGGAATACACTGGGTCTCGTAATGGTATGTTAGAGCTAATGGAGAGATTTGATTACAGGTGAACATATTTAAAACATACATATACCAGGAATATATTGAAAACATTCAGAGCAGCAGTAAAACATCTAAAGAATGGTACATTTGAGAAAAGTAGCAAACAAAGCCTAGTAAAAGGGGACATTAAGAAAAGCAGATCCATTGAGAAGTCAAATATTAAGTTTAAGGACAACCATCAACTGTTGAAAGGATGCAGTTCTACTTCACAAAAGCTAATTTATAATATTTATAAACAGCCAACATGATCTGCAATGCTGTACAATAAACAGATGAGACATACAAGTAAATTCCTCAGGATGTATTTGACTTATGTGGACAAGAGGAAGGGAAGGTTCAAATTAACTTACAATGTTAAGTTTGATTATAAAATAATAACCTGGTGACGGACAATTCAAATAAAGGACAACTGACAAATTATTTTTTTTTTGTTTTTAAACATTAGTTAACAAAGTCATAATTTTGTTAAATGTTTTTTTTTTTTCCAATTCTTAATTTTTGACAAGCCATATATCATATTACCAGGACAGTATGGAACGACTGATGGCGTTTAAAAAAAAAAAAACAATACCTCTGGTGACATTGCGAATAATATAGGTTTGATAAACTTGAAGAAAAAAAACAATTGATGTAGGAATATGGTGGAAGAATGCCAGGGGGTGGGGCAATGCCCAGGGGGACTATTTCTTTTAAATCTGGATGGGCATCCATGTTTGGTAAGATACTACTGTTATCTGACTGGCTGCTGTGGATTCACACAGAGCAGTCACAGCAGCAGACAAGTTTGTGTGCATTAAACAGTAGTGTCTGTTTATTAAAAGTAGTTTAAAAAAAAAAAAAAAAAAGTAAACATTTATTGACAGTTGTCCTTTAAAATACCAAAGCAAATTAATTCTAAACAAATATGGAAGATGATCACTTCATCTCGAGAGAACCTCTACCACGAACATGAATTTGTCCGAATAGGCGCAGTAGTACTTTGCGTGTCACGCAAAAAGTTCACTAGCGGTGCACACATTACCAGTAGTAATATTCTTAGAAGTCCACTCATCCATAGTGTGGTAAAACACATTTTAACAACACACAAAGAAAGTGTTGGAGGATGCAATAGCATAACATTTGGGAATAATAGAATATTAGTATAGGTGAAATCACAGAAAATCTTTAAAACTTAACTTTTACTAAGTTATGGATAAAAAGGTCCATAAATTTATGGACTAGTGATCTATCACAAACTGAACACAAAAAATTTCAAAATGAAAAACAATAATAAAATTATAACTCGTTCTTTGTGTGTTTTTGAAATTGTAACTATTGGCTCCAGTTCTCCCTCTTTTTTCCTTCTCTTTTACTTTTAGTGGCATGTTTAAAACACATTTTACTTCCAGGCCTAAATTTCTTCTGATTTACAAACTTAACTACATTACTGTATTTTGTTAAGATGCTGCTCCCCAGGTGGTCATAATTTGAGGCATTTTAACCTATTGATGCTAAATAGGCATAGTGAGAAACTTTGCAAGTGTCATTCAAATGGCATTGATTAAGACCAGACTTTTAAAATGTGTGATCACATTACTTGTACAGTAAATCTGTTATTTAGGAGCACCGTTTAATTGAGGACTTTGCATCATGCCAAGTGAGTTGCCTGCATACACAGCAGATATATCAAAAACTGCTGCTATATGATTACTGATATTACTATCTCTTTCACTGGTTAGTGTTTGTGAATAAAAGGTTTACTGGATTCTTTTCAAAAGTTCAGATTGTCAAGATTGGACTGTTGCACCGATTGTGTGCAATACTATAAAATGATCCTCTTAATGTTTCCTGGAATATTTATCTCTTTGTAGAACAAATCAGCTAAATTTGTTTTGGACTGTTGCCACAGTGTTTAATATTTAATAATTACTCTTGACATAAAGATAGCACTTGGAAAAGAACCACCAGAACAAGGGTCGAGCATTTTGTGCTCGGATCAGCAAGTAACTATAGTTTAGCAGACACAGTGAATGCAACAGGTGGAAAGAATGAAACAGACAGGGTGCCATGGTACAGAGAGTGGTACGCATACCAGCAATTGCTATGTTAAAACTGGAACCCTGGGTTACACGGAGAAGAAACAAAACAGTAACCAGTACAAGTGAGAACATGCCTAAATATTGGCACCAAGAAACAAAAGTATAGGCACACCTGAAAACTATTGTTACAAAGTGCCCAGGGTAGAATAAAATGTAGATTATGAGACATGTCAGAAATACACAGAGAACACACAAAAGATTAATTAACGCTAAAGGGAAATGATTTAAGGGTGTATTTTAACATTGCACAATATTTGAAAGTCTAGAATATTAGCATGCAATAATATGTAATGATCTAACAACAGGGCTCAAACCTTCCACTCACTATTAGCATTTGGCAAATTAAAAATTAGCCCAGGATTGCAGAAATTCTACCCTTGTAAATCATGGACCCTTCAGAGTTGCAGAGCCGGATAACATTTAAAGTGACATGCCAGACCTCTAAAACACTTGCTGAAGTGCTGTATGTATGAAAAATGTGTCCTTTTTTATTTTACAAAAAAATGCAGATTTAAATAGAAATTGGCACTTTTAGAAATGAATCTTGTTACACCCCTTTGCTGTCAGCCAACCAGTCCAATTAATTCCTGGTTTGTTTAACTCAGAGGAACTAAACCCAAGAGTCAGGCAATTGCCCAGAGTGCATGACTTGCAAAGACTTCTCATTCAGCTGCATAGGGAATTATGTGATTGGACAGTCATGGAAGGTCTGGGCTGCGTTAGAAAGTGCTTGAAAAGGCTGCCGACAGGCTTGAAAAGGCAGACAAGCAATCTGCCGCTTTTGCAAGCTGTTTTTAGATATAGTCCCAATGAAAAATGCATAATCAAATACATGTTTTTATGGGGGTTATATCTATTAAGCACTGAGTTTCATATTTTGGATAGTGGAGTGTCCCTTCTTGATTAGTGGCTTAGGACTTTTTTGTGTACAATATATCCTTGATAAAAAAAAGAGGAAAAAGCGAACACTGAATAACTTCTTATTAAAGGAAAAGGAGAAGAAATAAGGGGAGTGAGGAAGAAGAAAAAAAGATAAAAAGATATGGCTACCAAGTCATCAGGAAAAGCTGCCATCAAGAAAGCAGCAAAGCAGGATCAACAAACAGAAAAAAGTAAAAACCCCTCAAGTTTCTTTTCACCTGGACAAAAATCTAATGTAGAAAAAAATCTTGAAAGCTCAATTATGTATTCATCAAAAAGTGAAGATTTTAATCAAAGTCCTTCCAGTCAAACAGAAAATTATATTACAACAGATTTTCTAAAACACTGTTTAGAAGAACAATTGGTGGCAAAAACTGCTGAATTTAATAAAAACACAGCAGAAACAAAAAAACAGTTTCTGGAAATATTGGAAAAACTAAAGCAAAGTGAAGAAAAAAATCACAGCTTTGGAATACGAAAGCAGAGCAAACAAAGAACAAAATGAGCAGCTGTATAATCAAATGAGACAAATAGAAGGAAAACTAGGAGATTTGGAAGATCGTTTAAGAAGAAACAACCTAAGAATAAGAAATGTTCCAGAAGCAATTACACAAGATAAAATACCTGAGTATTTGGATACTTTATGGGCAACACTCAAAATAGAAGTGTCAATTCTAAATACCAAAATGGAACAATACCATCGTTTAAGCAAACCTAGTTCGGTTTCTCAACACCTACTGAGAGATATAATAATTAATTTGCAGTCCCATCAATTTAAGGAAGCTATACTATATGCAGCTCGAACAAATCAGTTTAATACAGAAAAGCTTGGTGATATTAAGATTTTTCAAGATTTTTCTTTCTACACCAGACAACAAAGAAAGAAATTTATGACGGTTACTGGTTCACTAAGAAGACTAAATATAAAATATTCATGGATCTACCCCAGTAAAATAAAGATAATTACAGACGGAAGACGTGAGATATTCACGACCCCATCTCAGATTGAAGAATGGTTAAGGAAGAAAGAGAAATGACTTTATATAAGTGGATGAAGAAGAGGGGGAAGAGGAAGAAGCGGAAAAAATAATGGCGGATGAAGGAGGAGAGAGAAAAGAAAAGAAAAAGTTGTTTGAAGATTTAATAGTATAAGCAGAAATAAATTGATCCAAAGAAAATTAGAACAATAGAAAGGACATTGAATCAACATGTAGAAGATATAGCGAAGAAATTGTTACCAATGAAGGAGAAGGTATATAGAGAGGGAATCCATAGGTTAATAGAAAACACGTATATGGTAGTAATGTGATTCACTCATAAGAAACACTTGAGGAAACTAGTTGGAAGTATGTATTTCACATTAAATTTTTGAGGAGAAAGCGGTAAATATAGAATAACTGCTGCACAATGGTAAATTAAGTAGATATAAGAGTTGGCACTGAAAAAGATACAATTTGGTAGAAAAAAAAAACGAAGAAATATATAAAAAAATTTTTTTTTTTTTCTCTTTTGATAACAATAGGGGATAATAGGAAAGGTAAGGTTTCACTTTATAAATATAAAAGGTGAATACAAATCAAAATAGTTAAAGTGGGCACAAGACGAGGGAATGAAAAAGGGAAAGTTTTTTATTATAAATAATAAACACAAATATTGTATAGAATATAGAAGAAAGGAAGAAGTAAGGAAAGAAAAAGGGGAAAATATGGGTAATAGAAAGAAATAGAATGAAGGAGGATTGATAATTAATAATTGTTCTGAGAACAAATTATAGGAACACGTATATAACAATGGAAAAAAAGAACAAAGGGAAAGAGGGGCACTTAAGTAAAGTGTGGTTTTTTTTTTTTTTTCGTCTCTCTCCTTCGCTTTGCTATCACGATATATATAAATGGATAAGAGTAGTAAAATAAATGAAATAAAGGGATCAAAGAATGTGATATAGACAAAAATTTGTTTGTTTTTTCTCTCTCCTCTTCGTCTCCCCCTCCTTTTTTCTCCTCGCTTTAGAGGAGGAAGAGAAGAGAAGGGCGGTAGTACAACTCTTCATAGAGCAGAAGAAAGAGGAAGTAGGGAACGTTAAAGATAATATATATTTGGCTCCTCCAAAACGAGAAATAGTCTTCCTCGCCGTAACCTGTAAAACGGTTAAAAGTGGGTATTAAAACCCACCAAGAAAAATGTTTTTTGACTCTTTTTAGGGTCTATGGAATGATAGGAAACAGACTACAAGTACTTAGTATACTTGAAGGTGTTTCGTGTATGTATTGTAATGTGAATTGTTTATTTTTTGTTTTTGTTTTTTTTTGTTTTAGAGAGTTCACTAGACTATCCAAACAAGAAAATAATATATGACAATGGTTAAAATAATAACGTTAAATATTCAAGGCCTAAATATTCCGCAAAAAAGACAAGCTTTTCAAGAATATTTAAAAAAGGAACATGTTCAAATTGCTATGGTCCAAGAGACACATTGGCGTAAACAGGATGAAAAGAGATGGACCAGCAGTTTTTATCCTTTAAAATTCTGTTCCTCTAGAGAGGAGGGGAAAAAGGGAGGAGTCGCAATATTTTTTGCAAAAGATCTAAAAACAAATATAAAATTTATGGAAACAGATTTGGAGGGAAGATTTATTATTTTAATAGCCACAATTAACGAGGAACTCTTCACTTTAATTAATATTTATCTGCCTAATAAAAACCCCTTATGTCTATTGAGAAAAGTAATTAATAAGGTTGAGAAAGTAGGTGTAGGAATAAAGATATATGCAGGGGACTTTAATAGTATACAAGATCCCCTATTAGATAAGTTCTCTGAAAAACATCTGATTTGGGACAAACAAGTTTTAAAAAATGCAAGGACTTTTAATAATTTGATGAAAAGAGAAGGCCTATTTGACATATGGAGACTCAACAATCCTGCAGCGAAAGAATTTACGTTTTACTCCTGGCCCCATGAATCATACTCGCGGATAGATCTTATATTTGGGGATTTAAAACTAATAGACAGAACATATAAAATAGAAATTAAACCAGTAGTATGGTCAGATCATAATAGCGTGTGTCTGGAACTAAACAGTAATAAATCAAAGAGTAATGAAACTACAACCTGGAGGTTAGACGATTCATTATTATCAAATAAGGAATATAAAGACTATATAGATAAAATGACCATTTGTTATTTTGAGGAAAATAATAATGGACTTGTGGAGAATGACATTCTATGGTGCTCATATAAAGCAGTAATAAGGGGACATTGCATAATGCTTAATAAATTAAAGAAAAAAAAAAAGGTGCAAATATACAAGATCTTTATATTGAATTATATAAACTAAACAAAAAAAATTACGAAAATCCAACTAAGGGTACTCAGTTAAAAATAGAGAAAATTAAATCTGAGATTCAGGAAAAAACTTATGAAAAAATTAAAATAAATATGCATAAACTTAAAGTTAAATATTACCATAAATCTAACAGAGCTGATAAAATAATGTCTAATATGTTGAAAAAAAGAAATACGACCAATAAGGTCGATAAAATAATCTTTAACGACAACATCTCCCTTCTACCAGAACAGATAGGGAAAGCATTCAATGAGTACTATGCCAATCTATATAGTCTTTCAGTTATCACTCCTTCAGAAATAATAAAAAAATATATTAGATCAGCAAAATTGAATAAAATAACAGAGTCACAGGTAAATAAACTAAATAAAGAGATTACGGAAGAAGAGATCAATATCATGATAGACAGATTAGAAACCTATAAAACGCCAGGTCCGGATGGATTTGGAAATAAATTCTATAAGACAATGAAATCTCATCTGACAATACATTTAAAAAATACTTTTAATTCTGCTGTTAAAAAGGTCAGATTCCCAGATGAAATGCTTAAAGCAAATATTTTACCTATTTTGAAACCAGGGAAAGATCCAACTAAAGTACAAAGCTATCGCCCAATATCATTAATAAATGTAGATATTAAGATATTTTCTTCTATCATAGCTAGCAGATTAAAAGAAGTTATAAAACAGTTAATCCATCCTGATCAAACAGGTTTCGTTCCAGACAGAATGTCAAGTAATAATATTAGACGCTTGATTGACGTATTAGATATATCACAAAAGAAAGAAAGTCCCATGCTGATCCTGTCTTTAGATGCTGAAAAAGCCTTTGACAGGGTCAGCTGGGACTTTATGAAGCTTACCCTAGAAGAAGTGGGTATACAGGGATGGTTGCTTAATGCAATTTTGGCTCTATACATAGATCCAACGGCGAGAATAATCGGTCCGGGCATTTGCTCCGACTGGTTTAAATTGAGTAATGGGACCAGACAAGGCTGCCCTTTGTCCCCCTTATTGTTTATATTAACATTAGAGGTTTTAGCTAACAGAATTAGAAATAATGAAAATATTAAGGGATTTAAAGCAAAACAGAAAGAATTGAAAATATCTCTATATGCTGATGATACTATTCTATTTTTGAGTAACTCTACATCATTATTAAATGCAATGTCAGAAATTGATACATATAGTGTAGTATCAAACTATAAATTAAATAAAACAAAATCAAGTGCTATATATATCAAAGCAAGAAATAAATTCCTATCAAGAAACATATGGCTTTACTAAAGCTAAAGTGTTTTTATATTTAGGAATTAAAATTTGTAGAAAGGTAGATAGTACCATGCGAATTAATTTTATGGACCTTCTAAAAGAAACTAATAAGAATCTGAAAGAATGGAGAAAATTAGAAGTATCTTGGGGAGGAAGAATAAATATTCTAAAATCATATGTCTTGCCAAAATGGATTTATATGTTCAGAATGCTTCCATTAGAAATCCCGAATGCATGGTTGACAATGATCAATAAGGTCTTCTCTAATTTTGTATGGCAAGGGAAAAAACCCAGAATTAAAATTGGAACATTAGCAAGAGGAATGAAGAAGGGAGGCCTAGGATATCCAAACATAAGAAAATATTATGAAGCAGGAATTATTATGCATGTAATGGCTAGTCAAATAAAACAAAATAAAGAGGAAGTCTGGTGGCAGTCAGAATCAGAATCTAGCCAACACAGTGATACCTTAGACTTATTTTGGAGTTCAATAAAATACAACTTATCCAGATCGTACATTTTAGGACAGATTACTCCAATATGGCAAAAAATAAGGAAAAAAATTGATTTGGATAATAAAATTTTCGATTTTCAAAAATTAGAAATATTAGAATTAAACATGGAGAGTATCTCCTTAAAACTATGGAAAGAAAAAGGAATACATATTATAAAAGATCTGATTAAAGAGGATAAAATTAAAACTTATAAAATGCTGGTAGAGGAGTTTAAGATCTCTGTTAAAGATGTATATACTTATTTTAGAGTGAAACATTATTTGGAGAAAGTTGAGTTAGTAAAAGAGGGTAAGATGTACGATATATTAAAATCAATATTATACCAGAATAAGACAAAGCAGTTATTCTCTAGATGTGTTAGGATGTTAGATTTATTGGATGATTCTGATCCGCCTAGTGCTATTAAAAAATGGAATAGTGAACTAAAACTAAACATAGAACTATCTGAATGGATATCTACCCTACAAAAAATTAATAAATATGTCCACTCCTTTGTGTTGATAGAAACTCACTTTAAGCTTGTTAACCAATGGTATATGACGCCAACGAAAACAGCGAAATTTGATGTTTCTAGAGACACAAAGTGTTGGAAATGTAAAGAGGAAAAAGGAAATTATGTTCATATGTGGTGGTCTTGTAAACAAGTGATTCTTGTATGGCAGTGGGCTCAGCTTGTCATCCATAGGCTATGCGGTGTTAAAATGTCTTTAAAACCGGAAATGATGTTGTTACATTATAAATGGCCAAGATTAAATAAAATAAATCAATTTTTAATTATTCACTGTTTAATGGCCTGCAAAATAATAATAGCAAGGAATTGGAAGGGAGATATCCCTTTTAATATAAAATCAATAACAATTCAGCTGATTTACCAACTTAAAATGGAAAAGGATCAATGCAGGTTTCTGGATGATAATTTGAGCCTATGGGAAAACTGGGAAAAAAAATTATTACAATTGTAACTTTAATATCATGTGAAAAGAGATAGAGAAGTTGGAAGTCAGTAGAACTCTCGTGAGGGGATGGGTATTTATTGTGTTTTTTTTTTCTGTCCTTGTAGTAATGTGTATGAATCTCAATGTATGTTTAATACTTTTTGTACAATATGTTGAAAAATTTGAAATAAAAAGAATTGAAAAAAAAAAAAATATATATCCTTGATAACTTACATTTGTTTAATGCATTACAAAATGTGCTAAAACAAAATAAAAAAATATATATATTCTTATTAACTGATTTATTTGAAATTGAATGAGATGCAGCTTGTGCATGTGTTATGTATTGTTTTGAGAGGGAGGGGGGGAGACTGGCCATTTTGATCTCAGGGTGTTTCAGTTTCATACACCCTTTGATACTGATAAAATAAAAAAGTGAAAACACAGAAGAAAAAGAACAATGAGCTCATGAAGTGAATATGCACCTCCAGACAGTTCATCGTCACATTTGGAAAGAGCAGCAATTAGATATGCAATGGTACAAGAATTCTGAGTAAAGGGCAAACTCAGCACACTTACATTAATTTGCAGTGCAGATAATGACCAAAATATCTCAGACAAATATAGTGAGATATTTGGAGACATTAATGACCCAAAGAGTCATCCAGAAAATGTGTCAATGACAAGGTCCAAACTAGGTAAGTAATAACATATAACCTATGTATCAATCTAGAAAAAAATTTAATTAAAAAAAGCGCCAATGTGTAATATATATATATATATATATATATATATATATATATATATACACATACACACACACATATACACACACATACAATTAATTTACACTTATATGAAATTAGCCCCAGAATTCCACCTATGGGATGTGTATATCCAGAAGAACACATTGAAGAGGGCTAAACGGATGTATGTGCAGTGAGTAATGTTACAATATTTGGCACTTTGTCATTAACATTGGGTGCACTTAAACATATGTAGTACCTCCATCGGATATTTTATATAGACGGAGTGTTAGAGAAGCAGGTTAAAGTTCTACAAGTGGAGCAGTCAACATGGAACACAACTTAATATTTCTGTGCTAAGCTATAACAGATAATCAGTTTAGAAACAAAATTCTAATAAAAGGGATTTGAGCAATATGTACTAGTTAACAGGTGTTACCAGACAGTCAACACAACATACAATGTTTACAGGGAGTATTATTTGATGTGGCATAAGTAGGACATGGTGTTTTAGGCAACACATTATGCAAGAGTTAGGTTTTTTTTTATTTTTTATATGCATTCATACAAAGGTTACAGCAAACATCTAATCAAATATGGTATCTTGGTGCCAATTAGCTCACACAATTTACCTTATGCCTTAAAGGGACACTCCAGTGCCAGGAAAACAATGAGTTTTCCTGGCACAACAGGTCCCCTCTCCCTCCCACCACCCATCCCCGGTTGCTGAAGGGGTGAAAACCCCTTCATTCACTTACTTGAGACCCTCGCCGATGTCCCTCGGCGGTGGTTTCGGGTCGCCGCCGCTCCTCCCCTTCCTTACGTATGCTGGTGGGCGAGACTGATCCCGCCCACCGGCCGAGGAGACCTAATCCGGATGCGCATTAGAGCTCTCCATAGGAAAGCATTGAAAATGATTTTTAATGCTTTCCTATGGGGAATTGAGCGACGCTGGAGGTCCTCACACAGCGCGAGGACGTCCAGCGACGCTCTAGCACAGAAAACTTGTGCTATAGACACGGAAGTGCCTTCTAGTGGCTGTCTAGTAGACAGCCACTAGAGGAGGAGTTAACCCTGCAAGGTAATTATTGCAGTTCATGAAAACTGCAATAATTACAGTTGCAGGGTTAAGGGTAGTGGGAGTTGGCACCCAGTCCACTCCAATGGGCAGAAGTGGTCTGGGTGCTTGGAGTGTCCCTTTAAATGTTCTCTTTTGTGCAAGAAAGAAACACGTCAACCAATACTTTTTAATAATTAGCTTACTAGAACGGAAGGGGTTTCCATATATTTTTTTAAAAATTTCCCTAAATACAGAAACTTTAAATTAAGAGATAATTCATATTATGGATCTTCAAAACACAATTTGATTGATTTCCCTGTCCTGTCAATTGAAGCACTCGTTCATTAATGACTGGTCTTACCTGTGAGCCCCCACCATGTTGGACATCGGCTGGTCAGTTTAACAACTCCTGATGCAAACATGAGTCTGAAAAGCAGCCATCGAATCAGCCAGAATGTTATACCGTCATGAGTGCTCCAAACAGACGTCTTTCCACGAAGAACATGCAGAGGGGCGACCAGAACAGCCAGGAACCCGACCTCTAGCAGAAGGCTGTCCCTGTGATACAATATATGTTAATATTGCCTCGTGACATTGTCCATCTGGTTAACTGGAGACTCATACTGCCCTTTCATGAACCACACACTCCTATACATCCATTCACACTTAAGGTTAGATCAGTCTTGGAATGGAATTTAAATGTACTTACCACTGGAAATAGAGAAAGACCTGCCCAACCTGCAAATACAAAAAGCAGTTCAGAAACAAAACAAAAAAATAATAAAACAATTGCTGTCTCCATTTATTTAATGTTGATGTAAAGGTAAATCAAATTTATTTCTAAAAAAAATTTCTGGGGTCAGTGAATTGTTTAGTGTGAGCCAGCAGACAGGTCTCTTTGTTGCCTCAGAATTTTAATGGGGTCAACTCTGATTCCCTCTGGACAAATCCACTACATCAGAGCAGTACAGAAGACTGGTATACTAAGCCATATATTATAGAGAATGTATATTAGTCAATACACTGTGCTATTTTAGGAACATTCCAAAATAGTTTTCATTGATGGAACCAATGTTTATTATGTTTTTTTTAGTTGACAGTTCTTTTATGTTTCACAGCATGTTAATCATACAATTAAAGGGACATCAACAAGATGATGGCATGCAAATGAAAAACAAATTTAGTCTGTCATGCAAATTAAAGATTTAAAAATATTTAATCTCTACCAGTTCTAAATTCACACAATCACATAGAGTAAAGTGCCTGTGCAAGCATATTTGTCATTTCTGGGAATATATGAGAGAAAATGGATTCCTTGCAGGTGCCATTGAGAGAACTGGTTACATGGGTAGCTGTAGGTTCTGATGATGCCGCTAAAATAACTTTTAGCCCTAACCCCTTCCCTAGTATAACGTTTTAAAGAACAAAATAAAATAAAAAATACTTACATTCAAATTTCCTTGTATTCTGCTTATACTATGCAAGTAGATGCAACAGATTTACTCTGCCTACACCATGAAGAGGTCCTACCAGTCAGAAGCCTCTCCTTTTGTCTGTTTCTTTTTTTTTTTATCCTAATCCCTAAACCTCTGTTTAGTGGAGGCATATTGGATAAATCATGCTGTTGAGTGGAACTGCAAACTGCACAGCAAGATGATAGCCATGTTGGACCTACTAGAAACCTAGTCACAATCCTGCACATGGTTTACTGAACACATGTGTGCGCAGTTATCTCTCTAGGTGCCAGTTATTTTACCAGGGCTCAAAAGCAAGAGACTTGTGCAGTATGAACACGCTATGCCAGATGATCGAAATGGGGGACAGCAAAGAGGAGTTTAATTGACTCTGTAGGCACCCATACCACTTCAATTAAATGGTCTGCGTGCATGTCCCCGTAGTTTTTAGCCCTGCAACTGAAAACATTGCCGTTCTGCAGGAAATCCAATGTTTAATTATTGCAGGGTTAACCTGCCTCCAGTGACTGTCTTCGAGCCTCTAGACTCACATGGATAGGCAACCTTCGCCACTCCAAATGTTGTGGACTACATCCCCCATAATGCTGGGAAAGCATCATGGGAGGTGTAATCCAAAACATCTGAAGTGCCAAAAGTTGTCTGTGCCTGCTCTAGAGGCTCTTCCACCCCAATAGCTGATCTAAACTCAGTTATTAATTCACTGTGTTTCTTTGGTGAGAACAAAACATGTTTACTCTGGCTCTGTCCCCTCAAATTGTGTTGCTCTGACTTTAAATGCAAGTGATTAAAGGGACACTATAGTCACCAGAACAACTACAGCTTAATGTAGTTGTTCTGGTGAGTATTAGGCATTTTCAAAGATTTTTTTTTTTGCAGTGTTTACATTCCCCCTAGTGACACCTCCAAGTGGACACTCCTCAGATGGCCACTGGAGGTGCTTCTGGGGGAAGTGCTGCATGGTAGGCAGCACTGCCATTCAGCGACTCCATGAAGACGCTGAATTTTCCTCATAGAGATGCATTGATTCAATGCATCTCTAAGACGAAGTGCTGATTGGCCAAAACAGAGTTTGCCCCTCCCCCATGCCTAGTTCAGCCAATCAAATGCTTTCTCTATGGGATTGGGTTGGTTAAAAATCAGTAATTATGATAATATCACCAAGGGGGCGGGGCCAGTGTCAGCGGACCCACGCGGTGCTAAGAAAAGTTTCCACCTTTTCTAAGGGGGGGAAGGGGATGCAGGCAAGTTAAATGGTGGCGTAAACACTATAGGGTCAGAAATACGAGTTTGTGTTCCTGACCCTATAGTATTACTTTAAATGACCTTTTTACTGGATTATTCTAGTAGTTAGCATTACATTATCACAAGTTGGCTTTCACCACTTGAAGGTGGAAAATGCAACGTGTATATTGTAAAGAACATATGTTTAATAAATTAAAAGAGAAGAATCACAAGCAGTAAGCCAAAGTATGGCATTGTTTTGTATCTAACTATGTTAGTTGTTAGTATATAATATGTACAGCCCTAGAATGTGCATTTAATAATAATAATCACTATTCTATAGGAAAATATAGAGAAGCTATATTTGTATATTTAATCGTATCTAAAGAGGCTCACTTAAAACAGTTGTACATTTACCTGATACAAGGACAGATACAGGATCCACAGCAAGAGAAAAACTAGGCTATCCCGAAAGCAGCGGAATAGCAGTGCCCCCAGTGACAAGAGAGCTCCCAGCAAGCAGATAAGTTCCATGCCTTGTTCTGTGTCAAGCCCCACATAAGGGCCCAGCCAGAGAAGGGTGGGTGCATCCTTTAACTGCTCCAATAAGCCTTTACCAGAAAAACGTAACATCTTCCAGGCTGGCAAGATTCCCTCTCGGCCATAGAGTCCTGTGGGGAGGAGCCAACCACGACAGAAGAGGTCAGAAACTTTTCCATGTATACAGCTGGTAATCTGTGTGTTTACTTTGATAACACACAAAGCACTTTTATTTAGCACTTTAACATCACACAACCCTTCATATACAAGAGTAAGGGCTCTTTCTAGCGCTCATCTGTATTTACTGGTTTTGGCTTTTGCCACTCAGTAAGTTTATTATTTTTTTGCATGATAGTGTGTCAAGTTGGAGAGATACACTTGTGTGGTAGCTGTTTGTTTATTTACACATTATTTTATATAAGTGCCTTTTTGCACAGAGCACTTAGTTTTTATACTAAATTTGTATCCGTTGTGTATATTTCTATGGTGTGGTTCTTAAAGGGACACTCTAGGCACTAAAACACCTTTATCTTAATTGAAGCAGGTTTGGTGTATTTATCATGCCCCTGTAATCCCATGGATTAAATCACTGTTTATACAGCCCTAGCCACATCTACCCTGGCTGTGACATACACGGTCTCCTTCCACACATTCTGTAAAGTGAGATCTAATGTTTAAACTTGCTTTATTGCACAGTCTAAGTTAAAATTTCTTGTCGCCTGCTCTGATAAGAGGCTTCTAGACCATGCAGGAGCTTTCTGTGTGTGATTAACCCCTTAAGGACACATGACATGTGTGACATGTCATGATTCCCTTTTATTACAGAAGTTTGGTCCTTAAGGGGTTAATGGCCAATTTACAAAGCAGGCGATACAAACATCTAAAGCAAGTTAAGATCTGATTGAAAATCAAACCATTCCCCCTCCCAAATAGCAATGAGACTGCTGGGGCATGTTCTGTATCAGGGGTGTCCAAAAGGTAGATCCCCAGTTGTTTTAAAACTACAGCTTCCATGATGCTTTGTCATTCTAAAGGAATGCCAAAAATCAATGGATTTGTAGTTTTACAACATCTGGGGATCTAACTTTTGGGCAGCTTTGCTCTCTATACCCAAACTGCTTTATTAAGCTAAAGTTGTTTAGATGCCTGTAGCATCCCTTTAACCAGTGGGTACCTGTGTCATATCAGTAGGACACATTGGTAAGAACTGACATAATATTCATTAGGCCTCAGGGAACTGACCACAATAAACAACTTACAGTTACACTGCTATCCCCAATCCAGGAATACTTTTTTTTAAAAATGGGTCACAGAGTTAAATTTCCATTTGAAGAATAGCTTGACGGAATGAATGATTTATACGTGTCCATTAAAAAAAAAGTTTAAGAATCCCTAGTCTAAAGACTATGGGGAGGGAAAGTAAAACATTCTCATATTGCTATTTATTTTGCATGTGTACCCTCTGCTTATATTCTATCATTTATAGATTGTATTCAACCTTTCAGCCCTTTCCTTAACGATACATCTCAATTCTCCTTACAGGTCTCCCTCGCTTTTTCTTTAAAGGTGCACATTTTTCTGTTTATAGAGTTTGCAGTCTTCAGACATTGCTGTTCAAATTGTTTGGGCTTGACATAGCTATGTGAATGGCTGGAAGCTATAAGTAAGCAGGATTCTTCTCCACACTACACAATCACGTAGGAGATTCATTGTTTTTATACTCTATGCCTCACTTTACTAACAATATACCTATCACTCAGTATTGACTGAAATGTTTGCATTCGATGTGTGTGAAGTGCATTAGCAAGCTGGAGTTCGAGGGCATGCATCCAATTATATCTTACAAGTTTTTTAAGCATTCCATTCCCAGAATTTTAGAAGTCATAGAATTGTGCACTTCTTCTTTGATAAAGGGCGATGCTAACTGATTTCTGCCTGGAGCAGAGGGTCGACCAGCTGTGCGTGTGGACTGAAGGTACACGTGTCATATCCATGGAACACAGAAGTTGGATACATTTGTACCCACAGTGTAATGACCATTCTAGGTAGGATATGTGTTCTATCTAAACTAAGGAAGCACATGTAAGAGACTATAGCTGGCATACGTTTTGTGAAGGCACACTGATTGACACTGCAGCATGTATGTATGTATGTATATATAGTGCTGGGAGGATTATATACCTGGTATCTGTGTATACAGGGAGAGGAAGGCAAACAGGTAGATCCCACTAAGACCCCAGAGGAAGGCGGCCCGTGCCAGGCGTTGTTCCCCCATAATTTCCGTTCCAGTTGTCCCTGCAGCTGTCTGGATGAGTCACAACGTGGACTATTGGCGGCTGCGCCTTTCTGATGCCGCTCGCCCTAAGCTGTGCGCATGCGCTGTTCCTGCTGGCCCACATGCGCACACATCTCAGAGCACAGGCACAGCGAGTAAGCGACGTGTTGGAATACAGCTCCCATTATCCTGCGGCCGCAGTGAGTGAGGATAATGAGAACTGTAGGTCAGCAGAAGCTGGAAATTTACAGTAGAGGTTTTTATTATTATTAACCAGGGATTCCTGACATTGAATAGGTCTGGTTTTATATATTGTTTAATTATATGAACAGACATGGTGGAATTGTGCCAATCTATTCATGACCTTCTCTGCAAAACCTACAAATATGTAGTGTAATATAATATGGACAGGGAGGCTAGAACCCCAGCCATTGTGCATCAACTCCCATTATGCTCAGACAGCATTCATATAGGTTGTGATCCCTGCTCAGCTTGCATGCTATGGCTGTAATCCAAGCAGGTCCTTGCTGGGGACCCCTAACCCTATAACCAACGTAGTATGTGCCTCATAAACCAGACGGATCCCGTGCTATTCCCCCATTGGACGGCTAGTACTGGCATCTTTCCATTAGGAAACAGCCCGTCCACTGCCGATGACGTCAGACGCCGAGCGCTCGTTGATTGGTGCGATTCGAAGTGTCGGCCGTCGCAGCATGCCCACACTCTGCTAGGCGGGAAAAACAAAAATGGCGGTTTGAATTCCATCACTGGGGGGAAAAGTTACCCGTAACGTACGCACGGTGTCTGCGCCGGCCCGGAAGGAGGCTGAACACTGACCGATAAAACCTTATATATTTATAGACAGCAAGCAGGTAGGTAGGTACACAGGGCAGCGTGCTAGGTGTTCGCATGTTAGCTGGTCTGTGCCAAACACTGTGACTCACATTAAGGGTCCTATTAAACTGCAATAACAACAACACAGGGAGACTGCTCTGTATAATGTTTAATCATTCTCCCAATAATGCTAATCCAGGTCAAGCAATATCATTGGGCTGTGACTACAAATGGCCTTGTACTGTGACTTGTATTTAAAATGCACTGTGTGTGGTATAGGTAAGGGCAAGCAGATAAAAGCACTGTATTTCAAATAAAATATATATATATATATATATCTCCATTACTCCCAGATACAGAATTTCAGTTCATTTGCGACCTAATACACTGAGCAATGTTATGACAATGTCAAGGATACTCGCTAAAGTCTTCTTTTTTTCCCCTTCTTTTCTATTTGGATTTAAGTTGTGAGAATCTTGAGTTTATTGAAGAACCCTGACAGTTTTCTTTCCATAACGCTTTAGATTATGCACACTGCTTTAAGAGAACATTCCATTGGAAAGAAAAATAACAATTTTTAGTAGATATACCCCTAGTGAAAACATGCATGTTTTTATATTTTCTATGGAGGGAACATTAAAACTTCCCCTGTACAGATGGAAAAAGTGACCAATCATAGAGTTCTGTTCAAATATTTTTATTAATAATTTTTCAATAACAAGGAAAATGTAATACAGTATTCATAATCATAAAATGAACAATGTAAAAAAAAAAACAGAACAGGAATTATAAATGTCAGTTTACATTCCGTTGAGTGTTATTAGTTAATAAATATAAATAAAAGTCCTATAAATAAAAAACACGAAAAGATGTATGTAATTTTAGCTATGGTGTTTGATTTGTTAAAAACAAACAAAAAACATTTTGTGCGAAGCAGATGTATTTTTCTGTGATGCTCGCTAATAAAATACAAATTGAAAAAAGAAAAAAAAAAGAATTTAACATCCATATTATTATTTCAAATTTCGATTGTCTCTTCAGAATTATTTGGTAGTAATGGCTTTTGTTTCACAGTTTGTTTGTTTATTCACTGCCTCAGTGGTCCCAACATTGATCCTCTCCCTTCCCATTTTGGTATTCCTCTATATAAAAAATACTGTTTATGGTCTAACTTTATGTGGCTTTAAAGGACCACTATAGTGCCAAGAAAAAATACTAATTTTCCTGGCACTCAGGGTCCCCCTCCCGCCGGGCTCTAGGGGGTGGAAGGGATTAAACTTACCTCTTTCTCCAGCGCCGGGCAGGGGACTTTCCTCCCTCTTCTTCCGTCACCGGCTGAATGCGCATCCAGCCAGTCCATAGGAAAACATTAACAATGCTTTCCTTTGGCTGCTGGCGTCTTCTTACTGTGAAAATCACAGTGAGAAGCGCAGAAGCCCTCTAGCGGCTGTCAAAGAGACAGCCACTAGAGGCTGGATTAACCCATAGGTAAACATAGCAGTTTCTCTGAAACTATGTTTACAGAAAAAAGGGTTAATCCTAGCTGGACCTGGCACCCAGACCACTTCATTAAGCTGAAGTGGTCTGGGTGCCTATAGTGGTCCTTTAATAAAGGAGGTTTATTACTTTGTACAAAACCCCCCACATTTTCAATAAGTGGATATTATGATCATATCTTATAGTTACATCTGATGTCTTCCTCGAACATAAACCATTCATGTCTTAAATTATTTGCGATATTAGATAGGGAATGAAGAGCCAATTCTCAATACTTGTTTTCAAAAATTGATAGAACTTCATTAATAGATGGGTTAATAGATGATTTCCAGTGTTGAGAAATTTCAGAAGTGGTTGATATTAGAAGGTGGCCATATAATATTTTTTATTTGCAGGTAGTCAGTTTTTGGGGGATTTAAAAAAATAAAAATAAACACAGAACTGGGGATACATTTACAGTGAATTAAGGAATTGTGACAATCAATTGGAAAATTTCTTGCCAATATTTTAGAACATTGGGACAAGACCAGAAAATATGAAAAAAGTATTGCTGCCTATCCACGTTCTCTCTAATATTTTGTTAGTGGTGGTAAGATTTAGTTTTTAAAGTCTTGATGGGTGTAAAATACCACCTAGAGACTTGGCCATTTCAGAATATCGTCTTGTATGTCTTACCGATTTATTGGGCTAATATCCGCAATGGAGCACAATAGTAGCTCCAACTGCAATTTATCCTCCTCATAGGATTCATCATCTGTTTCTGCTGAATTTATCATTGCATTGCTTCAGCCAATTTTCTTTCTTTCGGAGAGATGAGATCAATTCTTTACTATGATATAATTAAAAATCTTTTTTTATTTTTTTTAAACCTACTACTCCCATAGCATGTTCATTTTCCCTTTGAGTTTTATTTATATTAAATGTACCGTAATATTTGAATATGTATATGGTACCAGCTAGTCATTAATAGTAAAATATATCCATTCATATTTTTATAAAAAGTTATAAACTTGTGTGTGTGTATATGTAACAAGTTCTACCTGCCAGTCAGAAGGACATCAGACGACGCAAATAAAAATCAGATAACAAACTCTGCAATATCAAGACAGTGTTCATATTGAGATGCACTGTAGTAACAGTTATCCAGTGACCAGGGAGTGGATCATCTGGGAATATTAATAAGAGACCTCCCTTGTGATGCACCCAGAAATACTCATTAACCCATAGCTCAGGAAGCCCTTAAATTGCAGACTTACAGGAAAGTCATGTGTCGTTAGAGGGTTAATTTGAATCTGATCTCAGTCTACTCTAGCAAGCCAGCTTATGTTGCTGCATTATGGAAACCTATATTTTCTTTTTCTGAGCATGGCAAAAAAACAGCATATTAATGGGACCAAAACCAAATGAGTTTGTTGTATTGGTGCCAAAGTGCCCCTTTAACAAAAACCTGATGAGCGCCTACAGTAATGCACTGTGCTACTGGCATTGATAAGTTACAGGTTACCATTTAGAAAGAAAATATTTACTGGTGCCAAACATTTTCTCGGTTTTAGATACAGAATTCCCTATCTTTTTAGGGAATCTATAAATATATAGCAACTACTGATTTCCTATATGATAACATGTAAGTTAATCATAATGTACAAAAGGGAAGCGTACACCCTCACACCAAACAAATATTTAACTGTGCTTGTTTTTTTTTTACTTGTTTTTTTTTCGATTCACCATCAACGCAGAGAATCTTGAATTATTTTGGAGCGTAAAGAAGAATGGCTAAAAGCCCTTTACTATTTGCCAGGCTTAAATGTTACTTACCACAAGAAGCCTGAGGGCTCAATCGCACAGTGATCAGGAGTGAATTTTTACTCGCCAGGGCTGATTTTTTTTCACTCCCCAACAGCTAGGGAAGAATGGAAATTTTGAGCTCTGGTTTAGTATATCACAATTTGTCTTTTGACATAACTTACTGCTATTGACTAACATATCACATTTTTGAGAGCGATCTTGTTGGCTCTATTGGTACAACCTTATACTCTCAACACACTTTCAATCTGTGCCTTCTGCCAGCATAATTGATAGCAATCATGGGAGTTGCACGTTATCAACTTCTATGGTGACCTTACTTAGTCACCAATCTATCCTCGTGCCACATGTCAGCAGGCTGTAATTGATCATATTTGAAGAATCCAAGAATGGAGCAAAATGTATGATAGTCATTTTTTCTAAGGAAGGGATTTATTGCTATTTAAAAAGAAATCCGAGAGATATCAAGCTGTACTTAAGGGGTTACTCTACCACTATTTTGTATTATCGTTAATCATTTAAATTTGTCATACAGCCTCTCTGTTTAGGTTCCCGCACCTACTTCCAAATTGATTGCCCTATTAATATAAGTTAAAAATTAACTTGACATCCAGTGGGTAACAAAGCTTCCCTTGCAGCCATCACAGTTTTGCCCACTCTGTGGACAAGTCAAATGCTTCTCATAGAGAAGCATCTGATTGGACTAATCTCTAGGCTGAGTGTATGCATGTGCTCTGAGCTGGCAAGGGAAAGAGGGGAGAGGTGGTGCGAGGGTATTATTTAAAGAACAAAACATAAATCTGAATACTGGGAGGAAGCCCTCTGACGAAGGTGACAGGCAAGCATCCCTTTGTAGGAACACTCCCACTGCTGTCTGCAAGAGTAGCAGCTGATTATGTCTGTCAACAGGACACAGTGGTGAGATGGACCGAAGAATAACAAAAACCTATTCCTGACTAGAAATATTGTATAACTCTGCCATTAACATATCATTTGCACTAAGAGAGACTGAAGCCTAGTCTCTCTCCACATTAACTCAGATATTTGCAGCTTGGCTTTACAGTAAACATTAGCAGTAAGGACACTATCCTTAAAATACAAGAGGCATTTTTGACAATGATACAATATTTCCCTATGTACACTTTTGTTTCCTCAAGCCATACAACCACTACATCATTGATACCTGTTCTACTTGACAAAGGGTATTGGATGGCTAGATAAGAATTTTCTTTGACAGACTGGTTAAAATGTTCCAGTGCACTTACGTGATCTCATTTATCTCATTTTAGGTGAGGTCTTAAAAAATGGAAGACGCCGAATCTCGGTTCACTCATCTCCTACAACCGATACGGGATCTAACAAAAAACTGGGAAGTGGATGTTGCAGCTCAGCTTGGTGAATACCTAGAAGAGGTAAGATAGTGTCTGACATATGTGGACAGATCTCATTTGTGTAGGATGCAAGTGTCTGAATATGTAAATATTTTCCAAAGCAGATTTGAGCATTCTTATCATAGTTTTAAGGTGCATTGTATCTATCACTTGAAGTTGGCAAAATAGATTATTATTGATATATATTGTACTAAAATATATCTTTAGAAAATTTATTTTAAATGTAAAAAATAAACTTTGTTTTTACTATTTTCCTTTCCAAGCAGTCACATCTCCTTATTGTGTATCTGTGATGTAATAATATTTTGTTTTATATCTTTTAATTTTTTTCATTGACAGCTAGATCAAATTTGCATTTCCTTTGATGGAGGTAAAACCACAATGAACTTTGCAGAGGCAGCACTGTTAATTCAGGGGTCTGCTTGTATTTACAGTAAAAAGGTAAATGTCATTGAGCATTATGTGCCAGAAGAAACTGTGCTAGCAATAGTAGTGTTTATTAATCCACGCTGGGCACCTCCAATGTATGGTTATAAATGAGACTGGAAAGGCCAGAAGGGACCTGACAAATATTTACGAGTCATGAAAATTAAAACTTAAGGCTTTTTCCAAGTGTGCAATCAGCCAAATACACTTTTTTTTTTTTTTTTTTAAGAGGAGGTGCCTAAATCATACTTTGCTGATAAATAATGTCAGATTAAACTTTAGTCAGGACATTTCTGGCAAGGGACACACGCACGTACATCCATACATCTATCCAAGGTCTGTGCACACCAATCTCTGGTTTTAGTAGGCCTGGTGCTGCTCTCTAGGCTATAATACACCATGCAAAATAGGCACACACTAGGAAATTGTAAAGTATTATTCTTTTATTAATCCAAAGATGATGTTTAAAACAACATTTCAGTCTCCTAGTGAGACCTTTGTCAAGACACCTAACACATGTGAGATGCCAAGTCTATATAGACCGTTTGTGAATGAGAGTAAGCGTGACCATGAGAAAGTTGCTGTGTGACCTAGTAATGACATCACTGTCGTGAATTGTTGGTAAACTCTAGACTATGACGTAGCCACCATCCCATTCATAAAAACAAATACTATAAAGCTCCCTGTTGAAACTGTAGTAACCACGATATGTGTTTAAAAAAATCTGTGTTAACATCAGCACAAAAAGTGTCTGAACATGTAGAACAGGAAAAAAGATTCACGTGTAACACAAAGGTAAGAGAAAGGGGAAATAATTACAAGTAACATGCCTCACACCAAATAAGAAATTGGATATCTAAGTGGATACATGGTCCAGTGTTTACTAACAATTCACGTCGGTGCTGTCATTACTAGGTCACACAGCCTCTTTGTCACTCTCATTCACGGCATCTTATAGGTGTTGGGTGCCTTGATAAAGGTCTTGCTTTGAGATTGTTGATTTAAACTTCACCTTTGAGTTAATAAAAGAAGAATACTTTACAATTTTCTTGTGTGTGCTGTCTTCTTTCATTGTACGTGTGTGTGTGTGTGTGTGTGTGTGTATTATATATATATATATATATATATATATATATATATACATTTTGTTTAATTTACTATGATGTACAGCCATATGTAATAATTATGTTGTTAATGTTGTGTGTTTTCAATAGGAACTGTGTTCCGCTGATAAAAAAGGGAAATTCTTTTAATCCAGATTAAAGTGCAAACCATCAGATTGGACATAAACATAATCCTTGAGTAGAATATGTATGGATATAAAATATATTCAAGCTTATTCACTAAAGTGAGAATTGTGAAATTCAAATTTTAAGGTTAAAGTAGCCAAATTGGGGGGGAGCCATCTATGCTTTGGTCACATTGACCTTAAATTTGAAATTCACTTTGCATTCACAGCAATTCTCACTTTAGTGTGTTACCCTGATGTAAGTTAACTTGTACTATAATCGCAGCATATATAAAGTGAATTAAGCCACACGTCAGCATTGGCTTCTCCTTCGGAAGACTGATAATTCCAGTCACATGCCAGTCTCATAATCAAATCTTATTTTGTGAATTTTTATTTGTGCTGTTTAAAACATAATTAACATTTCACTACTATAGTAACGGCATTTTTTTCTGCAGCAGTTGCTGTGTGGATGTGTTTTTGTCTGATTTTTGTTTTACTGTAATCATGTCATAACAACTGCTGTTCTCTCTTGATAGGTGGAATACCTGTACTCACTAGTGTACCAAGCTTTGGATTTTATTTCTAATAAAAAGTAGGTGCTTCCTTAGGAACCATGAATAGTAGGCACAATAAGACTGACTAAACCATGGAGCTTCTAGCAGGTGCATTCTGGGCCTGGTGTGGAATGCTTTAGTTCATATCACGAAATGAATGCATGATTCCCTACATGGCTAATTTTTATTGGGTGATTTACATGTGTAGTGGCAGTGCATATATTGACTTACATTTCTAAATTCAAGGCTGTGTCATTAGGTGTGTGGTACAAGAGCAGCAGTACTGGCTGACTAAGGTTCAGAGAATTCTACAGGCAGGATGTAGCCCATTTGCGCATGCTTCCATCTCGCCACAAATTTAACCACCTGAAGGACTGCGAGTTGACAGTGCTCAGTGTGGAGCTTTACCTTATTTTATTCAGCCTTAATAGTTAAACGCTTCATGTCTAAAAAGAAGTGGGGATTCGATAGTATGTCATGATTTTCAGTGACAGAATTGCTGCTGATTGCACAGGGTTTAGATATCAAGCTTTAGATGGAAGGCAAAGCTTTACAATGAGTATTAACAGCTAGACCAAACTGCAGGCTCTATGGTAGGTTTGGTTGGGGGCAAGCAGATAGGTATAGATAACTGGAGAGGAGTGGGCTGGTGAAAGACAAGGGCAGATAGGAAGATAACCAAGGGGGAGATTGATGGACACTTACTCTAACCACATAACGTACACTAAATTGTTAATAGGTTAGGAGTGTCTGGGCACCACCTTACTTTTAGAGTTTAAATGGACACTCCAGGCAGCCAGGCCACTTCAGCTCATTAGTGGTCTGGGTGCAGTGTTCCTATTGCACTTAGTGATTCAATGTTAAACATTGTAGTTCCAGAGAAACTGCAATGTTTACATTACAGCACCAAATCTGCCTCAAGTGGCTGTTTTCCAGACAGCCACTGGAGGCACTTCCTGCATCCAAATGGACCTTTGGTCCGGTATCTGATGCTGGACGCCTTCACGCTCTGCATGAGGACATCTAGTGTCAGATTTTTCCCCATATGCAAGCATTGATTTAATGCTTACAGATGGGGTGGTCTAATGCGCGCGTGGCCTTTGCGAGGAGCCGCGACCTAGTGCCGAGGGACATCAGCGCTGGGTAAGGTTAGTAAATAAAGGGTATTAGCCCAAAGTTTGGTATTACTGCTGCTCCCTAGATTCCTTTTTCTTTGCACTGCAGTGTGAGAAAAGTTTAGCCAGCAGCTGGTGAGAGACTGAGAATGTCAGCTGAAATTCTCAGCCTATCACTGCATAAATGGTAGAAATAGTACCATATCACTCCTTGGAGCAGCCCTATTTGCATAGTATATATTAAAGCAAAAGTCTTGATGTATCTTTAAAAATCTTCTTTTTACTACTTATGTGTCATTTACCCACCTATTTATTGACAATGTATACTTAATATAAATTCTTTTTATTTTTTTGACAAATCTTTATTGATTTTTTTTTTTTTTTTTAAACAAAAGCACTAATTACTAAGTACACCTCCTATGTGATGTGTGTATTTATTAATTTATATTTATATGTGTGTGTATTTATAGCAAGTGTAATGCATATTACCTGCACAAATTAACTGTGGTATGGGACTGTGAAGAGGGGATGATGGATGAGGCTCATGTTGCTAAATTTATCTGATCTGTTTGACTCTGTAAATCCACTTGTGGAACATGGGTGAGTTGTGATTTCTCCAGCATGAGTGTGTGGATGACTTTTGCAGCCTTAAAGGAACACTGTAGCGTTGGGAATACAAACATGTATTCCTAATGCTATAGAGCCCTTGTCAACTAAACGGTGACTAGGGCCCTTTCCATGGCGAATAAAATAATTAACCCTTTATTTGCCCACCTTAATCCAGCGCCGGGCTCCCTCGGCGCTGGTGACCTCTCCTCCTCCATCGAAGTCAGCTCCCGAGTGGAGCTGAATGTGCGCGCATTCAAAACCGCCCATAGTAAAGCATTACTAAATGCTTTCCTATGGGGATCTTTTTTGACGCTGGAGGACCATGAGGTCAAATAAGTGTGATTTATTCCGTGCAAATTGGAAGCGTCTCTAGTGACTTTCAGGGAGACAGCCGCTAGAGCCTGGATTAACCCTGCAGTGTAAACATATCAGTTTCTCTGAAACTATGTTTTCAGCTGCATGGTTAAAACTAGGGGGACCTGGTACCCAGACCACTTCATTGAGCTGAAGTGATTTGGTTGCCTATAGTGGTCCTTTAAGCAAGCGAGTGACAGTTGCATTTTTCTAAGTTTACTGTGGTAATGAGGTGTGATTAATAAGTGTGACTTCTGGTGTGCAAGGGAGACAGATGTTTGTAACAGAAGCCATTTTTAAAAATTATTGTTTTTAACTCTCTTCTCTCAGGAAGGACCAGCAGCCGACATCTGTAGGAGCGGATGGTGTTGACAATGATGCAACGTTTGCAAATCGTAGGGATGAAGAGGAAGTAAGAAATATTTGCATTGATCAACTTGACTTAAAGTAACACTCCAAACATCATATCTATTACAAAGTTCTGTTGTGGTCGTAATGCCAGGAGTGTGGCCTAGACCCCCCCAATCAGATGATTACTCTCTGCCAGTGAGCTAAGCCCTTCAGCACCATGATTAGCTTTGGCAGAGATACTCTAGTTCTCTGTCTAAAGTAGTGGAGGCAAGGAGTGGCTCATGGCAGACCGCATGTAAGAAATTCAACCGTTCTAAAAGGTTTGACTACTTACAATAGGGGTATGTGGAATGTTCTTTTAATCACTAACTGTCTTGAAGTAGAAAACATTGCTGCTCCTTCAACCGGCCCATGCTCAATTTTCTGCCATTTATGAGTTAAATTACTTTGTTTATGCAGCCCTAGCCACACCCCTGCCTGTGACTCACACAGTTCCAGACAGGTCGCGGCTAAGTGACTGTCTTTAAACGGGAGTCCTTGTGGGCCGGAAAAGAGGGACTCCTCTGGCTCTTAGGTAGCGATGGTTGGGAACATCCTCCTATACCTCCCCTCCAAATAGCGCTCTCTGAGGTGTCCATGAAAGGTGGTAAAACAGTGAATTAACTTGACTGGGCGGATTCTGGAGTTGAGGCTAGACCAGAGTTCCGGGTAATCAGGGTTAAACTCTAAACTTGATTTGAAATCCTGTGGTGGGACCTCAAGAGAGCTATGCGTGAACCAATGCCAGCAAACTTCAATGAACTGAAGCAACATTTTAAAGAAGAGTGGGCCACATTTCCTCAATATATATGTGAAAGACTGATAAAGTCAAACAGAAAACGATTACTTCAAGGTATTGCTGCTAAAAGTGGTTCTGCAATCTACTGAATATGGTGTACTTAGTTTTTCACACATGGCTTCTCAATTTTGGCTTCATTTTTATTAAATAATTACATGTAATATGTCAGTTGTTGTTGTTCATCTGAGATCGTATTTACCTAATTTTACAACCTGCTAAGGAACAGAAGATTGCTATTGTTTGCAATGTAAATTAGCAGTGGCTATGGCCAGTAAGGTATTGTCATGCATAAAAAAGGGTATTAATTCTCAGGATGAGAATATCATTTTTCCTCTTTAGAAATCACTAGTAAAACCACATCTTGAATATGCTGTGCAATTATAGGCACCTGTTCTAAAGAAGGATATTATGGCACTGGAAAAAGTGCAGATGTGTGCTACAAAATTAAAAAAGAAATGGTACATTTTAGCTATGAATAAAGGTTAACAAATTTTAAACCTCTTTAGTTTAGTTTAGAAAAACGTCGCCTCAGAAGGGATATGATAACATTATACAAATTTATCCGGGGCCATTGTTCACAAACAGGTCTATACTTAGGACACGAGGTCAGGCATTGGGAAGAAAGAAGATTTAGTCCAAGGCAAAGGAAAGGCTTTTTTTTTTTAACCATAATAACAATAATGATGTGGATTTCTCTGCCAGATCAAGTGGTTTATCGGAGTCTGTACAGATGTTTAAACAGCAACTAGATGCATACTTACAAAAACATAATCTTCAATTATATAATTTTTCAACTGTAGGGTAGCTTCTTGATCCAAGGATAAATCTGAGTGCTTCAAACTGTTTTTATTTAGTTTTTTCCCCCTTTTGGATAAACAGCAAAAAAAAAACAAAAACAAAAAAAAAAACACAGATGGAAGGAAGGCTGAACTTGGTTGACACATGTCTCTTTTCAGCCTTTGTAACTGTGTAAAACCATATAATTCAAAGAGGATGTACTTTCATGACTGTATATATATATTTTAGAAGTAGCAATGAATAAAATACTAGTTGTGAGGTTTTTGTTTTGTTATGAAAGTGTATCCTTGCACTACCATGTTTTTTTATTTATTTATTTTTACGTTTTCGTTTTTTTTCTTTTTCTTCTCTTGTAGTTTCTTAGTCTTGATGATATAAATGACCCAAAGAAATCCAACGTGGACATGAAAAGAGATCAGATCCCAAATGTAGGACCTCTTTTATATCTCATTATTTAGTGCTTGAACTTAAATTATAACATGTATAATCTGTACGTGCCATCAATGCTTTCAGCCTTAGTGCATATTTGTGTCTGGGTGGGTCTGGACGCATTTCAGGAGCTATTTTACCATTTCACGTTTTATGTTGATCTCTTTGTTTGTGTATGTTCCTTGCTCTGAAATTATACATGTAGTTAGACATACCCTATCTCTAAGTGTGTCCCCACTAATTCTTGTGTCTATAGGTGGTTTATTTTCGAGGCTTTTTAGACTTTATGAATTAAATCTACATTTATTTATTGTGCAACCATTTCCTTCTTGTTAACTTGACAGTATGGACAAAAACTTGTCTGATTTTTATTTTTATTTTTTTTCTCTAAAGCGTGTGAATATTGTCCCTTTAACTCCAATGGCATTGGTACCCCCTGAAGAGGTAGAGAAGAAAAGTAACCCATTATGCAGGTGAGACCTTTTCCTAAAATACCTAGTGTGGTACTATATTGTATTCTTGTATCACAAATTCCAGAAATTTCTAGTGCTTTCCATCTTGATGATCCATGTTTCCACTCATTCCTGTGTTTTGGCAATGTTTCTAATGTTTATGGTTTGCTCAAGCTATTGCATTCAACTTGCATTCAAACCCTTTCTCCTCTGTAGCCGCAAAGGAGAGGTCCTTGCAAGCAGGAAGGATTTCCGTATGAATACCTGCACTCCTCATGCAAGTGGAGCATTTATGCTGGAACTAGCCAGGATGTCCCCTACAAAGTTCTTGCACAGAGTAGAGCAAACTGAAGAGGTCGCACAGTGTCCAGGTATATACTGCACACACAAAAAATAAATCAGTGATAACTGACTGTAATTGTAGTACCATTGACTGCAGTAACAATGTTTCACATTTCCAGTTCTGCAGGAAGAACGGCAAGATAAAAATGAAAACATGGAGACAGAGAACATGGATTGTGCTGGTCCTGTAGTTGTCTTGAACTTCAGTGACGGTGAGATTAGCTTACTTTTTCCTGGAATGCATCCTATAGCATTATAAAAAACCCTTTTACAGAGATGGTATATGTATGTGCTATGGGCAGGTAATATTGCTCAAGGGTTTTGAAGACACAGAGGAATTTACATATCAATGATATGCCATAGATATCGCAGTCTTCATTATCTGCTAAACTCATATGTTCTCTAGTCAGTGTTAAAAGCAGATTTAAATAGAACATTTTGTCTCGTTGATTTGTTTGTTTTTACTTTGACTTATGGTGGTGGGTGGGGAACCTAAGTTACAATGGGGAGAAGGGTACCCTAAATGACAATGTGATGGGGGCGCCCTAGTTATTTTACATTTAGCAACGGGTTGAGGCTAGATGTAAAAATAACCCCTTCCCCAAATCTTGACCTATCAGAGCACTCTTATTGATTGGTTTAACCCGGCGCTCTGAGTCAAATTGCAAGGCGTGTTAAGGCTTTATAAGCCTTTCCCCGACCTGCGGAGCTCAGTCTGTGTGGTGCCCTCGCTGGGTGAAGATGGATTCTTTTTTAGCATCAGGATTTACAAAAATGTCAGCGTGTTTTTTTTTTTGTTTTTTTTTGTGCTTTCTATTTTTCGGTGTGTTTTGTTTTTATTTTTTAAAAGTTTGGGACTTTTTATTTGGCCCTTTTTTGAGGCTGAAAAAGGAAGGTTTTTGAAAAAAACAAGACCATTAAATGGTCGGTATGATTTTATTATTTTGTAATTTTTTATTTACAGTTATTGATGTTAATTGCTTCCTCCTTCACAATTTATGGTGAGAGGGGTAGGTAGGCTTTTATTTTTTATTTTTTGAAGGGGGATAACTAGGCTCTTGGGAACCCCTAGTCACCTTGGAGGGGGTTATTTTTACATTTCGCCTCCAACCGCCGGCCTATAGTCATTTAGGGCCCCCATCCGCCGCTCATCGGTCAGGGGAGGCAGTAGGTGACCCCATTCCCTCCCCTATTGTTTCTTAGGGCCTGCACCTGCCACTCATGAGTGGGGGCCGAGGGAGGACACTAGGTCCCCATTTAGTTTAGTGGACCCCACTTGCGGTGCTCGTGGGGGACACTACCTCCCCACAGTTAATCATTTTTTATTAGCGCCACACTAAGGGGCACTTTATTAGAATAGGTATTTTTTACAACAGTGAGTAGCCACTGGCTGCTCACTGTTTAGTAGACATGCCCCTACTCATGTTATAGCGAGTAGGGGCAGAAGGAACATTTTAATCTTCCTTAATTACTAATACTAAGTCATCTTTACTTTGTATTGGTAAATTTGGCTGAAAGTCCAATTTTGGTCTTTCAGGCTTTTAGTAAATAGCTCCCTAATACCATGGGAATTTGGGAGTTATCTACTAAGTGGCTGCAAGATGCAGCCACAGCACGAATAGTATCGGAATTGAATTAATTCGAATGAAATTCCGATCCAAACAAAAAGTACCGAATTGTGTCCTAACACAAATGGACAAACTGTTCTCTTTCTGGTAGGATGAAATTCGGTAGTTTCACCGGCGTTTGAACTGAGAATGAAGCAGCAAAAGAAGAGGTGAGGATTGAGGAAAATTGCATCGACTAGAGGGAAATGGAGCGGATTTAGCTCCTCCTTTGGGTCAAACATAGGAAAAATACATAAGACAAAATAGTCCCTACTTTGTCTTCTGTTTTAAAGAAATCTAGATCAACTAGGAAGGAAAGAAGAACAGATTGTGAGAGAGGAAAAGAGGAAGCGATTGGGGAAAGGCAAGTTCGGCATGACAGTGCCACTTTTAACTTGCTCACACCATAATATGTCATTTAAAGCCCACTAAGTGTAGGATGGCATAGAACGTCTTTAAGACATTAAAGCATTGAGGTTTGATAAAGGGAGAAGCTTAATCAAGCCTTTTCTGTAGACGCAAAAAGAGAATTAATTGCCTAATTTTGACAGTAAGTAAACATGTTGGGAAAAAACTATATTCAGCCAAAAGCTACATGTTCTTTATTTACTTAAGGAACAGTACAGGATCTTGTCACAATCTGCAGTTTGTCTTCTAGTGCCTGATAACAGTGATGGGGGTGGATTTGTCCCATTGGATGATCATCATGAAGCAGATGATCACCATGATGTTGGAGATGCCTTGATGGAGCCTACAGAGCATATTGAGAGGAGAAAGGTATGACTGTCACTCGAAGGATTACAAAACAAAGATTATGAAAAGAGCAACATTTACAGAAACTGGTTTAGCACATAGTATTTCTTCTCCTCCCCCCCACCCTCCACCTTAACTGAAGAACTTAAACAGCCATCTTTCTGTTTTTGATTAAGCAGCCAGGAGTTATTACCTTGTCAATTTACAAAATAAGTTTTATAGAGCTTTTTGTGCATGCAGAGGAAGTAGCAAGTAACAAGTGGCATGCATTATGTATATTTCTTACTACAAAATATTTATGTAAATGTTTTTAATTTTATTGGAACTTCACATAAATTCATATTGATAGGTATAAGTGTATACCCAAAGGCAGTTTATTTTATTTTTATTTTTTTTGAAAACTCAGAAGTGGGGGTGCAATTTCAGCCCCTTCATGACTGATGGTTTGGAATGACTATTGCCTTAGCAAGTGCTTTCTCAAACCTCTGTCATGAAGGGTTTAAATGTTTCTGCAAAAAAAAAAAAAAAAAAAACTATGCACAGCCAACGGCAAGTTGCCATGCACACAATGTAATGATTATTGATAGCTTGTATAATGTATTTGTTATGTAAAGGTAAATACTTTTTAGTGAGATTTTCATGTTATGCCCAACAGATGCAGTTTGAAGAGAGAGGCTATGCTCTACGGGAAAGAGTGGCCCAGCAAGATCCACCTGCTAGCATGCAGGTAAAAACTAATGCACTTTTCTATTTTCTGCTTCTTTTTTTTTTTTTTTCTTTACACAGTAGCTGCTCTTTCTTGGGTCATGTTGATCTCATTTTCATTCTCCATCTTCTTTTTCCACAGAATGAAGTTATAGACCACTGGCGCAGTCTAGATCCTTTTGAAGCGTGTGCAGAAAAGCCATTTAAGAAAGGTACCATAGATGTCTATCTGATATTTATTCTTGTTTGACCCCTGTCTTCTCATGTTTGATTTATGCTTCTGCCTCCCATTTCCTTACGTCAGGTAAACATTACACACTGCCGCGAGGTGTGGTAGAAGGAATGTCCAACAACAGAAAAAGGAGGCTGCCCTGCAAGCTGCAGGATTTCATGAAATGGCTGTCTTCCACGCGTGAGTATCATTCTTCCCACGTGATTTATAGATTCGATTTTTCTATTTGTAAAGGGAGCTTAAATAGAAATGGTCAAATCCAGAGAAGTGACAATTCTGTGTTCTTTCACCCTAGTAAATGCTACTGTAGGGGTTACTGGGGTGACTATTGCAGCAGAGGTAAGGGGGGGTGTTTGGGTTTGCCATCCCAGTATGTCTTGTGTGCATGGGAATCTAATTGCGTATGAGTGCATATGCTGTGTGTACTGCATTACAGCTGTTAACTAATATTTTACTTCTATTGTATGTAAGTTAGATAAATGAAAGGATAGTGCTAGATATAGTCATATTTATTATATTTATAATGAAGCTCTGAGGGACAAATATGGGATGGAAAATAACTAATGTGTGTACTATGTGTTTTATATATTTAGCACTTATTGAGAAATATTTACATATATTAATACAATATATATGAGTATAAATAACTCTCAAGGCTTATTTGTAACGATGCTTATCCAGAGAATTGACGGATTGTGGCTGGCTTATATATTTAAAGGAACGCTATAGTCATTGGAGCCAGTACAGCTTTACATGGTGGTTTTGGTGTATATAGCGAGCCCCTGCAGCCTTTTCAATGTAAAGGCTGCCTTTTGCGAAAAAAGGCAGTGTTCACATTTTTCCTAAATAACATGTCTTGGTGTCGTCACTCAGTTGCCTATTAGAGGCCCTTGTATATTTCAGTACTGCAATCTTTGCAGGACCTATGTTCAGCGTCTCTACACTATGCATAGAGATGCATGATTTGCCTCGTATGCAAACTGTCCTCCCAATGCTTCCTTATTAATGTTGATCATCTCAGCCAGAGATGCAATACGGCAAGGCAGGAAAACTGGGGGGACCTTTAAATGGTGAGTATTGCACCTTAGCATTAGGAACACATGTTTGTATTCCAAACGCTATAGTGTTCCTTTAATAAGTACCTTTGGTTATATATTTATCAATACTAACCATTTTGAGGATTCTCGGCTTCAGTTAAATTAATAGAATTTAATAAATAGCAATAGCATTAAGAATACTTCCTTATAAGGCACAAAAACAAATAAAAGGCCTTATTAGCTATACACACATCACATAACTATCTACCTAACAGAAATACAAACAGCAATGTATATATGTGCTCACTTGATGTTATCATAGCTACCTGCTGCTGGAATCAGCCCATAGTTGGCAATCCTCTTAGTCAGTACTTATATGCCCTCCTGCACGTGCTTTAGTTCCTTACTTCTCCTACTTAACCCATATCTGTTTATCTTGGAATTCACCAAAATTCACTCTTCTTTACTGTTTGGGATTCAATTAGCTGTAATATATGCGTAGTTATTAGCTAAAGTGAGAATTCAAAGTAAACTCCGAGAGAATTTCAAATTTAAGATGAAAATAGTCAAACTGGAAAATTTCTCGTAGTAAGCTATGCTTTCAGTTATGGTACACTGGCCTTAAATGGCATCTGTCATGTCACAAACTACATGTGCTCATTAGATTAAGCATATAATTTTATCTATACATTGTGCTAGCAAATGTATAGAATAGGCTTTTCTCCCACCTGTTAGTCAATGCTGAGGCATTCGAAGAACAGAAAAGACTTCCTACTAGAGAGTATAGGAACTGAGTGATGTCACTAGGTTTACGGCACGCTGGTTATGAAGTGTCATTGAGGAAGTGTCCAAAAGCAGGGCAAAGCCTTGATGCGCAGCAGAGGATTGGTGTTACATGAAGAGTAGCGTCCACGAAAATTGAAGATGATAGCACTGGAATGGAGGAGAGGTGAGCAAGTATCTATATGTTACATTGAATACATCATGTATCTTTGTGATATGATATATTCAATGTACATGGTAGTGTAATATCTAATGGTGCACTAACACAATCTACAGATAACCCTCAAATTACACACACATATATATTCACTTAACATATAACATTTTATATATATTTATAATGCTGCTAAAAATGTAACCAATAAGATATTGCTTATAAGGTAACAGAGAATTTAAAACATTGTCAGAGAAAGGAAAATAATTGGTTACATGTGCTTTTACTATGAGAACAAGTTAATATTTCAAGTGTAGATTTATTTGAGTTATTATTTTTTGTAGTGATGTAGAAAGGAGTTGGCACTTAAATTAGATGTTATGCCTTCATTAGATGTGCACATGTGTGATATTTAGTATGGTGTAGAGATAATCTAATTTGCAGCAATGTTTGAAAGAAGGGGGAAAAAACATCTTCTGTTCTTTATACAGACTTTAACCAATCAGAAGCAGGAAAATCCAGAAGGAAAGGTCCAACATTTGAAGGTAAGTGGAAGGTGCCAAGATGGTTAGTAAATATTTCTGGATATATTATAAAGTAACATTACATGGTGCAAAGTACCCCTGGTAAATGTGCCATGCACCCTCTAGGCTTTCAGTGACAAGTAACTTTCAAGTCATTGTCCTGCTAGTAGCATATGACTTAAGTCATGTAAGTTCACTTCTTTTAAAACCAATCAATATTGTGTCTTTTTTTCTTTTATGCAGACATGGAAGTGTTGTACTGGAAGCACGTTAAAGACAGTCTTGCACAGAAGCAGCTCCAGAAAATTAAGGTAATGAAGTTTATTCCATGGCTCAAAATTTCCACTCTGCTTTTAGCCATTGGTGAATGAGAATTCCATCCTGTTGGATAGAAATTCATTCATGGTAAGTGTGTCATGGACTCGCCAGATTTGCACTGATGAGTGACTTTTAGGACCTGGATAGCTGCAGTGGACTTGGCTAAAATCAAGATTGCTTCAAAAAGACACAAAGTTAAAAAGTTTCTGCTTTTGGGTTGCCACTAAAGGGATATTTCTGAAATTATAAGGAGTGCTGGACATTGTTTTTCTACTGGAATTTGTGGCAGAGTAGGAGTCCATGCACCCATTACTTATAATAGATGGGTGCGCTCCAAAATGTGACTATTCTGGATTATTCTGAGACTGCTTAGAAAAAAAGATGAGAACAGTCTCATTCTGCAAGCTCATAACATAACTCAAATTACATAATATCAAGGTGTTCTGTTCTAATTAATGGTCTAAAGTACTAAAAATGGATCAATCACTGTTCAAACCAGGGGAGCCATCAGACACTTTGATTAATCTACCTCATTATTACTACAGTAATTATTGACTTCCCTTTACAGACCCCACAATTTGCAAATGTGCTAGCATTTGGCAGTGAAGAGGAGCCTGTTAATCATTTTGAGCCGCTAAATGATGATAATTGTTTGGATCATGATGACCATGCAGGTGAGATCAGAATTCTATTTTTCACAAATTTGTTATTGATACATAAGTGATAGTAGTTTCCTTGGTTCTGATTGCATTGGCCTAACTACAACAGATAACACTGGACATAAGTAAACACTATCTATAAAGAGCAGTGAATGTTCAGTACTCACAGAATGTGTAAACAGTAGAAAACACTTATGGGACCTAAAAGGCTAAATTAAAACCACTTCAGTTTACTTTGCAGAGATTCATCATGAAATGCTGCTAAATCAAAGCTATTGCCAGCTGTATCTGGGATGTAACTTGAGCTCCCGCCAATCCGCTTTTATCCAAACATGTACAGTGAGGGGAAAAAGTATTTGATCTCCTGGTGATTTTGAACGTTTGTTCAATGACAAAGAAGTCTGTCATTTTAATGGTAGGTGTATTTGAACAGTGAGAGACAGAATAACAACAACAAAATCCAGAAACACGCATGTCAAAAAAGTTATAAATTGATTTGCATGTCAATGAGTGAAATAATTATTTGACCCCTTCGACCTTGTACTTGGTGGCAAAACCCGTGTTGGCAATCACAGAGGTCAGACGTTTCTTGTAGTTGGCCATGAGGTTTGCACACATCTTAGGAGGGATTTTGTCCAATTATTCTTTGCAGATCATCTCCAAGTCATTAAGGTTTCAAGGCTGATGTTTGGCAACTCGAACCTTCAGCTCCCTCTACAGATTTTCTATGGGATTATGGTCTGGAGACTGTCTAGGCCACTCCAGGACCTTAATGTGCTTCTTCTTGAGCCACTCCTTTGTTGCTTTGGCTGTGTGTTTTGGGTCATTGTCATGCTGGAATACCTATCCATGACCCATTTTCAATGCCCTGGCTGAGGGAAGGAGGTTCTCACCCAAGATTTGACGGTACATGGCCCCGTCCATCGTCTCTTTAATGCGGTGCAGTTGTCCTGTCCCTTTAGCAGAAAAACACCCCCAAAGCATAATGTTTCCACCTCCATGTTTGACAGTGGGGATGGTGTTCTTGGGGTCATAGGCAGCATTCCTCCTCCTCCAATCACAGTGAGTTGAGTTGATGACAAAGAGCTCGATTTTTGGTCTCATCTGACCACAACACTTTCACCCAATTCTTCTCTGAATCATTCAGATGTTCATTGGCAAACTTCAGATGGGCCTGTACATGTGCTTTCTTGAGCAGGAGGACCTTGCGGGCACTGCAGTATTTCAGTCCTTCATGGCGTAGTGTGTTACCAATTGTTTTCTTGGTGACTATGGTTCCAGCTGCCTTGAGATCATTAACAAGATCCTCCTGTGTAGTTCTGGGCTGATTCCTCACCGTTCTCATGATCATTGAAACTCCACGAGGTGAGATCTTGAATGGAGCACCAGACCGAGGGAGTCTGAAAGTTATTTTGTGTTTCTTCCATTTGTGAATAATCGCACCAACTGTTGTCACCTTCTTACCACGCTGCTTGGCGATGGTCTTATAGCCCATTCCAGCCTTGTGTAGGGCTACAATCATGTCCTTGACATCCTTGGACAGCTCTTTGGACTTGGCCATGGTGGAGAGTTTGGAATCTGATTGATTGCTTCTGTGGACAGGTGTCTTTCATATAGGTAACGAGCTGAGATTAAGAGCACTCCCTTTAAGAGAGTGCTCCTAATCTCAGCTTGATACCTGTATAAAAGACACTTGGGAGCCAGAAATCTTGCTGATTGATAGGGGATCAAATATTTATTTCACTCCTTGACATGCAAATCAATATATAACTTTTTTGACATGCGCTTTTCTGGATTATTTTTGGTATTCTGTCTCTCACTATTAAAATTATAGACTGATCATTTCTTAGTCAATGGACAAATGTACAAACACAGCAGGAGCTCAAATACTTTTTCCCCCTCACTGTACAACTTAGACTGAGCCCTCTGTCTTCCCAGCAGAGAGCTAAGCCAAGGACCTCTCATCAGTGGAACTCCACTTGGCTATGAACCCAAATTAGTAAGAAAATCACTTACCTTACACAGAAGATCACAGGAAACATATGCCCTCTCAGCCTTTTGTGATTGTCTGTGTAGCTATTATTAATTCAAAACATATACACACATTTTGTAACTGCTGCATTTATGTATTGGATTAAATTATGTTGCTGGTCTCCATACACTCTTTACTTATTCCCCTCTCAAAGCAGATGACTTCTCTGACCCTGAAGACCTCGGAACGGACGTACCAGAATGTTTGCGAGAGGACCCTGCTCTTGGTAATTCATACTTATGGCTTTGGGTAAAAAAAAATACCCTTTTTGTTCTTTTCGTGCCTGTTCAGGAATGTACTCATATTGGTATCTGCATGTTCTCTCCAACTTTCTTCGATTATTTAAAACCTGTAATTGTTTATACGAGAACAATTTTTATCTTAAAGGGTTAATGCATGCACAGTTACCATATCAGTATTTTGAAGTAGTCCGTGTGCAAGGACCCTGTATGTACAGCAATACAGTATGAAATGCTGCACGTACTGAAATATTTAAAGGAACGTGCATCACTTTAAGACAACTGTCTCATTTAAAAGCTTTGAATTAGACCATTGCCTCACTCTACAGGCTGAAAAAAAGCAGGCAAATATGATTTATTTATTCCCTTATATTTTCATGATTTTTTTTTTTTTTTCATACGCTTTCCACATTCACTTCAGGGAGGACAATGATCTAATAATCAGTGTTCTATCCCTAAGAATGATGAAACAATGCATGGGCATGCCTGAAAGATACACATTTGTGCAGTTGGAAGAATCTCTTCATCTTGCAACATTCTGACAAGGGGAGGGGGAATCTGATCTGTGTGATCATACAGAGTAGGCTCCAATGTCATTTTTTTTATTCTCTTCTGCTACTGAACAATAATGCCCTGTTTCTGTAATTAGTGAACTGGTCTGAAAAGGAGATGGTTTGGTGGGGGGCTTGAAGAAACTCCCCTGCCAAAAGACATGCCCAATAATGCAATCTGAGCAAGTTTATAGTAGGTTTACAAAAACTAATATTTTCTTGCTTTATTTTGGTTTGTATATTTGTTTGTGTTTGCTGGTTTAAAAAAAATAATTGTCAAGTGATGCATGTCTCTGTAATGTTGCTGACAGAGGTATAACCCTGCCTCCTGCAGCTTCCATTAACCAGCAAAGAACAAGCATTCCAGGCTGGATAATGTCATTTCTGTGCATATTCCTTGCACAGAGGGTCATTCATTGGTTAAGTGTGTGCTAAGTGATGCTCTCAGGATCTGCATCTAGCTCCTGCAGCTCTGCAGAAGATGGATATCACTCTGCCACAATTAGAGGTTCGGCAAGAGGCAATCCATTGCAAAAATGGGTTGTCCCCTTACTGGCAAACGGTACCAGGGTAATAGCATCATAGCCACTACATGGTTGTATAGTGATCTACATTGGTTATGATGCTCGGAGTAATCCTTTAGATAAATGAGAGGGAAATCTGTCCCTGAAATCATTTTTGATCACATCAATTATGTATGATAACCTTATTAACTTTTTCTGTCTCAGAACCTTGTGGACTTCAAGACCAGATGAGTTATGAGGAGCTGGTGAGAAGGAATGTGGTATGTGACTTTGTTTTATTTTCTTTAAACTGCTTCTCTTCAGATATATGCCAATTGTACCCCACATTAGAGATGTCGCGAACCGTCCGCGAATGGTTCGCCGCGAGCTGTTTGCGGCGAACTCCGGTCAGCTGACACGTCCCGGCCAATCTCCAGCAGACCCTCCCTCCCAGACCCTCCTACTTCCTGGACAGCATCCATGTTTTCAAAACATGGATGCTGTCCAGGAAGTAGGAGGGTCTGGGAGGGAGGGTCTGCTGGAGATTGGCCGGGACGTGTCAGCTGACCGGAGTTCGCCGCGAACAGATCGTGGCGAACCGCTCGCAAGATGTTCGCGACATCTCTACCCCACATATTATTCTACAGGGAAGGGTTTGTTACTTGTAAATTCCTTTTCAATGTTATACTAACACAGCATGGAGCAAACAAATCATTCAGACTGACATAAAACAATGCTTTAGTTGGACTATGTGTAATAAAACAATAATATAGGAAAGGGGACTTATCGATTGCTAAAATACAGTCTTTATGTACATTATGTATCTGACTGCAGGCACAAACTACAATTAAAGGGTTACTCCAACCCAAAACATGATTGACATTTCCTTCTGTCCCACAGTATGATGTGCATGCTGGCTCTGTCTAATGTGTGCGCGCTGACTGTGGTTACAATGTGTGTATGTATTGTTTGCTGGCTGTGTGTGTGCCATGTGTTAGTGTTGCCGTTGTGGATCAGAGTTATTCAGCAGTGGAGTTAAGGGTGCTTTTGACTGAGAGTAAGGGAAGTGGACTAGGGGCAAGGCATAAAAGCCAGAAGACCACCAGTTGGAAAATGGGTTGTATGATATAAACAAACAATGTGGGATTGAAAGGTAACATGTCGGGAAGTGCACTGGTGACAGTCCACACTAATATATTGCTGCACGCCAAACAATTACACAACTGCATTTACACATGGGCAATATATATATCTATATCCATAGCCCTGCAATCGCTGACACATACATCCACTAACACTCCACGCAAATACAAACCTACATTCACATATTTTCTGGGGTATTCACTAAATTCTAAAGTGTAGCAAACTAAAATCCAAATGGAAAAACAAAGTGAGTTCTGCCAATAAATCCCACTGTAATACACCACAAATATATATCCCTGCATTTACAAGACCGCAATTAAATTTTCCATTGCTCCTCCTGAGATTGGAATATATATGTGTGTATGTATGTGTGTGTGTGTGCTCTGTGTTTGTTTTGTTTTTTTGTCCTCCTCCAGCTTCCTTTCAGCTGGGAGGGGCATGATCTCTGCTGATCCAAGTGGAGTTTTAAGGGACGCTATCGTTACCAAAACAACTTTAGCTTAAAAGAACATACTATAGGGTCAGGAACATAAACATGTATTCCTGTTACTATATTGTTAAAACCACCATTTAGCCCCTCCCCCCCTCATTTCCTTCCTAAATATGGTAAAATCTTACTAGTATTCAAGTATATGCAGCTGCTGCCCCTGATACGTGAGCCAATCACAATACTTCCCTATAGGATTGGTTGAGTCTGTCAAGGAGGCAGATAAGGGGCAGAGCCAGCACAAGTCACAGCCCAGGCCAACCAGCATCTCCTCATAGAGATGAATTGAATCAATGCATCTCTATGAAGAAAGTTCAATGTCTGCATGCAGAGGATGGAGACACTGAATGGCAGTACTGCACAGTGTGGAGCACTGCCCAGGTAGCGCCATCTGATGTGTGGCCCGTGGAGTTATTCCAAGGCTGTAATGTAAACACTGCTTTTTCTCTAAAAAGACCGTGTTTACTGCAAAAAGCCTGAAGGGAATGATTCTACTCACCTGAACAAACACAATACGCTTTAGTTTTGTCTGGTGACTATAGTGTCTCTTTAATGAAGCAGTTTGGTTTCTAGATCATGCCCCTGCAGTCTCATTGCATTCTGTGTTATATTTGCTAGCTAAGCTTTAAGAATTACTGACATATCTACTCATCCTGGCACAGATCCCCTCTGAATCTGTGAGTTACATAGCTGAAAAGAGACTTGCTTCCATCATGCCCAGCCATTATCACATTTGTTTTTGCTATTGATAAAGAAGGCAAAAAATCTCTTTGAAGAGCTTCTAGTTTTGGAACAAACAAGGAAAATGTCCTTCTTGACCCCAGAAATGCAGTCAGATATCTCCATGGATCAAAAACCTGTTACCCCACTAATTAAAAATGATATCCCTGAATTTTATGTTTTTGCAAGTATTTATCAAATTGCTGTTTACACAAAGGTGGAAAAAAAAATGGATGAAATTACTATATGAGTAAAGAGTAAAAAAAAAAGCATTTATTACTTACATCAAAGTAAATAATAGCAGATATATCAGTCCAACGCATTTCTTCCCTGTTAGGGACTTCCTCAGGGACAATCTTTAACAACAATGCTGAGTACAAATGCATACAATCCTAGTTACAAACATCCCCTAATATACATCAGTCCCAATAGTTGTTCTGTAGATGATTCCGTTTTTCCTCAGCTGTTTGTAGTTCAAATTTGGTCACTTCCGGGTTTCGTGCATCCCACGCGATCACGTGACATACGTGATGACGTCATGCGTTCCACCTTCGTTTCAGCTGTCCATCATGATGACAAGCTGGGATGTTGAAAAAAGTCAGAAAAAGACTGTTTCTAAATGGGAGTATGAGTGGGGAGTGTAGAAAGGCGGAGTGACAAAGTAGTTAAATAGATATTACTGGTCTGAAAATCTTATAAATAAACTTTATTAATAAAAAACGAAACAAACACACCAAGAACCTATATTTCATGCATTGATATATTTTAATGCCTGTGTACATAGATGCCTAACTCCATACTGCATAAGGCAACATGCACACTGCATAATGTAATATGCACAATTTATCTCATTTTTTTTTTTTTTTAAATGTCATTTTTTAATGAGATTTACATTCACCAAGCATTGAAGCAAGAAGGCACACCAAGTACATTTTTGAAGGCATTTCTTGGGATGTTAAAGTGTGAGTGAACATTTGGCACTTACCTATATATCCACTTTATTATATACAGTATTGCACTATGCCATATATTTCTTATTATCCTGGCTTGAAATAGCCCTATACCATACACCAATTCATACATGACAGTACCTTACTGGCGTTGGCAACTGCCGATTGACATTGTACATTGTTGCCTAGTTTGTTGTCTATAACAATTCCCAAATACTTTTTTGTGTTATCCATAATTCACTACTAATTAGAGTGTAAGTTGCTTGTGCGTAATTTTGCATTTTGCTACATTGAATTTAATCTGACATTTGAGTACTCAGTCCCCCAATCTATCTAAATCCATCTGCAGAAAAGCAATATCCTGCTCCGATAGTATTACTAGCACAGAGTTTTGTGTCATCTGCAAACACTGTGTGATGGAATCTTAATGTGAATCTGTTTATTTTGTCAGTGTGAGTGAATCTGTCTGTGAAATGCACACTGCTCTACACAGGGAATCAGTCTGTATATGAAGTGACACACAATTCTCTGAACATAGGTGTGCGCACGGGGTGTGCCTGGGCACACCCTAATCCCCACGGCCCGCACAATGTGCCTCCTTCCGTGGGCCGGTGAGGGAGGCAGGAGAGGACCCAGGGAGCTCTTGCCAGCAGCTCCACCAGATTCCTCTCGCGAGGAGTCACGCGAGCATTCAAACCGCCCATAGGAATGCATTACTCAATGCTTTCCTATGGACGTCAGCGTCTTCTCACTGTGATTTTCACAATGAGAATCGCGGAAGCGCCTCTAGCGGCTGTTAGTGAGACAGCCACTAAACGCTGGATTAACCCTCCGTGTAAACATAGCAGTTTCTCTGAGAAACATGGGGGACCTGGCACGCAGACCACTTAATTGAGCTGAAGTGGTCTGGGTGCCTATAGTGGTCCTTTAAGTTTGAGGACCCTTATTTTCAGTCCTATGGTTGCAAGCTCACATTTTTCTGTGTTGGTTGCAGATTGAAAGTCCTACTTTTCTCTGTTAGTTAAATATGAAATGCCATACAGAACTGATATCACTTTGTCCATATCCCAAACCTTGGATTGATCACATATGAGTCAAGTTGCCAAAGTATTCTGCCAATTATAAATGTCAAATTTTGTATTGTTAGAAACAACTAAAATAGCATATTACACCCTGCAAACTTTAGCTTACAAGTATGCCTTCTTGGTACTTCCGTTCTGATTAAAAATAAAATAATTTTTTTTCTTATTTTCAGGACCTCTTCATCTCAAATTCTCAGAAATATGCTCAGGAAACTGTACTCTCTCTTCGTGTTCGTGAATGGGAGGATAAAATGGGGCCACAGCTGCAGGAACAGGTAGGAAATAATATATTGTTTATGATCCAATAAATTTATGTTTGCATTTTATTAAAGGAACACTATAGTCACCTAAATTACTTTAGCTAAATGAAGCAGTTTTAGTGTATAGATCATTCCCCTGCAATTTCACTGCTCAATTCACTTTCATTTAGTTGTTAAATCACGTTGTTTCTGTTTATGCAGCCCTAGCCACACCTCCCCTGGCTATGATTAACAGAGCCTGCATGAAAAAAACAAAAAACTGGTTTCACTTTCAAACAGATGTAATTTACCTTAAATAATTGTATCTCAATCTCTAAATTGAACTTTCATCACATACAGGAGGCTCTTGCAGGGTCTAGCAAGCTATTAACATAGCAGGGGATAAGGAAATATTAATTAAACAGAACTTGCAATAAAGAAAGCCTAAATAGGGCTCTCTTTACAGGAAGTGTTTATGGAAGACTGTGCAAGTCACATGCAGGAAGGTGTTACTAGGGTTCATAAACAAAGGGATTTAACTCCTAAATGGCATAGGTTTGAGCAGTGAGGCTGCAGGGGCATGTTCTATACACCAAAACTGCTTCATTAAGCTAAAGTTGTTCAGGTGACTATAGTGTCCCTTTAATGTCCAAGTCCCAATAAACAAACAGCCTGTTTCACAGATTTTTTTTCAAAGTGGTTCTATGGGCACCATTACAACTTAATTGAACTTAAGTTGTTATGGTGCCCATAGGTTCATGTTGCTTTCTTATCTTAAGGCAGTGCTTTCCAAACTTTCGAAGTTGGTGACACACTTTTTAGACATCATTTCGCAACACGGTAAATACGTTTTCCTAATAAACTGAAGGTTAAACTACTACTATCCCCTTTTAAGAAATTCAGACACATACATAAATGTTAATAATCAAAGGATTGTGCTCATATTGATGCACGTACGCCCTTGTGTAAATGCAGATGTGTATTTTTGCAGTGTCACATGCACACACATACTGTAAAACAAAATAGCCACATGCACACAGTCCCAGGCATACAGTCACACACACAGTTACAGACACTGTGCAGCACAAAGGGGGATGGAAGTAAGACCTCACCTCATAATGATACAGGATGTGTCCACCTTCCTGGGATTAGTAGGAGTTGCAGACTTTATCCCACTGTGCAGCAGTAACAGGGCAGCGTAGAGGCCGCGTTTAGCTCTGCCCGTGTCCTCAAGTTAACTCTGTCCCTACCTCACTTCCTTACAGACAGCTGGCCTTTTAAGCTCTGCACCTGGGTGCAAGCTGTGTCGGCCATCGACGCCACAACACCCTGTGTAGCCACACAGCTTGCACAATCCTATGGCCGGCCATGATACTAGTAGGCAACACACCTGCACACTCCAACCGGCACACTTAGCGTCGTGACACACACTTTGGAAAACACTGCCTTTTGGGGTTACACTGTTTGCTAGCGTTTTAACCCCAAAAGTTGCTCTCCAGCGGCATTTAGTTTCTCCAGAGCAGTTTAAGGAAGCACGATGTGCCACCGGGCAGGGGCGCTACTGATTGGCTAATAGCTCCCCATTCATGAAACCTTTGTTTTAGTGAATGGAAAGCTGATTGGCTTTGAGACTTCAGATGACCTCTCTAAGCCAATCAGTGGCGGCACTCCATGCTTCCGCAAACTGCTTTGGAGAAACTAGATGCTATTGGAGGCCGGGAGATCCACCTTTGGGGTTAAACCGTTCGCGGTAAGAAGGCACCAGGGACCTTGGAGCACCATAACTTAATTTCAGTGAAATTGTTACGGAACCCATACAGTTTCTTTAAACATCTGATAACTCTATCCACAAACTGAATCGCACTGTTCACAAGATGATAGCAGCCAAACTGTGACTGCTATCAGCAATGGCAGCAGTTCCCCATCATCTGATCTCTTTCTACAGGAAGATCAGGGGCCTTTTGACATTCATGATTATGGTGATCGTCTGGTGTCGCAGTTCAGTCAAGTGGGAGAGTGGCGCACCTTTGCCAGCCTGATGGCAGATAAACAACCCTATGAGGTGTGCAGATATATGCTGGCATCTCTACAGCTGGTAAGTTTTGTGTGAACATTTCTCTTTCCTATTTTCCTTTGAAATCTCTGACAAACACATTCCCTGTAGATATATTTAGGGTACTCCAAGAATTAAAAAAAATAGGTACCACTAGGTAACCAAATAACTGTGCCTGAGAGGCTCCAATTGGGGGTAACCCACAACAATTCAATTAGATTACAAAATAGACATATGAGTCCAAAAATGGAAATCCCTCCAATAGGTAAAATAAGTGCCGTGCTAATCTTCTCTGTATCGTTACAACTTTTAGTGTGATTCAAATATATATGTGTATGTAGAGACTGTAGCCCTATTAGTCCAATGATGTAGATGTAAAAACCAGATAAAATTTGTATCTTGTAAAACCTTTTTTATTGGATTAATAGAATATTTTTTAATGACAAGCTTGTGGGAGAACCTCCCTTTCTCAAGTCTGAAGCTTTTGAGCAAGACGACACATAGAATTCAAAGTTGAGTTGTGATACAGGGATTAAAGCGACATGAGTGCAGATAAGACACAGGTTTGATAGAAAATAGACATCATTTTTGCAGAGGGTCATAAATATCTTCCTGAAGATCAGCATGAGGTGGGAGAGGGAGGAAAAAATAAAATCTTCAGAAAGATATTTATGATCCTCTGCAATAATGTTGTCTATTTTCTATCAAACCTGTTTCTTATATGCACTCCTGTTGCAGCACATATAATAAAAATTGTAACAATACAGAGAAGATTAGTATGGCCCCTGTGCAAGGATGACGTGCAAATTCGGGAACCGTTCCATATTTTTCTTACACATTGTACACAAGTGGGTTATTGTTGTATATATTTTCACTCAACCATTTCCACCTGGTATACCACCAGAAGAGCAATCTCTAGTGGTTGTGGTTTTTTTTTGTTTTTTGTTTTTCAAATAAGTTTAAAATCAATTTTTGTGAGACCTTTTGTCTGCCTCTTTGTGGCATTAGTGGTCATCCTTGTCCAAGACCCTGGTGAATTGCTTCTTCTGTGAAATGCTTGGTTTACTTGTATCTTCTCAAATTTAAACTCTTAGTGCTTAATCATCCACCACAGCCTCATGGCTTTTTAATGTGCATATGTATTGTCTCTTATTCTAATTTTTCTAATTGTTACATATTCTCATAAAGTTGTTCTACCATTATTTTACCTATAAAAGGGAACTCCTTTTTCTTCCCATTTTTCTATTTTGAAATCTACCCCAAGAATCAAAATGCTTAAAGGGTTGCTCCATCCCTTTATCTTTTTTTTTTTCCTTTTTAGTGCCTTAATTGCACTAGTTAATAAAATAAGGGGGAGGGCTAGTAATTTTACTAAACCCTAATAAGTAAAGATAAAACGTACCTGGAATTGAGCACCCAGTGAGCTTCTTTCACACCCCATTTCTCATCATGCTGCTTCACTCACTTCCTCTTCATGGCCCAATCAAATGCTTTTCACTAGTTCAGTGCATGCTGAGCCAAAGAGGGGAGGGAGTGTGTGGTGGGGTGAGGGGGGTTAGAGAAAGGGTGGGAGGGAATTAAAAAACCCAACTAATATGAAAATATATATAAGGAGGTTAAAGGGACACTATAGTCACCTGAACAACTTCAGCTTAATGAGGTTGTTCATGTGAGAACTATAGCTCCCTGCAGCCTTTCTCATGTAAACACTGTATTTTCTAAGAAAATACAGTGTTTACATTGAAAGTTAGGAACCCCTCCAGTTGCAGTCACTCAGAGTGAACCAGAGGGACTTCAGAGTTGTAATTCATATTATGCCTCCATCCACTTAGATCTGCTGTCAGCAGAGCACAGGGCAGCACAGTGCACAACATCCTGTGATTCCGTATCGCCTCCCTCTGCATGCTTACACTGAACTTTCCTCATAGAGATTCATTGATTCAATTCATCTCTATGAGGAGATGCTGATTGGCCAGGGATGTGAATCATGCTGGCTCTGCCCTTGATCTGCCTCTATGTCAGTCTCAGCCAATCCTATGGGCAGAGAGAACTTGCTGGCATTTCGGATCTGGACTGCTCGTATGGGTGGGACCAGTCGGATATGCTTCAGATATGTTCTCTCTGTAATGGCACAAGTTGAGCTAAAACCAGCTTGAGTTCTGAGCGGGGACCCACCGAAGGGCAGGCTATTTTAGCTGCTGTCCGTCCTCAGAATACTCTTGCGACCCATTTTTTGCAATCCTATGGGGAAGCACTGTGATTGGATCAGGCTACCACATGTCAGCAGACTGCTTGTTTTTCTGAGTCTAACAGCATGCAGATTTACAGCTTCAGGCTTGAATACAGTAAGATTTTTACTATATTTATGGATGCATGAGGGGCCCAGGGGGGCTAGATGGTGGTGTTAAAACTATAGGGTCAGGAATACGTTTGTGTTCCTGACCCTATAGTGATCCTTTAACTTATATCACACAAGCAGTGAGGGAGGACAGATAGAGGATTACCCTTTCAGGAACTGCCTGCAGGGGTAGAAGCTCACTACCTCTGTTTCCAGCATTGAAGAGACAATTGTTTTTTGTTTTTGTTTTTGCATAGAATTTTAGGCTACCCAAGTCACATTTCAAGCTAAAACACTACACATCCCATTTCCTTCATCACTGACCACTTCTAAAAGCAGAAGTGGACATTGGGTAATTATTTAAATTTTATAAATTTATACATTTAATTAGGTTTGTTGATGACACCCATTGCTCTGTATATGAAAATATGCAAGAACCTATACTGCATGTTAATGGGGGCACAAAACCATTTTGTTTTAAAATTGTCACTTTTTTCGGTCTTTTATTATTTGCAAAGACCCCAGATGATGAGGTTGACACTTGCAGAGAAGTGATTGTAGGGAAAGGTGGGTTTCACTTACATAAATCTGTCCCTTGTAGTCACCAACATCCTGCTATTCCTCTTCAGCTTATGGAGCTTCATCTGCCAGGAGCCAACATCAGTGCGGTACTTTCACACATGCACAAGAGTAGATGTCTAAGCCTTTGACAACAGTAGCTCCAATTTTTTTTTAAAGAGATATTTCAGGCACCCAGACCACTTCTGCCCATTGGAGTGCCAACGCCCACTACCCTCAACCCTGCAAGTGTAATTATTGCAGTTTTCATAAACTGCAATATTTACATTGCAGGGTTAAGTCTTCCTCTATTGGCTGTCTACTAGACAGCCACTAGAGGAGACTTCCATGTTCATAGAACATGAAAAGTGGTTTAAAACGACGCTGGACGTCCTCACGCTATGTGAGGACCTCCAGCGTCCCCGAAATCCCCATAGGAAAGCATTAATGCTTTCCTATGGGGAGGTCTAAGGTGTGTTCGCCGCCATTGCCGCGCATGCACATTAGGTCTCCCCCGCCGGCTGACATCGGCAGGGGGAGGAGCGTAGGCCCAGGGGGGTGGGAGGGAGAGGGGCACTAGAGGGTCCTGCAGTGCCTGGAAATTGAATATGGTTTACTGGCACTGGAGAATCCTTTTAAGCGTAGAAAAATAGATAAGACTGGGATGGATTGGAATTTCATTAAAATTCCAACACAGTTTTCATGAGCATTTCATACAGATTTTGCTAATTTTGATGTGGGTTGATAGAGCCGCTCTAATGAAGTGGTTTTGGTCAGTCACCCTGTCCCTTTTGTCTTCTTCCTCATTGAAGATATAGTGTTATCACACACGATGCTGTTAAATGCATTCTTTCTCATATAAAAGCAGTGGCTTGGTAGCAAACTGTGATTTCTGAATATTTACTTTGCTTTAAACTGAATCTTAAAAAAAACACAGCGCAGATGTTAAAATATTTTTAAACGGAGTGTTCTTTAACTGTTCAGTACCTTTTTTTTTTTTTTTTTTACACACTTATAACTAGGCCAATGACTACACAGTAGAAGTTTCTCAGAAGCCAGGTCTGCAGGAAGGCTTGGATACAATGGCCCTGCGACTCCTGAGCCAGCAAAGAGCCCATGAAAGATTCAAGACTTACACTGCACCATCCATATCCCAGCAATGACCTCCGTCATATTTATGGACTGCTTTCTTACCCTGGCGTTGCATCTTTATCAGTGACAAGCAATTTTTTTTGATTCAGCAGCTGGTGACAACATTGTAGCTCCAAAATGCTGGTTCCTGTGTCTTAGGCAGAACCATAGAATGGATACAGTCAGATGGAGAATTCATATGATTTAAGAAAATGCAACCTCTGTTCTCCCTGCAATGTTATAGTGACACTGCATCAACCCAATTTCCAATGGAATCTGTATTTCAATTACAGGTATTGCTGTTGCCATGTGCAGTCACAGATAGTGGAGTCTTACAGCAGAACTGTAAAAAAAAAAATTAAAAAAAAGGGTGCTGAAAGGTGTGCGCCTTTCTCCACTAGATTGACAGACAGTGGGTGATTTGGAGCATCCAATCAGAAACAATGGTTTTATTATATCTTTTATCATATCATAGCCTTTTCTGTATATATTTTATTAACCCATACTCTGTACAGCATTCTTGTTTTTATATATCTATAAATGTCTGTATTATAAGCCTGTATTTCGTTTTTGTGTGTTAATGATTTTAATTTATGGTCTGTATTATGAGTAAGATTAAATTTTATTGGGTCAATTTCATCCCATGGCTGATTAGACCTGTGTTCCATTACATTTACCGTGACACCAAAACTATGTGGATAAAGACCTTCTCCTCTTAGGACAGGTGAAACTTAATTGAATGATTAGTCTCCAGTCTTGTTCCCCAAATGTTTTTAATGCAGGTTGGTGTCAAAATTTCTCTTTCATTCAATTTACTAATACAAATCAGTTGGCCTGGATAGTTCATGGTAAGGGAAGCATGGACAGGATGGTCCTAAAAAATATTTACTGCAGCCATGGATGAAAGGCTGAAAACAACCGTTATTTACAAATCTCTGAAAACTACACCAATTGTTAGTGAACATTTTTCTTGTAAACATTCAGTCATCAATTTATTCAGTCCAGGGCACACAATGAAATTAAGGAAAAATAATATTTCTATTTCACCTCCCCTGGGTCTAAAAAGTTTATAACAATCAGACAAGATGGAGGCACAAAACCATGCTGATTTTTACATAAAGTTTTTATCTTTAAAGATGTCACCAACACATAATTGTTAAAGGGACACTATAGTCACCAAAACAACTTTAGCTTTATGCAACAGTTATGGTGTATAGATCATGGCCCTGCAGTCCCACTGCTCAATTATATACCATTTAGGATTTAAATACTTTGTTTATTCAGCCTTAGTCACACCTCCCTGCATGTGACTTACACAGCCTTTCTTAACACGTCTTTTTAAAAGGCATCTAATGCTTACACTTCCTTTATTGCAAATTCTGTTTAATTCAGAATTTATCTTCTGCTCTGCTAATAGCTTGCTAGACCGTGCAGGTGCCTCCTGTATATAATTAAAGTTCAATTTACGGAACTTTTCAAAGTAAGTTACATAATTTTGAAAATGAAACCATTTTGTTTTTCTGCAGTCTGTCAGTTACAGCCAAGGGAGGTGTGGTTAGGGCTGCATTGACAGAAACAATAGTGATTTAACTTCTATATGGCAGAGAATCGAGCAGTGAAACTTCAAGGTCATGATCTATGCACAAAAACAGCTTCATCAAGCTAAAGCTATTTTGGTAACTATAGTGTTCCTTTAAATATGATTTAAGATATACTGGGACTGATGGTTCTTTTGAGCACAGGCAATTGTTCATGTAAAATGACAAAATGTCCTGGGGTATTTATGAAGTAATCCTGAATAGCTGTCACGCAAACAGATCAAAGTATAAGCAGGATTTAATGGGATACTAGATGTAGCGGAGCTCCAAAACTCTGGCTGAGTATTTCCACTATATAACCTCGTAGCTGGAAGAAGCGCTGTTTAGTGATATAGCTCTTCCCCCTCCCCAGTAACTAGAAGACATAGTTCTGGGAGTACAACAGTTTTTTATTGAAAAGGTACAGTCTTGTATACCTGGACTCCAAGCATGGGGTCCCTATTCATCCCAGAGTGAGCCTGCCCTGGTGCATCTGTGTCTGAGAGATAACTGAGTTAGCCCTCGCTTAAACCAATTATCTCCCGGATAGAGATGACCATTACAAAATGCCCCGAAAAACACATGAAAACAATCAGGAACCCAAACATCATATATCTCTGGATCTGAGTGCCGAAGTTGGCAAAATAGCACCTGAAGAATAGACTAATTGCCACCAGGTTAAAGATTTGACCAGCCATTAGCCCCATAAGGACGGCGGCAGTGCTATGCCGTCCTTGGGGACCCGGCTCTAAACGCCAGGGGGCGGCATGGTATGTCCCCGCTGTCCTTTTCACTTACCCGGTCGCTGGCAATCCCACGTCGGCGATTGTGGTGGTGGTACTCACCTGGCATCCCAGGGAGTCCCCCTGCTCCTGTTCCGGCCCTCATGGGCCATGTGATCACAAGGTCCCTCCACAGCAATGCCAGCAGGGGGAGTGCCTGTAATGACAGGTACTCCACCTGCTGCCTGTAAAAAAAAAAAAAGTTTAAAATTAAATTATATACAGTTGCAAGAAAAAGTATGTGAACCTTTTGGAATGATATGGATTTCTGCACAAATTGGTCATAAAATGTTATCTGATCATAATCTAAGTCACAACAATAGACAATCACAGTCTGCTTAAACTAATAACACACAAAGAATGAAATGTTGCCATGTTTTTATTGAACACACCATGTAAACATTCACAGTGCAGGTGGAAAAAGTATGTGAACCCCTAGACTAATGACATCTCCAAGAGCTAATTGGAGTGAGATGTCAGCCAACTGGAGTCCAATCAATGAGATGAGATTGGAGGTGTTGGTTACAGCTGCCCTATAAAAAACACACACCAGTTCTGGGTTTGCTTTTCACAAGAAGCATTACCTGATGTGAATGATGCCTCGCACAAAAGAGCTCTCAGAAGACCTACGATTAAGAATTGTTGACTTGCATAAAGCTGGAAAGGGTTATAGAAGTATCTCCAAAAGCCTTGCTGTTCATCAGTCCACTGTAAGACAAATTGTCTATGAATGGAGAAAGTTCAGCACTGCTGCTACTCTCCCTAGGAGTAGCCGTCCTGTAAAGATGACTGCAAGAGCACAGCGCAGACTGCTCAATGAGGTGAAGAAGAATCCTAGAGTGTCAGCTAAAGACTTACAAAAGTCACTGGCAAATGCTAACATCCCTGTTAGCGAATCTACAATACGTAAAACACTAAACAAGAATGGATTTCATGGGAGGATACCACAGAGGAAGCCACTGCTGTCCAAACAAAACATTGCTGCACGCTTACAGTTTGCACAAGAGCACCTGGATGTTCCACAGCAGTACTGGCAAAATATTCTGTGGACAGATGAAACCAAAGTTGAGTTGTTTGGAAGAAACACACAACACTGTGTGTGGTGAAAAAAAGGCACAGCACACCAACATCAAAACCTCATCCCAACTGTGAAGTATGGTGGTGGAGGCATCATGGTTTGGGGCTGCTTTGCTGCGTCAGGGACTGGACGGATTGCTATCATCGAAGGAAAATGAATTCCCAAGTTTATCAAGAAATTTTGCAGGAGAACATAAGGCCATCTGTCTACCAGCTGAAGCTCAACAGAAGATGGGTGTTGCAACAGGACAATGACCCAAAGCATAGAAGTAAATCAACAACAGAATGGCTTAAGCAGAAGAAAATATGCCTTCTGAAGTGGCCCAGTCAGAGTCCTGACCTCAACCCGATTGAGATGCTGTGGCATGTCCTCAAGAAAGTGATTCACACCAGACATCCCAAGAATATTGCTTAACTGAAAGTTCTGTAAAAAGGAATGGTCAAGAATTACTCCTGACCGTTGTGCACGTCTGATCTGCAACTACAGGAAACGTTTGGTTGAAGTTATTGCTGCCAAAGGAGGTTCAACCAGTTATTAAATACAAGGGTTCACTTTTTCCACCTGCACTGTGAATGTTTACATGGTGTGTTCAATAAAAACATGGCAACATTTCATTCTTTGTGTGTTATTAGCTTAAGCAGACTGTGATTGTCTATTGTTGTGACTTAGATGATGATCAGATCACATTTTATGACCAATTTGTGCAGAAATCCATATCATTCCAAAGGGTTCACATACTTTTTCCTGCAACTGTATATGCTTAGATTATATATATATATATATATATATATATATATATATATATATATATATATATACACACACACACATACACACACACACAAACAGCATTTTAATATGAATATACATATAATCAAAATACACATAGAATGATATAGAATAAATATAATCATATATATATATATATATATAATATAAAATAAATGTAAATACGTTAAATAAATGTAATTTCGTTCTAACTATTTTAAAATTAATATTTATTTATTGATATCAAAATACACCTAGAACGAAATATATCTACATACATAACTATATACCACTATATATACACAGGGCCGGACAGGGGAAAAAAATACAGCCCGGGCATTTTTCAATCACAGCAGCCCCTGAGAAGGGGGCAGGGCTAGAGAGGGTGTTAAACTGAGCATGTTAGTTCAATGTGCAGAGCCCTGCTGAAGAGCTCTAGCATGAGAAAAGGGCCCTGTATTTGTTCTGCGCAGCGCAAGCAAATTTAATAACATGCTTGCGCTGTGTTTGCTTTTAACTTGTCACTGGTGTCTCAGTAAGTGGGATACCAGAGGACAAAAGGGCCAGGAAAGCGTATCATGCTAGGGGCTGTAGAGAGTGTGTGTATAGAGGGCATAGTGTGTATTGGGGATGTAGCGAGTGTGTGCATACCGGCTGTAGTGTGTGTGTTCAGAGAATGTAGCATGTGTTTGTATGTCAGGAATGTAGTGTGTGTGTTTGTAGGGGATCCAGAGTTTGTATGTCAGGAATGTAGTGTGTAAAGGAGAGGGAGAGAGAGTGAGTGAGTGTGTGTAGAGGATTTAGAGTGTATATCTGTGTGTGTGTGTGTGTGTAGATTAGATGATCCAGAGTTGGGTAAGGGATCTAGCGTGTACCTGGAGTGTAATGTGTGTAGTGGTGCAGTGTGAGGGGTGCTATAGTATACACACACACATATATATATATTTATATATATCTCCAAATATGTATGTATATGTGAGGGTCACAGTATGTTGGACCACATGCTGCACACAGCACACCCAACACGCTGCACCTCTCAAACACATGCTGTGTGCAGCATGTTTGTGTGAGGGTCACAGCGTGTTGGGTGTGCGATGTGCAGCAAGTGTGTGTGTGTGAGGGTGTTCTTACCATCACATTCTATGTGTCTAATTATCTTTGTTAATTCACTGAGGGTTATTTTATATGATATATATGTGTGTGTGTCTCTGAGGGTGCTGTATGTGTGCGAGGGGGCTGTGTGGGTGAGGGTGCTGTGTGTTTGTCTAAATGTGCTGTGTTTCTGAGCGTGCTGTGTGGGTAAGTGTGCTGTGTTTGAGGGTGCTTTGTGTGAGGGTACAGTGTGTGTGTGTGTGTCTGAGGGTGCTGTTAGCGTGCTGTGTGTGTCTGAGGGTTGCTGTGTGGGTGAGTGTGCTGTGTGTGCGAATATGTTTGGAGGGATTGTGTGTGGGGGGGGCAAGGTGTAAATTTGATTTTTTTAAATTATTATTCTAATTAAAAATAATGTGGGACAAAATCAGATTTAAGAAATAGGGGATAAATAAATATTAAAAATAATAAACTTCATATCCCCCCTCCCTTCTTAGCTTGGGAGGGGGGAGGGAGCCCAGCGTCCATGGAGGAGTCCCTGGTGGTCCTAGTGGTGGGTGAACTCTACCTTGCAGTTCCTGGGGTAGAGTTCACTCTCGCAAGATCTGAGCATTGCCACGGCAACGCTCAGACCTCGCGAGAGGACCCGGCGGAGCTCTCCTCCCTCACTCCCCAGCCTCCCCAGTGTTAGAGTGCCGCTGAGGGAGATCTTTGTATACATATATACACACACACACACACACACAAAAATATACATATATACACACACACACATACCTGGTGCTCTGGTTGCTGAAACATAAACAAGGGAAAGTACCGGCACTCTAAGGGTTTTCGGATTCAAGAAATCTTCTTTTATTGAGAGAAAATCATTGAAAATACGTTTGGCACTCTTCCTTATGTATAAAAATTGTGGGTACATACCAGGGTGCAAAATCCAGTGAGAACATATATATTCCGAATAATTAGGTGCACTCCTGGATTTGAAAAGTGTTCAGTTTACTGTGTCCATAAATTCAGAGTTCAACAGATCAACGTTTCGACCTATTCAGGTCTTTATCAAGATCAGAACAAAGTGTACAACAGCATATTTATAAAAAATAACATATTTGCTTACGAGGTGCAGTGCATACGTCTTTGACAAACGATCGAGACCCGGAAGTGTGCAAAAGCTGCGGGTGACGTCATTACGTTACGTCCCGCGGTGATTATAGCGGTTATTATTATATTTATAGAGCGCTGTCAAATTCCGCAGCGCTTTACAATGGGTGGACGAACAGACATGTAGTTGTAACCAGACAAGTTGGACACACAGGAACAGAGGGGTTGAGGGTCCTGCTCAATGAGCTTACATGCTAGAGGGAGTGGGGTAAAATGACACAAAAAGGTAAGGGTAGTATTAGACTAATGACAGTTGCAGAAGAGGAATCAGTCAGGAGCTATTAACAGTTTAATTGATACGCTTTTATGAAGAAGTGGGTTTTTAACGATTTTTTTAAGGAGTGGAGACTGGGTGAGCATCTAACGGAGGAGGGAAGCGAGTTCCACAGAAATCTTGAAGGCGAGCATCAGCGGTGGGAGTACGGACAGAAGATAGACGTAAGTCTTCAGCAGATCGTAAGGGCCTAGACGGGACATACTTGTGTATAAGGGAGGATAGATAAGTGGGAGCAGCATTATGCAGAGATTTGAAAGCAAGAACCAGAATTTTAAATTGAGCTCTATATTTTATAGGAAGCCAATGTACGGACTGACAGAAGGGTGAGGCATGGGAGATGCGGGCGGACAGGAAGATGAGCGTCGCCGCCGCATTCACTATGGACTGTAACGGCGCTAGTTGTAAGACCACTGAGAAGCGGATTTCAGTAGTCAAGGCGAGAAAGGACAGTGGAATGGACCAACACCTTAGTCGCATCTGGCATTAAGTAGGGGCGGATGCGCGCAATGTTTTTGAGATGGAAATGACAGGATTTGGCGATAGATTGAACATGAGGCTTGAAGGAGAGGACGGAGTCAAAGAGAACACCTAGGCAGCGAGCCTGCGTGGTGGAGCTGATGGTAGCACCGTTGACTTGGAGGGAGACAGACACAGGAGTAACAACACTTGAGCGAGGAAAGACCAGAATTTCAGTTTTGGTCAAATTTAGTTTAAGGAAGTGGGCAGCCATCCAGTTAGAAACAGCAGAGAGGCAGTCAGAGACACTAGTCAAGAGGGACAGATCAGGAAAGGACAAGTAGATTTGCATGTCATCTGCATAGAAATGATATTGGAAGCCAAAGGAGCTAATAGGTTTACCAAGGGAGGCAGTATAGATGGAGAACAGTAGGGGACCAAGGACTGAACCTTGGGGGACACCAACAGAGAGGAGTTGGGGAGAAGAAGCAGAGCCAGAGAAAAAAACACTGAAAGAGCGCTGGGAGAGGTAGGAGGAGCACCAGGAGAGAGCAGTATCTTGTAGACCGATATTGCGGAGGATGAGAAGAAGTTGTTGATGATCAACAGTGTCAAAAGCCGCAGACAGGTCAAGGAGAAATAGGATAGAGTAGTGACCACGAGATTTTGCAGCGAGTAGATCATTGGATACTTTGGTCAGTGCCGTTTCCACAGAGTCCTTAGCGCGGAAACCAGACTGAAGCGGGTCTAGCAGAGAGTTGGACTCGAGGAAGTCTGCCAATCTTGCATACACCATTTTTTCAAGGATCTTGGATGCAAAAGGCAGTAGCGAGATAGGACGATAGTTGGATGGGGAGTTAGGGTCAAGATTGGGCTTCTTTAGAATTGGGGTTACAGTTGCATGTTTGTAGGGCAATGGAATATACCAGAGGAGAGAGAGAGATATTGAGAATTTCAGTGAGAGGCGGAGAAAGAGAAGAAGACAGTACGGATGAGGTGCGAGGGAATTGGATCTAGGGAGCAGGTGGTGGGGCGGGAGGACTGGAGCAGAGCAGAAACCTCTTCCAATGTAGCGGGTACGAATGAACATAGAACAGCAGAGGGAGTGAAGTTAGGGGAAGTATTGTAAGGGGAAGAAGAAAGATGAGATATCTCTGATTGTAGAGATCTTGTCAGTGAAGTTAGTTGCAAAGTCTGAGGCGGTCAAGTTAGTAGGTGGAGGAGGAACAGCAGGGCGAAGAAGAGAGTTAAATGTGTGAAATAGTCGTTTCCTAAGTGAGTGAATAAGAGATAGCCGTAGACTACCTTTCTAGTACCTGAAGATATTAAGAACTACAGAGGAGACCAAAAACAGTGTATGAAAATAGTGAAATGTGAACAAAAATGAAATAAAAAGGATGTGTGAATGTTAAAACAGTGAAGTGACTAAAAACAATGTTGTGTCTTTCTACTGTAGATTAGAATGTACTATATCTGTATCGGACAATGTTCTGTGGAATAGATGAATTCCCAAAAGAAATAACAAATGTTTCTATTCTTTAAAAAAAGGGGGGATACCCTAAGGTACTCAAACCTGTATATGTTTATATTTAGGGTATCACAGAATCTAATGTCCACATACAGAGAGCCAAGTGTGTGTAAGGTGGAGAGGACAATCAAGCCAGTATGTACAACATTGTTAATATTGCAGTATATTAAAAAAATATAATTTTATAAACATTTGGTATTTCTTTTGGAAATTCATCTATTCCACAGAACATTGTCCGATACAGATATAGTACATTCTAATCTACAGTAGAGTTTTTATTCACTTCACCGTTTTCACATTCACACATCCTTTTTCTTTCGTTTTTTTCACATTTCACTATTTTCATACACTCTTTTTGGTCTCCTCTGTAGTTCCTAATATCCTCCGGTGCTAGAAAGGTAGTCTGCGGCTATCTCTTCTTCACTCACTTAATATCACTTAGGTTGCCAAGCAACCGCTGTAATCACCGTGGGATGTAACATAATGACATCACCCGCGGCTTCAGCACACTTCCGGGTCTCTATCGTTTGTTGAGGTACTATGCACTGCACCTGGTAAGCAAATATATGTTATTTCTTATAAATATGCACTAATTGTTGTACACTTTGTTCTGATCTTGATAAAGACCTGAATAGGTCGAAACGTTAATCTGTTGAACTCTGAATTTATGGACACAGTAAACTGAACACTTTTCAAATCCAGGAGTGCGCCAAATTATTCGTTTTATATATTTACGTATATATTTATGTAATAATTTAATATAATTAGGTAAATTTATTACAATTTGCGGGACCTGTCTGACAACCCAGGCTGAAAGTCCAGGGAATTTAATTTGCTAGCACTATTTAGCCCCGTAACTTTCCAAGACACCATAAAACCTGTACATGGGGGTACTGTTTTACTCAGAAAACTTCGCTGAACACAAATATTAGTATTTAGAAACCGTAAAATTTATTGCAACGATGATATCGTCAGTGAAAGTGAAATTTTTTGCATTTTTCACACACAAATGGCACTTACATGGATGATATAATTGTTGTGATACGTTTTACTGTTTTGAAACACTAATTTGTGTTCAGCGAAGTCTCCCGAGTATAACAGTACCCCTCATGTACAGGTTTTAAGGAGTTAGAGTCAAATATAAGGCTTCCATTTCAGTTTTTTCACATTGAAATTCACCAGATTGATTACGTTGCCTTTGAAACCGTATGGTAGCCCAGGAATGAAAATTACCCCCATGATGGCATACCATTTGCAATAGTAGACAACCCTAGGTATTGCAAATGGGGTATGCCCAGTCTTTTTTAGTAGGCACTTAGTGACTAACACTGGCAAGAATTGGCATTCAAATTAGTTTTTTGCATTTTTCACATACAAATATTAACACTAACTTTGGCCAGTGTTTGTGACCAAGTGGCTACTAAAAAAGACTGGGACGTTCACAACCTTCCTAAACTGTAAAGAGATCTAATGTTTAAAATTACTTTACTGGACAGTCTGTTTAATTTAGAATTTATTATATCCTGCTTTGTTAAAGGACCACTATAGTGCCAGGAAAACATTTCTCTGAAACTGCTATGTTTATGAAAAAACGGGTAAACCCTAGCTGGACCTGGCACCCAGACCACTTCATTAAGCTGAAGTGGTCTGGGTGCCTAGAGTGGTCCTTTAATAGCGTTCTGTACCCTGCAGGACCCTCCTGTGTGTGATTAAAGTTCAATTTACAAAGCAGATAAGTTTCTAAAGTAGGTTAACTGTCTGATTGAAAATGAAACATGTCGATCACAGTCAGGGGAGGTGTGGATAGGGCTGCATAGACAGAAACAAGAGTGATTTGACCTAAATGGTAGAGAACTGAGTAGTAAGACTCCAAATTTATTTATTTATAAAATATTTTACCAGGAAGGATACATTGAGATTTCTCTTGTTTTCAAGTATGCCCTGGGCCCACAAACATTGCATTTTTACAATAGGATACAATATTACAAAAATTTAACACATAACAAGTGATAAATATATTCAACCATGATAGGTGCATTCTGTGCTGAGGTATATCATCATATATTTCTTAAACTATTTTAGATTGAATGAAGATTTGACTGTGTCCCGGAGGTTATTCCATATTTCCCTATTGTAGGAAAATGAGGATCGAGCCATTTTATTTTTGAATTTCGGTATGCTAAATATCGTGCTAGTACTGGAGTGAAGGTGGAAACAGCTGGGGAGAGCATTCTACTCAGGTAGGGTGGGAGCTTTCCAGAAAAGCTCTTATACACAAGGCTGGAAAGATGAAGAGTGCGTTGGGATTCCATCGATAGCCAGTTTAGCTCTTTTAACATGTCACAATGGTGGGTAAAGTAATTACATTCTAGTACAAAGCGGAAGAATGAATTATATACGTTATTAAGGTGGGTTTGCGATGTAGGTGCATACACGACATCCCCATAATAAGTGACCGGCTTTTTCATTTGTTACATTGTTTCCTTACTGTAGGACTTAGGCAGGATTTGTTTCTGTACATGGCACCTAGTTTTGGGTAAAGTTTATAAGAGTTTTTTTTTTTTTTTTCAATGTGATAACGGAGAATCCTTTTTATTATTAAAGTAATGCTGTAGGCACCCGGACCACTTCGGCTCATTGAAGTGGTCTGGGTACAATGTCCCATGTCCCTTAACCCTAAAGTGGTAATTATTGCAGTTTCTCAGAAACTGCAATAATTACCTCTGAGGGTTAACTCCTCCACTAGTCGCTGTCTACCAGACAGCCACTAGAGGGACTTCCGGAGTTGAAACGGACCTTTGGAGGTCCTCATGCGTCAGATTTTCCCCATAGGAAAGCATTGCTGCGCATGCACATTAGGTCTCCCCCGTCAGCAGGGGAGGAGTGTGGGTGGATTCTACTAAGCGAGGAGGTAAATCAGCTGGATTCAGGTAAGTGAAGGGTTTTTAACTCCTTCAGTACCATAGGAGGGAGGGGGGCACTGCAGGAGCCTATAGTCATCCAGGAGCCAAATCTCTCCCAAATCGTTTGACAAAAAAAAAAAAAGTTAGGGGGAATGAAATGTAAAAGATTTGTGAAGTGGCCATACATTGCTATCATTCTTACAGCAAAATTTATGCTGAAGTGCTTTATGTGTGTGTTAAGTGTATCTTATTCCCCTTTTCATTTTACATAGAAATTGGCACTTTTATATATTAAATACACCCCTGGTTGTCAGACAACCACTACTGTTACTTCCTATCTTAAGGCAGGCAATTGCCCAGAGCACCTGCCGCCTTGCAAAGACTTCTCATTAAGCTGGATTGGGAAGTCTGATTGGACAGCTATAGAAAGTATTGGTGGGGTTAGAAAGGAAGGGCTTGAAAAGGCAGTAGACAAGAGATCTGCAGCTTTTGCAAGTTGTTCTAAGATATATCCCCAATGAAAAATGCATAATTAGATTCATGCTTATTTTCATTAGGGGTAGGGATGGGCCGATATTGATTTTTTTTAGAGCCGATGCCGATAATCTGTGATCTTTCAGGCCGATAACTTACCGATACTCTGTACATTTACCATTTAAAAAAATATATAGATTTCTTTACACAAATCTACTGTTAACTGAACATGTTTTTCATTTATTTGCAAAAAATATTTATTAAGGTAAATGTACAGAATATATTTCTGTGTGTGTAGTGGATGCAGTGAGAGTATTTGATTAGTGAATGCAGTGTGTGTATGTGTGTTTGTGTACTGGATGCGTAGTGTGTGTATATAATGAATGCAGAGTGTGTTTGTGTAGTGTGTATAGTGAATGCAGTGTGTGTATATAATGAATGCAGAGTGTGTTTGTGTAGTGTGTATAGTGAATGCAGTGTGTGTATATAATGAATGCAGAGTGTGTTTGTGTAGTGTGTATAGTGAATGCAGAGAATGTGTGCTTGTGCAGTGAGTGTTTGTGCAGGTATGTTAAGTGTGTAAAACTTTTCTTTAAAAAAAAAAAAAGTTACATTGTTTCAATCCCCCTCCCTGCTTCTTACCTGACCGGGGAGAGGGGGGAAATATGGCATTCCCTGGTGGTCCGGTGCCATGGACAGTGCAGAGGAGGCCCAGCACACTCTTACTATCCTTCCCTTCAGCTCCCCTGTCTAACTCTTGCGGCCTGTGTGCCGCGCAGAGCATTGCCATGGTAACCCGTGGCAACATTGACGGCCACGAGATTTAGACAGGGGAGCTGAAGGGAGCTGCTGGGAAGGTAAGTAAAAGTGTGCTGGGCCCCCCAGGGCTCTGATGGCGGTCCTGGTCTGCATTATCAGCAATATCGGCATCTTTATTGGCCGATACCGATATTGCTGAAAATACATAATATTGGCCAGACCGATAATCGATTGATCCCAAATTACAGGTATATCTACTACACAGTTTTTTTATATTTAGGCAGTGGAGTGTCCCTTCGCACAAGGGTGGGGAACCTTTGACCCTCCAGATGTTTTGGACTAAATCTCCCATAATGCTGGCAAAGCATCAAGGGAGATGTAGTCCAAAACATCTGGAGGGCCAAAGGTTCCCCACCTCTGCTTTAACACTACCCTCATCACACTATATCTAATCCTCAAATAAACCCCTTCTCATTCCCTTTACTCCACTAATTACCTTTTCTTGTCCTCTCTTCGATCCACCTCTTCTATTTATTGTCTAGAAGACTTTACCTCATCTATGGGGTGCTCTACCCTGTTCTTTCTCCTGACCTCCAGTTCTTTAAAAACTATCACTAAAATTGCATCTCTTTAGGAAAGCTTACCATCTTAGTTAACTTCTACACTTTTTTAAACCCACTCAACATTGCCTCTGCTCACTCCTCTGACTCTAGTAACTAAACACATATCGCATCCATCCAGTTTAATACCTAACAAAGAAGGTAATGCTGGCTCCAGGTCAAAATGTTATAAAACCCAGAACGACAAAATTACATTAAAGATAAATATGAGCAGATAAACAACTGTATAACAGCTCTAGTAAAATTTATTCTGATTCCAGTAACATTTTCAAAGTAGGCTGGGTAGTGAGGAAGTGCAGTTACACACACTGTACTTCCTTGTGTAAATGACAGTGAGTCAGGGGAGGTTTAATATCCTAACAAACAGATTCAGAAGGGTTAGGGAGACAAAGCCCCAGGGTTCCACTTTAAATTCTCCACAGCAACCTTGGATTTGTTTAGACCTGATTTAGATCCAGGTTATGCCAATGGTAACTTCTGCAAGTGGCAACCAAACCTAACCCCTTATCCCACATGTAATTTGACAAGCATAGCTTCCTTGTTTAACTGTAGCACAATTGTACAGCTAACCGAACCTAGTGCTCACAGCCTATAATTGTACAAAAAGTTAGATGGCTTTGTAGAAGTTAATCTTCTACATGACCTACACAGCTGCATTGGGACTAGGGTTTGCATGATCACAAGAGTTTTTTGTCATATCACTGAAAAGTGAGTATACAGAGAAAGATGGGTCCGTAAACTAATACTCATTGCTCCATTATAGCTACAATGACTTGTAGCGATTAAGGTGAACACCCTTTAACAGATAATAGCTTTATGCAGTACACCGTGCTAGTAACCTCTTCGGAAACAGTAAAGTATTAGGATAAGGAATTTTCCTATTAATGCACAATAATGGAAGAAATCACCAAGTTCTAGTATTGCAGGCAGCAGACCCTTGTTCTTGTTAGTACAACTTTCACTACTTTGTAATTTACTTTTTATTTATTTTTTTAAACCTTGTCCTAAAAAGAGCACACACCAGTGTAAAACAGAATACTAAATGATTTAATTTGCCAATGAAAGGTACACTTCAAATCTCAAATTAGGACAGTTTTACCTGAGCCTTTAGTATATCATACTTTAACTAGTACCAAACCTGGTGGTTGTTTCAAGAGGAGTGCTAAATTATTAGCTTGACAACTGTCCTCAGCTGAATACAGATGTGTATGTTTGCATGTGTCGCTTCACACTATCTGCTATCTCTTGGTCTGTTTTGCCACGGTTGTAGTAATCAGTGAAAAGTCCATCTGGGTTAAGAAGATAAATTATAATTGTATGATCTATAATGTAGTCATTGTCCTCATCAGGTTGGCCAGCACTGTAATATACACGATATGCTTTTGCAACCTCCTTCACCTGTTCAGGGGTCCCTGTAAGACCAAGTAGACGCGGATGAAATTCGCTCACATACTTTGCTAGAGCTGGCACATTGTCACGCTCTGGATCAACTGTGATAAAGACAGGCAAGACAGGTGGCACTGTGGGGTCTTTATCGAGCAGGGACACAGCAGAGCTCATTTTTTCAAGCTCATCTGGACAGATGTCTGGACAGTGCGTAAATCCAAAATACATGAGGACCCATTTCCCCCTCAGGTCCTGTTTACAGCAGGGCTGACCCATATGGTTTATCAGACGGAAATCACCTAGGCCCACGGCCAAAGTTTGAAGTTGCTGTATGCGCTTTATCTTCTGCTGTTTCTGCTTCTCCCATCGCAGATAATACCACACTCCCAAAGCACCTCCACCTAGAATACCAGTCACTCCAAGCCTTGTACGTAGGGACACAGGAGGTCGAGGTGAACTTGACTTCTGAGTACTTTGTAACTTGGGGGATGTAGAGACACCTTTACTGTGCGTAAACCATTTTATATGAGAAGGGGAACGTCTAAGGATTGAATTGAAAGAGATCATCGCTCCACAGTGCACAGGTGTAGATTGGGCCAAGTGACGAACACACACCCCTACAAGCATTCTATTGGAGGGAAAAAATAAATAAATAAAGCATTGTAAGAATATATGAATGTCACTGCTCTGAAATCACAATTTACCATATCAAAGGGAAACATCACAATAGAAAATTTCTTACAAAAGGTAATAAAACTATAGTGTCATCTGTATTAACTCCTGAATGCATCTTTACCAGAATCTCCAAAGTGTCCCTATTTTGGATAAAATGTATACAAGAGAGAGGTAGCATTAATCCTCAGATACAGGACAATATGCAACAAAGGAGTAGAAAAAAAATTGAATATAGTGTAGTATGTCAGATATTGATTGGAGGAAGCAAAAGGAAATGCACTTGCAATTTACGGAGCTAACAATTGGCTCCAATTCTGTGCGCCTAAGTGGTATAATACCCGCCTGTGGATAAGTGGTATGTTTCTTGAACTAGATGGGTGTGGTCCCTAATATATTGTAGTAGATTTGGTGTACTAAATAGGGCGAGTATTTATATAGGTGTACACTCACTTTAACTTGTTTGAACTCTTGTGGCGGCTCCTAGTGAAAAGCATGCAGTGGTATAATCCCCACACTTAGAGAGTGAGAGGGAGAGAGATATTATAATAATATTTGGAAATGTACTCAGTGGTGCAGAGCAAAATAATGGTTTTCCTCAATCCAAAGAGCGTAGGTGGTATATTCCCCACCAAGGAAGGTGATGTCCAAACGTCAGAGGAAACAGGCAGGTACAGAAATAAAGATTCACTACTTTCATTGATGACAACTTATAAAAAGTACTAAAATCAAACAAAACAGATTTAAAAAAAAATAAAAATGTTATATATACACATACACCTTTTCTTGTCCTCTGTTCGATCCACCTCTTCTATTTATTGTCTACAATACTTTACCTCATCTATTGGGTGCTCTACCCTGTTCTGTCTCCTGGCCTCCAGTTCTTTAAAAACTATCACTAAAATTGCATCTCTTTAGGAAAGCTTACCATTTTAGTTAACTTCTACACTTTTTAAACCCACTCAACATTGCCTCTGCTCACTTCTCTCACTCTAGTAACTAAACACATACCACATCCATCCAGTGTAACACCTAACAAAGAAGGTAATGCTGGCTCCAGGTCAAATTGTTATAAAACCAAGAACGACAAATAAAATTACGCTAAAGATAAATATGGGCAGATAAACAACTGTATAACAGCTCTCGTAAAATTTATTCTGATTCCCGTAACATTTTCAAAGTAGGCTGGGTAGTGAGGAAGTGCAGTTACACACACTGTACTTCCTTGTGAAATTAACACAGACTCAGAAGGGTCAGGGAGACAAAGGCCACAGGCTATATCACAAACACGTTTAACCTATTGCCAAAGCTTTATATTGGGAGGATTTTCCAGGGCACTACTTCCATTCTCCTTATTTACATTTTTTTTTTCTTTTCAATTCTTTATTTTAGTCGTGCAAGAAAGCAATATAGCTGGTTTTGCAATGCTCCAACAAGTACGGTATTAAACATAACATATATAACATAATAGTTGGTCAGCATTTTGAGTAGACTGCACATTTTAGTAATATATAAGGTTAAAACAGTATAGACAAGAGTATAGTTTGCTGTGTAATATGTGTCTGTTGTGAGCTAGTGAGCAAGTTAAGTGTTCATTTCTTTGGGATATGTTACGTAACCATTACGACGAGTGTGGAAGTTAGGTTGATAAATTCGCATGAGGAAAGAGAGCAGCATAATTTTTACAATATATGTTGAAAAGAACTAGGCTAGCAACACAATGGATATAACAATAGCAGGGGGGTGTTGGTTGAGATGCCACTGGCCTACAGCCCTTGCCGTTGTAGGGAGCTGAGTGCTCGGGGGCCACTCGTGTGGGGAGTTACAGTCCGGCTTCTGGAAGGAGGGTGCTTGTAGTCCCTATTTTAATTTTGCCCAGAAGTTCGCAAAGATTCTATCAAGTGTGGTTGCTTGCGAGGTCTGGGTTGTGCTGCGCACATGGCATCCGCCATCTTGGTTAGGTCGCTGTGTTTCCCACTTTCCCACAAGTCTGCCCGGCATGGCAGTCATACCCCACCCCATCTTGTATACACTGTATCCGTGATTGGAAAGAAGAGACTCCAGTTTGGGTTGTTTGAGCTGCCTTCTTCATTTACTACAAGTGCTAGAAACCTGCCATTCTCAATTTCTTAGTCCCTATTTTGGGCCCGAATCTCTCTGCCCCTCTTTTCTATCCTAATTATTTATAAAGCGGGAACAAGTTCCATAGTGCTGTACAATGGGTGGACGAACAGACACGTATTTGTAACCAGAAAGGTTTGACGCACAGGAATAGAGGGACTGAGCTTACATGCTAGAGGGATTGGGGTATAGTGACACAGAAGGTAAAGGTAGGTTAGAAAGGTAGGTTGCTAGGATGGTATTCACTGAGGGTTTAGTGTTTTGTTTTTATGACAGTTTCAGGAGAGGAATCAGGGTGCAGGGAGGGAAAGCTGTTCACAGTTCAATTGGTAAGATTTTTTGAAGGAGTGGAGATTGGGTGAGAGTCTAACAGAGAGGGGAGGGCATTCCATAGGAACGGTGCAGCCCTAGAAAAGTCTTTAAGGTGAGCATCAGAGGTAGGAGTATGAACAGAGGTTAGATGTAGGTCTCCAGAAGAGCGTAGGGGCCTAGACGGGACGTATTTGTGTATTAGTGAGGATAAGTAGGTGGGAGCAGCATTGTGTAGAGATTTGTAAGCAAGTGTCAGGATCTTAAAGTGAGCCCTATATCTTACAGGAAGCCAATGGAGGGACTGAAAAAGGGGGGAGGTGTGGAAGATGCGAGCGGACAGGAAGACGAGCCTCACTGCTGCATTCATTATAGACTGTAACGGGGCAAGTTGTGAACACGTAAGACCACTGAGAAGCTGATTACAGTAGTCAAAGCGAGAGAGGACAGCAGCATGGACAAGCACCTTTGCTGTATCAGGTGTTAAATAGGGTCGGATGCGCAAAATGTTTTTGAGATGGAAGTGGCAGGATTTGGTGATTGATTGGACATCCAGGCTGAAGGAGAGGTCAGAGTCAAAAAGAACAACCAGGCAGCGTGCCTTGGAGGTAGAGAGGATGGTAGCGCCATTGACCTAGAGGGACACAGACAAGGGAGTAGTAACACTTGAGGGAGGGAATACCAGAAGTTCCGTTTTAGGCAGGTTCAGTTTAAGGAAATAAGCAGCCATCTAGTTGGAAATAGCAGAGACACAAGTCAAGAGGGGTGGTGAGAATTCAGGGGAGGGCAGATAAATTTGTGTGCCATCCGCATAGAAATGATACCGGAAGCCAAAGGAGCTGATGAGTTTACCAAGGGAGGCAGTGTAGATTAAGAACACTAGGAGACCAAGGATAGACCCTTGGGGAACACCAACAGAGAGGGATTTGGGGAAGAAGAGGCAGAGCCAGAGAAAAACACTGAATGAGAGCTGTATCTCATAGACCGAGATAATGTAATTATTTTTTAGGTGCTCTTTACTGTTGGTGTGTCTAAATGTATAATAGAGCTCCACAGCTATAAAAGTCACAGTAATGTGTCTTTAACCTATAATAAATGTGTTTAGAATTCAGACTGTGTAAATAAGATACATTGTTCTTCTTTAAAATTACATTTTAGTTGCAGAAATTGTTATAAGTCACCTAAGATTTCTCAAAATAACCCGACCCATTGCCACACCACAACTCAAATCCCTAAAATTTAAGTATTTCCAAATTATAGACAATCATTTTTTGGCTTGCTTTTGTGGCCAATATCTCACCACCTGAACATAGGTTGGAGAGAAAAAATGACGAGAGTTATTTCACAAGTGTGAGGTTGTAAAAAAAAACTCTTTGGGGCATCTTTTTTTCAGTCTGGCCATATTGGTCTACAATTTGAAGTTTACTTCGAATCAATTTAGCATTCTCTACAGATCACAATTTAACGTCAAACCTTGTTATTCTAATGCATTTCCTAACTGCAAAAAACGATCTTATAATGATGCCCGCATATACCAGTAATGCCTGTAGCCATAAGTGCTATGTAGAGCATTGTTGTCTCCTTACTGTACATTACTGGGAATAATAATAATAAAACTAATAATTGTTATTGCCCAAAACGTTGCAAATCTACTATTATTAAATTACATGTCCTATTCAGCAAAACAAAAAAACAATGTGGTGATTAAAAAAAAACAAAAAAAAAAAACCCTGAATAAATGGCACTGGCAAGGTCACTGCCTGCATTATATGTGATAATGTGAAGATGATGAAGAATGCACTTACATCAATAAGCTCTCCCCAAGCAGTGTCTGCTGGGTATCATGGCCCTGCTAGCACCACCACTAGGCAATAACCATAACTAGTAATAGACATAGAGGGGACAGGCGTATTATAGTAATGATCACACCATACATGAGTCTCCCGAACCCCTTCTTACATCACATGTGTTCCGAATCGGCAAACATCGTGTTCTTCCGCATCCGGGTACTACGGCTGGCTGTGCGCGGCCCATTCACTCCTGAGCGAGAGCGAGGCTTGGAAGCAGCAGTGACGTATGTGAGCGGGCAGAAGGACAGGCGCTGTGTGAAGTGATGGCAGAGGTGCACTACAGTCGTGCTTGGTGTGTTATGTAATATATCAGGGACAGGATGCACATGGCAGTATGGTGGTATAATGAATTCTGTCTGGTCATACACACTGCAGGTTGCCTGTCTCAATATGTGCTGGCTGGCAGCCTCCAGTGTTTCAGACAATGTGTGGAGCATCAAAAATACACAAAAAGGTAGCTGCACAATGTGAAAATATTGAAAAGACTAGAGATAATAAAATAACACAAAAAGGCAATATAAATAAGATCAGAAACAAACAAACAAAAAAGCTCTATTAAAAACAGTCCAATATAAAGTGCAGCTCACAACAGGGATACAATCTGTAAAAATACAATCCAATTTTTCTAGAAAGTAGTCAAATCCTATCAAAGCTTAGAATCCTTGTAGACATGTGAAGAAACGGAAAATCCAATAGTGTAGTACAGGGGTCTGAATTATGTTTGCCAGCAGATCAGGAACACTATTGTGTCAGGAAAACAAACATGTATTCCTGACACCATATTTGTGAACACACTATTCACCCTGGCTTTATGTGATAATGACTATGCTCCTCCCCTTCATGACACTGTCAAAAAGGGGCCAAGCATGGATGTCATTACAATTATGACCCCCCGGAACAATTCCTGCGGACGCGCATGCACACACACATTGCATCCACTACCCACACTGCATCCACTACACAAACAAGTACACTGCATCCACTAAACAAACAAACACATTGAATCCACTACACAAACAAACACTGCATTTACTAATCAAATACTCTCACTGCATCCACTACACACACATATAAATATTCTTGAAAACATAAAACAAATCTGACTGGCATGTATATTTTGTGCATTTACCACTTAAAGGATCACTATATTCAACATATAAAAGCAAGAAAGAGAGGTCCCCTAGCCTTATTTCTTGCTTTTATAAGAACTTGCCCCTAATAAAAAATAAATCGGAGCCTTTTTTATCATTAAAACTTACCTCCGTTCCAGCGTCGAGCTCCTCGTCAGGCCACGCCCCTTTTTCAGTCAAAGTTACGAAATCGCAGAGCCCAATAGGATGCTTCTCTTTGAGAAGCGTAATCGCGCACTGGTGCGCATGCGCGGCTTCACGCTGCACCAATCAGGTTCTTCATAGAACAGCATTAAATGCTGCTATACGAAAGAACTGAGCGCTCTACCGCGCATGTGCACTGTATGCGCGTTCGTAGGCTGAGGTGACTGACAGCCCAGCTCGCTGTCTATGCCCGCGCCCCTCCTACGGCAACCCTCCAGCCCAAAGTTAGTATACAAACACTATATATAGAGAAATATCTATATATAGTGTTTGTATACAAACACACACATTTTAAATAGTGTTAAACATACACACACACTCTATTTCTATCTATCTATATCTATCTATCTATTTCTTTTTTTTTTAATATATAATCTTTTTTATTTTCCAAAGACAAATCAGGACACAATATATAATACATGTTTTGTTTTACAACATTAACCCATTGCTCCTTTAAGATCAAATCCTTACCAGCAGTTCGTCTTTCCTGCGACATTTTTGTATGCAGAAGGCAATAAGAGTGGCTGACTACTGGCGCCAATGATAAAGAAGAAATGCTTTGTGATCTACATAGCCAAAATGCGAAACTCTGATGGCAAGGTATGCCCCCTTCTAGACCAGATCGCAGCAGTGATAAAAGACTACTACTCCTCCCTATATGGCGTGCCTTCCCCCTCCACACAGGGCCGGCGCAACCGTTAGGCGAACTAGGCATTCGCCTAGGGCGCTGGCCTGCTGGGGGCGTTGGTGGGCTGCTTGCCCCTGTCTGGGGCCGCAGCGCTGTGCAAGTGGCTCTTGAGCCACCCCCAGCGCCCTAGACAGGCTCCGACACACCCATGCTCCTTACAGACAAGCTCACTAACACACACACACACATATGATCCCTACAGACAAGCTCACTGACACACACACAGAGGCTCCCTCACTAGCAGGCACACACACACACACACACACACACACACACACAGAGGCTCCCTCACTAGCAGATGCACGCACACACACACAGAGGCAGACAGTCACTGACACCCAGGCAGACAGCCACACACACACACACACAGGCAGACAGTCACTGATACCCAGGCAGACAGCCACACACACACACACACAGACAGACAGTCACTGACACCGAGGCAAACACCCACACATACAAAGACAGGCAGACAGCCACACACATACACAGGCAGACAGCCACACCCTCACACCGACAGGCAGACAGTCACATACACCGACAGGCAGACAGTCACGCACACACAGACAGACAGTCACGCACACACAGGCAGTCACACACACACAGTCACACACACAGTCACACACTCACACAGTCACACAGAGAGACAGTCACACACACAGTCACACACACAGTCACACACTCACACAGACAGTCACACACAGTCACACACTCACACAGACAGTCACATTTACACAGTCACACACAGTCACACACTCACACAGACAGTCACACACTCACACAGACAGTCACACACAGACAGTCACACACTCACACAGACAGTCACACACAGACACACACTGACCTGCTTCTTACCTCCTGCTTGGAGCTCCTGGAGGCTGGTTGTTGGGGAAGCAGGGACTCCTTCCTGCTTCCCATGCTGCAGTTAGCCGGGCCCCCGCCGCACAGAAAGCTCTGCCACGCCACACGCTAAGCCCCGCCGCACGCTAAGCCCCGCCCCTGCCGCTATTTTTTTTTTTTATGATCCCGGCCAGCCATGTGTGAGCTGTGCCGGCCGCCTGGCTCCCCCTGCTCCCGTGATCACACATAGCCGGCCGGAATCACAGGAGCCGGGCACTGATAAGGGCTGTAAGCCCAGCCCCAGGTGCCGCGGCCCACCGGGAAATTTCCCGGTATCCCGGTGGGCCAGTCCGGCCCTGTCAGTGAGTGTATGTATGTCAGTGAGTGTCTGTGTCAGTGAGTGTCTGTGTGTGTCTGTCAGTGAGTGAGTGAATGTGTATGTGTCAGTCAGTGAGTATGTTTATGTCTGTCAGTGAATGTCTGTGTGTATGCGTGTGTGTGTGTCTGTCAGTGAGTGAATGTATGTCTGTCAGTGAGTGAGTGTATGTGTGTCAGTGAGTGAGTGAGTGTATGTCTGTCAGTGAGTGTGTGTCTATCAGTGAGTGTGTGTGTCTGTCAGTGAGTGAGTGACATGAGGGGGCGGCAAAATGGATCTTTGCCTAGGGTGTCAGAAATCCTTGTACTGACCCTGCCAACATACAACCTGCTACCCATCAACGCACCACAAATATCCACACTTACCTTTCAAAACATGTGCACACGCGCATCACAGCTGATTCTCTCGATGCCTTAGAGGCCCCTATCACAAAGGAAGAATTAGAATTCGCAGTAAAGCACACCAAGACAGGAAAGAGCCATAGCCCGGATGGCCTGCCCTTAAAATATTACAAACTCTTTGCACCCACTCTATACCTGCATTTCGTAAACGCTAATTCCATCACCACAGGCCATCACATCCCTACTCAAATGCAGGTGGCAAACATTATTTTACCAAAAGAGGGCAAGGACATTGAGCAGTGTGCGAACTATCACCACATCTCATTACTAAACTGCGATCTAAGACTGTTCACAGAAATTCTGGCGAATAGACTAGGGCCCCTTCTACCTCAATTTGTGTCCACAGACCAGCAAGGGTTCATCCCGAATAGGGAAGCACGAGATAACACTGCAAGAGTCCTATCCCTGATACACTAAACACAGCGCCAATCGGGGGCCTTCTCCTTTTACCTATAGATGTGGAGAAGGCTTTCGACAGGGTGGACTGGGACTTCTTGTTTGCAACAATAGCGTATTGAGGGATTAGACAACACATGCGACAATGGATATAAGCCCTATACTCAACACCTACCGCACAGATATGTGTCAATAGGGTTTACATATAGACATTCCCTATACGTAGTGGAACAAGACTCCCTTTCAAATGGAGTGATTCGGCAATCAAATATCTTGCATGTGGCTCACAGGGGATCTGACCCGTGTGTACCATACTAATTTTATACACCTACTGAACACAATAAAAAAAACCTGGCAGAATGTGTGTTATCACACTTCTCTTGGCTGGGCTGAGTGGTCATCATAATAATGACCATATTGCAGAGAATTCTGTACCTTTTCCACATGCAAGATAGTTGATTGCCGAATCACTCCATTTGAAAGGGAGTCTTGTTCCACTGGACGGCATTTTTCAGGGGACGGCAAAAAATGCCGCCCCCAAAAAATGCCCAGGGCGAATGCCTTGTTAGCCTTGTGGCTAACAGACATGCTGGGCGCTGGGCGCTGGGCGGCGCCGGCTGATGGTCTGGCGGGCGTCTGGCGGGCGGCTGACGAGGGAGCACTTCCTCTGAACACTCTGCTCAGCTCCCTCGCGCGCCGCAGAGTGAGGCTGGGAGCCGGAATATGACGTAATCTTCTGGCTCCCGCGCGAGGGAGCTGAGCAGTCAGCTCAGAGGAAGAGCTCCCTCGCCAGCCGCCCGCCAGCCCATCAGCCCGACTGGCAGCCACTGGATCACCAGGGAGAGAGAGGAACCCCCCCCCAGCACTCCCAAAGGTAAGGAGGGGGGGGGGGTTTAAAAGTGTTAATGTGAGTGATTGTGTGTGTGTGTGTGTTTGTGTCTGACTTTGTGTGTGTGTGTGTGTGTCTGACTGTGTGTGTTTCTGTTTGTGTGTGTGTGTGTCTGTGTGTGTTTGTCTGTGTGTGTTGTGTCTGACTGTGTGTGTGTTTGTGTCTGACTGTGTGTTTTTGTCTGACTGTGTGTGTGTGTGTCTGACTGTGTGTTTTGTCTGACTGTGTTTGTGTCTGTGTGTGTGTGTGTGTGTGTGTCTGACTGTG